TAGTATCTTCTCTGATTACTTCAGTCATAACCTAAGCATTCTCATCTCCGCTACACTCGCTCTTTGTTCTATTTTTCTTTTTACCGCCCAAGTACCCTCCAAACTATACAACATACGGTCTTACTACACTCTAGTAGAACTTATCTTAAAGTCTCGTTTGAACTCTCTTGTCACATAAAACACCGAACTCTTCTCTCCACTTAGAGAGTCTCTTATGTCAAACTGATCACCCTGTAAATATTATATTATATTATATAGCAATGCTATCATCATCAGCAACCACAGCAGAAGTGTATTATGTTTTTTTTGCGTGAAAGGGTTTTTTTTAATATTTTATTATTTAACTAAGCTACAATCTTACTTTTAAATCTTTATAATGTTGATATTCTTCTCCAGTCTTAAACATGAATGTAATAAATTTAATATTTAGATAGTACAATTTTTTAATAAACATAACGTTTTTAGAATTATTAGGGTTATGTAAACAATTTTGGATTTCAATTAAAGCATACATAGGACAAGTTGCATTGTTATTTTAAGCAACCTTATTGTTTTAATTTTATATTAATCGAAACCCTAAATCAGAGCTCATTAGCCAAAAAAATTTATAAAATTCTGACCCCTAAAATACAACGGGGTGTTACTGGCTCTGATTGATGGATTTATATATTATTAATAATAATTTATACTTTATATTACTTCTTAACAAATAAATTAATCTTATCGCACAAACACAAACCAATTCAATCGGTTTTTCTAAATCGCATATTTCTGCTTTTTCTAAAGATGGACTTTTAAAATTTAGAACTTAGATTAAACTTAAGGAACTTTGGATACTATAAAAAATGAACCCATATTAAGTCTTTTCAAAACTGGGGAAATTCAAAATTAAACTTGCTGATTAAACATTTTTTTTAAAACAAATTTTTTATGGCCGATGATAGAATTTGGGCAAAATATTGTAATGTATCGTATCGTAATATATGCATTAGCATTGTAACCATTATGCATAGCATTACCATAGTAATATTACAATTACTGATAGTAAAAATATATTCTTATTATATTACTATGATACTAGTAGGTAATGTAAAAAGTCATATATAAATTATATTATAAAAGTGCATAATAATATACGCACTGCATATGCAACAACTTTAATGTTATAAGACTATTTACCAGTTCATCTTTTTTTTTTTCATATTTCTTTTTAATACTTGTCTTCTCAGGTTCACAAGTTATATAGTTATCAATGTCATCCTGGAATAATAATTTAAAACATGAAGTCATCTACTATAATAATCTCTGAAAAACTTTGACGTATACATTTTTTTTTAAATAAATCTTAAGTTACTAACTTTTTATGCTCTAAGGACCAAGGTACAGATTATTTTAATTAGTATTAAAATGAGCACTTTATAAAACCATCTTATCATAAGCACTATCTTTGATTTAATATGTACCATGGTATAGTTTATTTAATTGAGAATTATTTATGTTAAAGCTAGAAATAAAGTTTTCTTCTAATTTTAAAATGTCATAAATCATTATTATTTGTTAATCTTAAATACTGCCTAACTGATACGATAACATCATCGGCCGATAAATACTATAGTAATAAGATAAATAAAGTAGACCTCAAAAAAAGATGACCCTGAAAGTTCTAAGGCTCTATCTCAATGTTAAGGGGTGCCGGTGATCTGTTTTTGTTCTTTCATAAAAATGACCTATGTATATCATTAGGCCACCATGCGGTTTATATGCCTTAAAATGTTTCTACACTTCCTTAAATTTGGTCGAAAAAAACTTATTTTTAATTAAACCGTTCTCAATAACATTGATAGTGGAATTCAGTAAACATTCGCTATCATTAGAACCTGAAAATATTCAAGTAAAAAGCATCTCTAATACCAGAATTATTTGTTTAATAATAATTTTTTTTTATCGTCACAAAAACCGTAAAAAATCAAGGTCCAGAATCTTTAAAATCGCATTTTATGAAAAAACAAGATAAGTTCACCGGCATCCCTTAACATTGAGATAGAGAGCTAGAACTTTCAGGATCATCTTTTTTGGGGGTCAATTTTATATTTTTCAAGTGGGAGAGGAATTTTTCAGATTTTGATTTTTGGATGTTGGTAGTTGTAACATTACGCACATTTTAAGCCTAAATACAAAATTTAACTTTATGTAGCTTACGCATTCGCATTATCAAGTTTTGAAATTTAAATGGGAACTCCTATATTTTTTGGGATGTTTTGTTAACATTTAATATTTTAAATACAAAAATGTTAAAAACACTTTTTTAATACCATACTGTTCAAAAGTCATTGCTATTTTTAATTAATGTTAGTGCTCTATTCAGAAGCATTTTTAAACTACCTACGGGTTAAATTTTATATAATATGTGCGTAAATTTACACCTACCAACATCCAAAAATCAAAATCTGAAAAAATCAATTATAGCTCTAAAAATTGCCAGTTTTCGAACTTTTTGAACACCCTGTATATATGCATTTTAACCATTATGCATTACACATTGCACATATTTAATCTTATAATATAACTGTAATACTAGTAGGTAATGTAAAAAGTTAAACAAATATAAAAGTACACATGCAACAACTTTAAATATTAGAATAGGTACTATTTACCATATCTTTTTTTTTTCATATGATATTTCAACAGTTTTTTTCTTAGGTTCATCAGTTTTAAGATAATGGTCATGCTAGAATAATAATTAAAATTATGATTTCATTAATTATCAAAAAAAGAACATGGTATTTCAAAATGTCAATTTTAGTAAAAATAGTATTGTTTAACCTACAAATAGTTCTACATAAAGTCTGTATAGCCTAATACGTGGCCTTTTTTACTATTATTTTTAGTGAGACGTAATATTGAGTTATTAATATTATTAATATACAATAATTCTTATATATGATAAAAATTATACATCATTCAATGTTTTTATGTTATAATATAGAATACAAATTTAAATATTATATAACATATAATTAAAGAATTACATACTTAATTCGCTTGCTAAAACTAATATCGACCTACTAACTAATATACCTATTATGGTGTTTTGTTTAAAATTCCAACAATTTTGTTATTAATATCTTTAATATACACTAAATCTTATATATTATTAATGTTTATAGTATACAAACATAAATATCAAGGTTTTAATACTTAAGGGCTAATGGGCATCGCATAAAACTTATAGAAGAGATGGATGCGATATTCAGAAAAGAACTCAACCTAAGCACAAAGACTTTAAAAAAATTTAAATTAACAATAATAATATTAATTATAAATTTATAGTAAATTATAGTCATGTGTTGTCATAAAAAAGAAAATTTTTTTTTAGAGCACTTATTACATTTTTTCCTAGTGTTCTTAGAACCCTCCTAAAATAAATTATAGTTTCGTTAGTGGCTATAAATATATAATTAATTATTTAATATAATTAACTTGCAAAAGCAAAGCACTTTCAATGTAATTGCCATGGTAGCTCTACCAGTGAAACAAGAAAGACCAATTATAGAAAATTATGGTCATGTGTTGACATTTTGATTAAAACATTTCTAGTTACTACATTTTTTACTAATATCCTTAGCACCGTCATAAAATAAATTCTATTTCGCTAGTGGCTACTGGGTATAAATATATAATAAATCATTCAAAATAATTAACTTGCAAAAGCATTTTCAATGTAATTACCTTGGTGAATGGATTAATACAAAAAAATTTAAGGAATTCAGACCTTCTTCCTGCTATTGTTTGCATCGTGGAATTTAGAAAACATATAAGGAATATAATACTTTTTAAATGCATCATCCTTTAAAATGTACAGAACAAATTTGTATTATATTGTAAAACTTATACAATAACCTACTAGCTGTACAATTAAAAACAACTATGCTCAAAACCCATATTTCGTAGAACGATGATATTTTCCCTATAGAAATCAATCAAACGTAGAAAAATAATATATACAGTTAAATAAACACTATTTACTCTTCCATGTTATTTGCATCATGTGCTTGAGAATCAAACAAACAACACTGTATAATTTGCAGTCGTGTGTGTTTTGTTAAATCAATAAAAAATATTCTCGCACAATAATAATATGTTCCCGCAAATTTAAGAATAAAAAATTGTGTAGGCGTTTGTGCGTTTTAAAATCTCTTGACATTTTACTCAATTGTACATTTATTAATATTATTTACGGCGCGGCGTTTTCTTAGAGCTTCAACTACAGTGTTATTAATACAATAATAAAGATTCTTTATTTATAGTCGTTTTTTCAGACTATCGCGTCCTTTTTAATGGTTAAGTTACAATTTTTTTCCATCAAAACTATTATGCGAGGGACAAACCTTACGAGATCAATTTATTTACAGTAAAATTACCAAGTTTTCACATTACATAACTTATCTGTGTGATAGGGTTTTATTTTTTTTTCACCAACTTTAAATTAGTTATTTATGTTATTTATTAGTTTAAAAACTGGTTATTAACAATCTATGCATTAGTGTGTAAGCATTGTGTGTGGTATAGGATGCACGTTTATGAAGGGTGTGTAGGATCCCATTAATACTTTACGTGGCCAAACATATAGATATATACATGAGGAAATGTACGCTACAATAATTGTTTATGATACAGTTTTTATGCAGTCTATTAAATCGTCCCTAGTTGTCACTTCAGTCAGATTTTTTAAACACTTTTTTTCTTTTCAATAGCCTCATAAAAAATCACATGGATAAATTCGGTCTATATGTTTTCTCGAGTACCAATCTCATATGTTTTGCGATCAATAGAAATTTAGGTTTCTCCTCGAAAACATCGATATTTTTATAATATTAACTGTTATAAAACGGATTACAAAACACTGTAAAGTCAAATATATACCATTTATTAAAATATATATCACCAAAGAAAATTATAGTCATATAGTACTACTTATTATAGATAAACATAAACCCATAATAATAATTGTAAAATACCGAAATCAAAACTTTAATATTATTTAAATTTAATTTTTTTAGTTTTAACTTTTATATATTGTAATATAGCATTAATAAACAACAAAATTTATCTATTTTCTGTTCTTTTTCAACACCTGTAACAACAAATATGGTTTATTAATTACTCAAATATTTCGACAAAACAAATTGTCATAAGAATAAAATTCAACATTTTCGAATAATATATTTTTTTTAAGAGTGCCTTCAATTGTAATATTATACCAACTCATCCTAGAGTAATACGTAAATATATCACATTTTTTATAGTTATAAATAACAAATACCGTAAGTTTATGTTTGGTAAAGTTTTTAATCCCAAAATGAATTATATTTACAACAATATCGTAAACTAAAGGATTTTTCATTCTTAATGAATTATTTAACTATTGATTGTAACAATATCCTATTGAAAACGTTAAAAACTTTTAATGACATATTTTATAAAATAATAATATTTTAGTTCAAAAATTTGTTAAATAATTCTGAATAAAATAGGATGTTAATCGGATATTCACAATTAAGATAAAATTTACGATTACAATTTTTTTATTGCAACTTTATGTACTAGAATATTTCCTTATTTGTCAATCTACCTTTTTCTTTTGTTTTTAAACTTTCATGGCCGTTTGTCCACCGTTTGGGTCTTTTTTTATTTGATTAAATTCGCTGAAAAGCGAATTGCTCATATATGGTTTGTCCTTAGTTGGTGTCTAAAAATTAAATAATAGTATATCAGTAACATAGTTCATTTGTCATTTCATTACTTCAAAATGTTGATTTAAATGATTCTTAGGAATACGTTAATTGGTACAAAAAATAAAAAAAAATTAATTTAATTAAAAAATAAAATAATTTTAAATTCAGAATGAAGACACAATATATATTATTTTAATTTCCTCACCGCTTTAGGTTGATTGGTAGTTGAGCCAAGAGCTGCAGTAAAGTTCTAAAAATTAAAATTAATTTAAAATTATTTAATTACTAACTAGTATATATTATTTATTTAAGTATGCTTTATTCAATTGTAGGGTATTTAGAACTTCATGGATCACATATTCTTTTAATGATGGAAAAGTATGAAAAATTTCCTATGGAAAATAATAATATTATTAATAGTTTAATATATTAATATAATAATATTAATATATTTTAATATATTAATGAATATTTTAAAAAAAATTTGATTTGTCGATAACCAGTTTGGTTATCACAGTCACTGCTTTTAAAGTTATTACAGTTTTAAATTTAGGATGAGAGGGAGTGCGGTAGAGTAATACTCGCAGATAAAAATAATTCTAGACTCCACAATTCTTTTCGTCCTAAATTTAAAACTTTAATAACTTTAAAATTTATTATGCACAGCTAGATATCGACTAGTCAAAATGTTTAGCTTAATAAATTGATAAAATAAAATGGTATTTAATAAATTACTTGTTAGAGAAAAGTACAAAATTGAACGTGAATTAATTTTAAAAATTTTATAACAATAGTTTGGACCTAATGGCTTAGCAAGTGATAAACTTTTCTTATAGATAGGGTATGAAAATAAACCCCATTACTATACAAATTACAGTAATATAATATTTATACACATATTAAACAAACAAGCATCATAATTCGTTTATAAGTATTATAAACAAATTTTATAAATAGACTTATAAGACATTCTCACCGAGTATTGGTTTAAAGAAGGAATTACTTGTTGATTTTGCTAAAAATTAAAGATTTATATTGCTAACAAGATTATTTTGTATGTCAAGTTGATTTACATAATCAACCCTATAGCCACAGACATTATAACTTAAAATATGACTTGACATGTCACACCGAAGTTTTAACAAAACGGGTTTTTGGATATTTCTTTTCTGAGAGTTGAGTTACGGTAAATTTTGCTAATGGTGTAAAACGTATCAACTATGATATCGTTACAAACTAGCATTATGATATATCTTAATATATATATATATATACATATATATTTATAAGTATAATAAACAAATTGTATAGATCTATTTATTAGGCATTCTCACCATATTATATGGAATAGGATATCTGGATTGAAAATTGTTCTAAAAATTAAAAAAAAAAATATTATTAACAAGAGTATTTTGTATTCATATTCAATTGCTGAAAATACGTTTTGTATTAACTAAAATGGTATTTAATAAAGTACTTGTTAGAGAAAAGTACAAAATTGAACATGAATTAATTAAAAAAATCTATAACAATACTTTGGACCTAATGGCTTAGCAAGTGATAAACTTTTCTTATAGATAGGGTATGAAAATAAACCCCATTACTATACAAATTACAATAATATAATATTTATGCACATATTAAACAAACAAGCATCATAATTCATTTATAAGTATTATAAACAAATTTCATAAATAGACTTATAAGACATTCTCACCGAGTATTGGTTTAAAGAAGGAATTGCTTGTTGATTTTGCTAAAAATTAAAAATACATATTGTTAGCAAGAGTATTTTGTACTCATATTCAATTGCTGAAAATACGTTTTAGTTGTAATTTATTCTTCGAGTAATAAGTTGGGAACTCAACCTTACCAAGTCCCTTTTTCTCGACTACGATATTTTACTTATTGCGGCCCCCTGATTCGAAAAGTCAACTAACTAATGACAATATGTATAAATCCAAAAATAATCAAACTATTTCAATCCATAAAAATTTTTAACATTCATAACTAGTTAAAATAAGAGGTTAATATCTAAGGGATATTTAAATTCTTAATACCTACATAGTTACCCGATAATTAAGTAAAAACTAGAGATGGTACTGATATCTAGATATCTTATGAGGACGTTATGCACCCAATTTTGTAGCGTTAATACATACTTGCGCAGAATGTATTTTATTCACTTCATGATAATTTCAATAAACCTAGTATTTAACTTAATATTTAAAATCACATTTTTTACTTTTTTTTAAATAACTATAACTTTTTTTATCGTTTTTATTTTCAAAATCAGATATGATGTTGTCTCTAACATTTTGTTCTTTCGATTATTTAATAGGTGATTTTGCTCTAAAATCATTAAGGACCGATAAAGCTCATTCTGCGTAAATTTATATCCCTAGAAAAATAATTTTAATTCACTGTAATGGTCCGAAAAATAAATTAATTATCAAAAACGAGTTATAATTATTGAAATAATAATTATATATTACTGTTCAACGTTTTAATTAAGGTTTTGCCTATAACTAATTCCTTAATTAATTGGAGGTTTTATAATGTCCTCTTAAGAATCTGTCATCACAATATTTTAAACGGGATTTATTTTATAAACAAATTTAGCTAATAAAACTACAGTTCCCAAATGTGTATGTTGTATAGGTAAGTGTATGTTTTAACGTATTTTTAAAACAAGAAATTAGCTTATCTAATTAATAAATGTTTGTACAAAATTAAGGATGTATATAAGACAAGAGAACATTTTAAAGTTTATCCTTTACACGTGTGAATGAAATGTAGACTATTTATTTATCATGGTTTTACAAAAAAAAACCTTTCCATTATTTATCAAATTTTACAGTAAACACATTTTAGTCAAAAATTCAATGATTTTTCCCCTAAATCATCAAATTTATAATTTAACTTACATTAAATAGATTTAAATCCGTAAAACCTATTCAACAATGGCGCATTCAGCAATTTATCTAGAATGTAGTAACAAAAAAAATGTTCACAAACTCGTGAGAGGCCCCTTCCTGCCTCCTCACACTATTCTACTGCATTTTACACAATAACCACTATTTTAACGTAGGCCTACAAGGTTTTATGGTTTTAACGTATTTTTTAAAAAATATATAACCTTCTCGTCTTACCATATTATTTATACCATAGTTTGACATCGGATTCATATTGCCTTGAGGTTGAAGATAAGGAATAGTAGCCTAAAACAAAAAAAATTACAAATTTACTACAATATATTTAAGCAATATTTTTTGTCACCTAACTCTATACTACTATATTTCATACAATAACCACTATAATACTATTGATTTAATATGAACAAATAACTAACTTTATTAACATAATAATTAATGTAAAAATTGTTGTTTTAATTGATATCACAAAAAAAATAATATTTTTCTTGTTGCAAAGCCAGTTCAACAATAATATACTCGTACAATAAACCACTGTATTTTATTATAAATTATTTTCTATAGTTCTCGTATTCGCGTTCAAACCATTACCTTCAGCAATCGTTAAGTAATAATTGTATATATATATATATATATATATATTAATTGTTTAAACAAAATAAACTTCTCATCTTACCATATTACTACCAACGTTTTCTATCGGATTTATGATGCCCGGAGGTTGAAGATAAGCAATAGTAGCCTGAAACAAAAAACTACAAATTTACTACAATGTATAAGGAGCAATCATTTTATTTTATAAATCTAAAGTAGGAGTATTCTTGGTTTCAATTATGAAAGAAAAATATGGAAACAAGCGGTTTTCATTTGACAATCTATATGCCATAAATCATAATATAAAGTTCTCATTAAAACATAAAATTTCGTTAATAGATTTTGAAAAATTATCGTCAACTTAAAAGCAATAAAAAATCAGATAACCGCCATCCTCCCACCTAATCTCTAAGATATTTTACATTTTATTTTAAATAATTGATCAATTTAATTAAATGATCTTGCTTGTACCGATTGACTGTTCGGTCCGCCTTCAACTTTCTCAACAAAAGGATTGTTGGCCATTGATTTCAAAGTTTGTGCATTAGAAATATCCTGTAATTGTATATTATTTAACATTAGTAATTAAATTACATAATAGTGATTTAGTGATTTAAATGTAAATTTAAAAGTAATTCATTGTGTATTTAATCATATTCAATTAAGAGGTCACCAAACGCGTGTTTTTCTAACGCGAACATAGACACATAAGTAATATACCATTGGAAAGGCGATAAGTTGTACAGAGTTTTGTTGGAATTCAATAAACATAATTTGTATTATTTTGTACCTGAATTGCAAATGGATATTACTACATTATGATCTTATTGATAAGCTGTAATCCTCACTTTTTGGTAATATTTTCATAATTGGTTTCTATCAAAACATCATTGAACTTATCTTTTAAATGGTGGAAGAATTTTGACTTTTTGTTCACTCAAAACATCACAGTATTTAAACGACAAAGAAAAGTAAGATGGAAAAAAATGTAATATTTGCTAATGAAATGACTGTGACTGGCATGACAAAAAATAATTAACAACTATAAAAAATCCTCATTACTGTAATTACAAGTACACAATATAGTTGAAACTCTAAATAGAGGTGTCCGAAAAATTACCTATAATTCTTAATAAACGGGTGGTTTGGCGTCCTCTTAACAATTATAGTCGAAATTAAGAGTTTTCTTTTTTTAATTTTCATCAGAACATTTTACATAGGTACACAGTTTTACACTTTAATAATCTTCATAACTTATTTGAGTGGTTTAAAAAGCGATTTTTTAAACATCTGGGCTTTTGGATTCCCATCACTAGTTAAAATAGTAGAATATTGATATATTATGACATTGATTTAGTATTACAAAATTCTGCTTTGTGCACCTTATACGTTTTAGCCAAAATAAAATAAAATCTCATATCGTCTTACCAGGACAGGCTCGCTGGGGACTAATGCTTGGTCAAGATTATACATCTGTAAGTATAATAAAAAACATTCATTAATATATAATACAATAGTTATTATACTAATATTAGTATTCATAAAGCAATACATGACGAAACAAAGCATTGAATATTTTATTATTTAATTCCGAAATTACTATTTGCTGTTAAAGCTAAACATTACATGAAAATACTTTTACCTGATCACCTGTAACCATTAAATCTAAAATACCAGTATCCTAAAACATGTATAAAATAATACTTTTTAATCTTATGTAAACATATGAAATAGGTATAAAAATGTTTAATGATTTCAATGATTTATCAAAAAATAAATAGTAAATATGACTGTACTCATAATTATTATGTTTAGTTTTAGACGGTATCAAAATCATTAGTTTCTTTTTTTAATACAATTTTGTGTTACCGTATTTGTATTTCCATCCGTAATTAAATTTACATTATTTAGATTTATGAAATCTGCATTTAATTGTTCCTGAAAAAGAGTATAATTAAATCACTGTATAATTATTTTTGAATGCTTAGTATTTAACAGAAGAAACTTATTTAGTGTAAAGTAACCACAACTTTCTGTTTTGTTTTTTAAGGTCATTTAAATAATAACTAGATATAGTCGTCGTTTACATACACTAAAGGAACCAACATGTGGTCTCATGTAAGTGGAAAAGATTATAAAAAGAGGATCTACTAATCTAATATAGGTGTTCAATTTTTTAGATGTCGGTAAAGTAAAAATTAAACCAGTATTTTTTTAATAAGTTTACTTTTCTATAATAAATGGTTTAAAAGCCTTTTGTTTTGATACATTCTTTGCGAAAAATAGAAATGCCTATTAGTTTAGAAAACAGTCATAAAGGTTATTCACCAAGCTATATTTTATTTTTATAGTTAACAGAATTCAGTTTGATTCTACTACTCTAATTTTTTTTCTCTAATCGGTCTACATGAATCGATTATACAGATTAAAAGTTTACATATGATGTATAAAATTGAGCTTTTGGGTGCATGTGCATGTAATATGTATGTTCTACCATCACAAGAAAAGGGCTGCACCGATTTCGATGCGGTTTTTTATAACATTACATACTAATCTATGTCATCCTAAGATTTGTTACAATTCGCTAACTCAACCAATTAAACTACCATTTTTGTTATATTTTATTACACGAGATCAATAAATATTAGTTGTACTGAACTAAATTTAATTCAGTGGCTAATTAGCATGTTTATAACTATAATAACGGTCGAATGCATAACGTTTATAAACTTAAGCTAACTAATAACTTAAACATAATACATGTACGAATAAATCATAAACAAAAAGATAAATATATCTGTTACATGTCTTATTCGAACAAAAATTAATACAAAAAATATAGGCTAAATCTTATTTCAAAATAATGAGTTTCTTAATTTATACCTGATCCAATTGCACAATTTCATTTGTTGTCGTACTTCTATCTGTTAATAAATCTGTCACGCCATCTGTAATTAAGGCTGGTGTATTCATCATATATTCTTCATACGAATTGGTTGTTTCTTTATATGTGCAATGAATTTTGACTGTCATTTTCATACCACTATTATTTTCATTTGCAACCTTAATTTAAAAAAAAATTGAAACGTCATCTGATTTTACAATTCTAAAACAAGAAAATTCTATAGTAAACATTGTATCTTTATTGAATTATAGTGAAAAGATATATATATTTTGTTGGTTTGCGTGCAATAATGGATTTTAAGCACCGCCGAAGTTGAATGTCGCCGGTAGCCTTGAATTAAGCTGGAAGACGTGGTATCAGCGATTCAATAATTATATTTTAGCAGCAGAAAAGATGGAAAATAGCGAAGAAGTAAAAATTGCTATACTTCTCACATTGATTGGGGAAGAGATTAAAGAGTCTTAAATATGAACGAGAAATATTAATTATCTCCAAGAAATATTAATTGGAATTCCAGATCTTAAATTAACCAAAGTAATACTCATAATTAAACAGGTTGAAAATACCAAAAAACAGGTTCGGCATATAAATAATGATGAAAACAAAGTATAGCTAAATCATTAAACATAAAATGTAGTTTAGATAAACTTCAATACTATCAGCAAACAGTTAAATTCATGGGCTATATTGTAAATTAACTAGGTATAAAGCCAGATCCAGAACAAATTAAAACAATACTTCAGCTAAAAGAACCTAAAAATAAAACAAGAGTTACAGAGGTTAATAGGCATGTTTAATTGCTTAAGAGATTATATACCTAAAATGGCTTATATTATTAGTCCTTTAAAATAATTATTAAAAACCAATGTGCTGTGAGAAAGAACCACAAGACATAGTAAAGCGGTAAATGAGCTCAAAGTGTACTACCATTAAGGACGTGAAGTGCAATAGGTGTGACGAAAGAAGTCCAACCGATGGATTTTGTAAAAAGGAAAAGTTTAAAAGAAAATGACGCTAGGTACAAACCAAAAATCAATTCAATATAAATAGTGAAAGGAACTCCAGTGTTATACGTGTCATTTAAGCCGTGACTGCCCTACAGCAACCGAGATAGAGAATGTTAGGTTTGTGATACAAAAAATTAGTCAAGTGGTTGTGAAGTAAGTTTGGTAGATCCTATCACTGATATCCAGTGTAATGACAAAATTCGTCTTCTTCTTTGCCTTCATCCCAATTATTTGGGGTCGGTCACACTTGTGTTAAAACACTCAACCGGATTTCCCACATCATCTTCATATATACCAGCAGTCCTCATATCATTCTCAATCGCATCCAACAACTTTTTTCGGTCTTTCACTTACCCTCTTCCTCCTACGTTTTTTTTCATCGCATTTTTTACTGCTGGTGATTCCTCTCTCCTCAGAATATGCCCCAAACCAAGTCAGTCTATTTTTGTTTGCTATCAAAGCCACTTATATGCTACCTCTTACGTATGTTTTCCTTATCCTATCTTTTCTGGTTACTTCAATGATCACCTAAGCATTCTCATTTTCGATACACTCTCTGTTCTATTATTCTATTTACCACCCAAGTACGCTCCAAACTATATAAAATAGTCGGTCTCACTACACTCTAGAGTATAGTAGAACTTCTATCTATCTATCATGTGAACTCTCTTGTCACATAAAACACCGGCCGCTTCTATTATATTCAATATTGCATGTTATAGCAGTACTATCATCATCAGCGACCACACGAATTAATATTTTAGAAAGTGAAAAGTGTATCATACGTTTTTTTTTTGTGAAGAGTATTTTTTAATATTTTAATATACTACTGAGCAATATTATCTTACCCTTTCAGCCATATAATAATTGAAGTATTTCAGAGCCTTAAACAAGAGTGTGATAAATTTACTAATCATATTGTACAATTATTTAATAAATGTCATGTTATAAATATTATTAGGGTTAAGTAGTCAACGTTAGTGTGGATTTCGATTAAAGCATACTAGGACAAGTTGTATTGTTGTTTTAAGCGACCTTAATTTTTGTTTATCTTTATACTAAATAAAACTCCAGAAAAGAGTGGAAAACTGGCTAATGAACTCTTAATCAGAGCTAATTAGCCAACAAAATTGATAAAAATATTTTTTTAAATTCTCGGCCCCAAAATGCAACATGCAACGTAATGTAAATTATTATACAAGGTAAGAAAGTATTGTTGTTACATATACCACTGCGCCCTAACATTGACTTTACTTGATATTACTTCTTAATAAATAAAATGATATTTATGAATTACCGTTTGTTTTGCTATAGCTCTGAGTTCTATTTGTGGATCCACTGGTACAGGTACGATACTCTATAAATATTTAATCATATATTACCTTAATATTATTAAGTTATAAATCATTAACACTATTGCTGTTAAAGAACTTTCGATAGTTTTATACAAATGCTAAAATCGTGTTGATAACTAAATTATTCAAATTGCACGTTTACTACAGACCGTACACCAGTATACAACTAGATAATATGAAACTAACAATATGTACCTAATAAATAATATTGTATGGTCGTCAGCTCTAATCTTGGCCGCTGGAGGGGTTTGTTCCTTCGGTCGGACGACCCTCTGGGATATAAATAGCCGTTACTTGTCTCTCTTGGATACTAAACTTGTTTGGTAGGTAAAGTTGATAGCCCAAAATAACTTCCAAGTCTAATAAACCTTCCTGGCCCCCAATTGGTAGGGAAAGAAACAGACGTTACACGTGAAACAAATCTGCATTTAATTAATTTAAAGTTTGTTTGACAACTTTAAATTTAGAAAAATGCAATATTTAATCTAAAATTTTAACTGATTTGTACGGAAAAACAATTAAGTTGTATCTACAAAAAATTGGTTGTATAAGACTGTTTACAAGCAAATACTTTATAGTATTTTAGGTCATATCCAACATTGACTAAATTTAAGTTAACCTACGTAATTCGATTAAAACTATTTACACACCTCGGGGTTACCTATTCCCATTTGATTATCTTGACTGGTTCGCCAATGTTTCGAAACACTTACATGTTCCATCTTCAGGTCCCCATTGAAGTCTTAATAATTTTTTAATTCGATTTCCAATCAACAATACCTACTACTAGTATGCTCCGGACACTTTAAGATGTTACCTGTGCGCGGACCAGCACTTGTCATTTAGGACCTAGGTCGTATCTGTGAATGTACATTAGGCGGTGCTGAGCTATGACGATGATGAGACATGATCGCCTAAGATGCATTGTGGTTGGGAGTGAATAACCGAAAGGAACTGGCTCACGAAGGGATAGGTGGAGGAAATTAGTTATTGCGGCAATGGACCTAAATAGCCCGTAATAGCCAACAAAGAAGTAGAATGTATGGAATAAATGTTCTCAAATGTTTTATATTTTTTTTCTCGATTATTTTGGCCATTGTCGTATATAGGTAGTATTTTAAGTTTTTCTCTTGACACCTATTTTTATCGTTTTTTTATAGTATCTTTGGTCATAAAAAATAAAATAATTAAAAATAAGTTTCTTCTGTAAAAGCTTTATATAAAAGCTTTTTGAAAAAATGTTGACTTTTTTTTCAAGTAACAGAATGCCCAAAATTTGAGAATTTTTCTAATATTTTTTTCAGAAAACAGAGATTATTTTACATAAAATGTGTAAATTTCAAATTGGGATCTCCATAAAACGCTCAGAAACACAAAAAAAGAGGTCGTATATGTACACAATCAAACAAATTCAATAATTCTAGGCGTAGAAACTAGAGCTATAATTTAATTCCTTGAAATTTGGCTTTCCGACCATTATTTAATAGCACAAAATATTTTAATGTATCGTATCGTTACATATATATTTGCATTTTTACCATGTGCATTGCATTAGCATAGCAAAACTATAATCTATTATGTTACTATGATCCTTGTAGGTAATGTAAAAAGTCATATATAAATTATAATATAAAAGTGGATAATAATAATATATGCACTGCATATGCAACAACTTTAATGTTATAAGACTATTTACCTGTTCATGTTTTTTATTTTCATATTTCTTTTCAATACTTGGCTCCTCATTTTCATACGCTATACGATCAAGGTCATCCTGGAATAATAATTCAAAAAATAATTTCATAAATTATTAAAAAAAGAATATGGTATTTTTAATTGTAAATTTCAGTGATATTCTTGCAGTTCTACATGAAGTCGGTATAGCATAACATGGGGCCTTTTTACTATTATTTTTTTAGTGTGACGTACTATTGTGTTATGAACACCTTTGATATATACAATAACTCTTATATATTATTTAATGTTTATACGAATTGAAATACCAAGGTTTTAATGCTAAAGGGCCAATCGGCATCGCGCTAAAAATAGCTATTAATTTGTAGAAGAGAAGGATAGCGATATCCAAAAAAGAACTCAACCTAAGGGCAAACTCTTTGAAAAATTGCAAATTAATAATAATATTAAATAAGAATCTATAGAAAATTATGTCATGTGTTGACATTTTGATTAAAACATTTCTAGTTACTACATTTTTTACTAATATCCTTAGCACCGTCATAAAACAAATTCTATTTCGCTAGTGGCTACTGGGTAAAAATATATAATAAATCATTCAAAATAATTAACTTGCAAAAGCATTTCCAATGTAATTACCTTGTTAAATGGTTTAATACAAAGTAATTTAAGGAATTCAGACCTTCTTCCTGCTATTGTTTGCATCGTGGAATTTAGAAAACATATAAGGAATATAATACTTTTTAAATGCATCATCCTCTAAAATGTATGGGACAAATTTGTATAATATTATATAAAACTTATACAACTACTAGCTGTAAAATTAAAAACAACTATGCTCAAAACCCATATTTTTTATAACGCTGATATTTTTCCTTTGGAAATCAATCAAACGTAGAAAAATAATATATAAAATTAAATAAACACTATTTACTCTTCCATTGCATCATGAGTTTGAAAATCGAACAGACAACACAGTCTAATTAACAAGTGTGTGTTTTGTTAAATCAATAAAAAATATTCTTGTACAATAATATGCGTTCACGCAGATTTAAGAATAAAAAATTGTAGCTCGTTAAAATTATTTTTCAAAATAATTAACTTGCAAAAGCAAAGCACTCCAATGTAATTACCATGGTAGATCCACCCTTGAAACAAGATAAAGGTAAATGAAAGAATCTTGACGTTCTTCCAGCTATTGTTTGCGTCGTGAAATTTAGAAAACATATTAGGAATATAATACTTTTTGAATGCATAATCCTCTTAAAATGTATAGAACAAATTTGTATGATATTTTAAAACGTATAAAACTTCTAGCTGTAAAATTAAAAACAACTATGCTCAAAAAACATATATCGTATAATGCTGCTATTTTTCCTTTAGAAACCATTACAAATGTAGAAAAATAATATATAAAAAAAAATTGTTAATAAAAACAATTTACTATTCAATATTATTGTGTCGTATGTTTGAGAATCGAACAAACAAAACTGTATATTTGCACGTGTGTGTTCAATAAAAATTATTCTTGCACTAATGTATGTATGTCAATAATATGTTCACGCAGATTTAAAAACAAAAAATTGTGTAGGCGGGTATGCATCCCATTTTAAAAGCTCTTGACATTTTACTCAATTACACGTTTAATAACATTATTTACGGCGTTTATTATTTTTTATTAATTAATAAATTAGTTATTTAATTCATTATGAATTAATACTATTTTAGATTTAATATTTAAGTTACATAGTAAATTACAACATAATTATATTAGCTATTGGGCCTCAATAAAAAGCTAAAGAGTATTGGTTTTAGGTATTTGTTCTAAAAACCTAAAAAATCGCAAACTATTTACTGAGTATTCAAAGTTTTTTAGCTATTTATATAGTCTTACATATTATATCTATTCATCAAATAATCTGTTGATCTGCTTTGGTGAACCAAGAAAATAATATGTATTAACGTGTGTTATAGAAAATAACAGAAAAAAATGTAAAATTGGTATAATATAATGTTAAATTGACAGTTTTTGAAATGTAATTACAAGTGGAAGGTACATATTATGTGGAGGAAAGAGAACATTTATTGAGAGAAAGAGAACATCTTGTGAATATATTATTGTCACAATTAAAACATATCGAGAAAAGAGCTGTTATAAATACATAATCTGGAGTGTCCCTCGCTAAATTTATCAGTAGGAATTGCCAGCCAACTAGTCTACATCTAATGTTAAAAAATAAAGATAAACCATTTTGACTTCAATCGCAGGAGACGGCTTAGGTCTTAATACACCCACAATGGACCTTTAATAAATTATTTGTATGTTATTAAGTTTGTTACGTCTTGTTTGGGTGGCTGAGCCTAAGAAAAAGAAACCGACTATATCTAATTTAGCACGAAATACAGATTTATACAGAAGTTAAACTGTAGATGGGTTAAATGGCGATCAAATATTGGCAATTGTCCTAAGGAAATTGACAAACGGACAAGTAATTCAGTGAGATAAGCAAAATGTGTACATCTAAGTACAGCGTCCATATTTAGACCCAGATATGGCATGTAAGTGTATATCGTACTATCAAATTTAACAATAATGTTTCTGTTAATAAAAATGAGAGAGGAATGTAATACCTAGACACCTGTTCAATAAAAAAATCTTTGCGTTTTTCAGGAGGAAAAGACAAATAAAATGATGATAAAATATTATCGAAAGATTTTAAATAACATTACATTTTCTAAAGTGTATAGATTTTAAACGATTACAGTCGGGATTTTCGAAGGTTAAAACATTTGAAATTTTCTATTTCAGCAAAACAACAAAACGAGAAGTTGTTGGTAATGACATACAATAAGTATGCGTAGTTATTGGTTCAGCTATGTAGGACATACCACACATGTAAATATGAATTTTGTTTACTAAAACGAATTCTAAGACTATTTATGCTCCACAACTTTAAGTATATGGATTACGCTAAAATATTGTATTAAGTATTTCAATACAAAAACACATAAGTCAACAGTGTATCTAGTGCAATCAAACAAGTTTATCGTTTCAAAACATATTTTTATTTACTCTACAAGTCTATTGCAGTATTATATTTCATTTCATAATCGCTAAATCAAACTTATTTTTGGTAAACGACCGAATAAAAACAATTAAAATCCACCTAATCGGTTTAACCCTGCACTTTGGAAAAAAAAAAAAAAAAGCTTAACGATCTAAGCTAAATTACTTTGATAAAAATGTATTTTAAAATAATATAAGTAACACGAAACTAGATTTACAGTTTTGTGTGATTTTTTTCTTAAAACAAACACAGAAAGCCATAGGTAATAAATAGCCGGGTCTAAGATATCTCTGCGTCAGACCATGGGTGTCAGACTTTAAAATCAGAGAGGAGGGGTGGGAGGTGGTATAACAATATTCTGTTGTCCATAAGATTTATATTGTACTTGCACAAAAAGAGCTGAAAATAAATATCCCGGTATCACCCACCCTCCCCACAGTGCTCAAATTCAAAATGCGAAACAAAATTTTAAATCCTAAATATGAGCTAATAAAGTTCCAAAATGGTCGTAACTATTAATTGTAGAGTCGCTGAATCCAAATCTGGTAATATTTTTTACATGAAACCTTTATTAATGGAGTGAGTGGATTCTTATTTAATATTTAAAATGTATAATGTTAAATGCATTTTCATTTTTTTTTTCCAGACACTCATTTCATCTAAAAAATACCTGCAATTTTGTAGTTTTTCTTTTTGGAGAGTTCATATAATTTTACATTGTTAAACAATTTATCAAATGTTTATACTTGTTTTTTGCTTTAGACATTTTTTACTTAATAGTAAGAAGAATTTTTTGAAAATGTTGCCTAGTCGAAAACCAATTTTGAATAATCGCTTTTAATATGATTAGAGTTTAAAATTTAGGACGGGAGGTGGAGTTATACTTATGCGAGCAGATAACAAAATTACTATACTCTACCATTTTCCTCCCGTCCTAAATTTAAAACTTTAATAACTTAAAAAGTAACTGGTGATCGACCCACCAAAACTCTCAGCAAATTATTCTCAATTTAAAATGTGAATTTAATGTATAAGTTACCATTTAAGTTTCAAAAGTCGATAGACCTCTGGATAACACTAAAAATGGTAAATATTTAATTTTAAATTTTCAAGAGCTCTTTTGACCAAGCGGTAAGTAATTATATACTTAGGCTACAGCCCTCCCCGAAATGTCAGAAAATTGAATTATTATACAATAACCGTTTGTTATTGTTATGTAATAATTGCACAGTATAGTGTCATTATTTAAAATTTTGTAAATCAAAGGTTAGCCCTGCCCGAAACACTGAAAGGGGGGTAGTTAATTTGTTGTCCTGGGCTGCAAAATGTCTCTAGAATTGTTTTAAAGTATTTCTATATAAGTTTTATTATATCAATGATTCATATGTTTTTATTTTACTTACAAGTTTAAATATTTGATGCATACACAAATAAACCATAAAACCTTGCATTCCATATTATACTTCTAAATTATTAACACATAATAATATTTGTGATTTTATAGCTACAAAATATACATAATTATTTATAAAATACTTTAGTAGTTCTATTTGAATATCAAAATTTGTCAAAATGTCATGATTTCTTAAAATTAAATGTTATTGGTGGAAATGTTATATTGGATCATTTTCATAAATCTCTCTAAAAATATAGGTATATTGAACAGCACCAACTCAAAGTTATAATGATTTTAGTATCCCAAACTCTGTTAAATTTCCTCCAATTCACTTACTTGCAATTAAGAAGTTACACAAATAAATAAGTTTTAAAAAAAAATTATAGTTTTAATTATTATTGTGAAAGTATCAATGAATTAACATTTTTTTAAGAATAAGATATAATTGTATTCTTTACAATTAATAACCAATAAGTATATGCGAAAAAAAACAATTTATAACTTAAATAAAAAAACTTTTTTAAGTCTAAAAAAATTAAGTGATAAAAATAATGAGAAAGTTTTAATTTTATAACACACAAATAATAGTATCAATAAACAAACATTAAAATGTATATCACTAGTATTGAAAATTGAAATCCACTTTTACCATGTAACGAATTTTTACTTGAGAGATGTCATAAACAATAAATCTGTGAAAAGTTGGTTAAGAAATAATTTTTCTAAGAATGATACATAAACATTAAATTATAAAAAAAAATATTAGAGAACAAAGTGTACAGCTATTAGATTTTTTTTTATAATTGAACTTTCAATACTATTAAGTATGATAGTTCAACCATAAGTATATAAAAGTTATTAGTAAAAATATAATTTAAATATAACACAAAATTGAATAAAATGCAATTATAGTCCCCCGTTGCCTATAGTAAATATATTATAATATTGAATTTAAATGGAATTATACACAATTAATTTACAGATGGAAAACCACCATAAAAATAAACTTAACTCTTTAATGACTACATGAAAATATAATGTGGTAGGTGTTATGAAATCTTGAATTGGTTAAGATTTTAATACATTGGGATTACAGTAGCACTACACAACAAAAATAATGTCTATAAACTGAGGTTATGACCACAAGGTACTTCACGTTTATATCATTTTTCTTATAAAGTAAAAACGAGATTCAATCCGGCGTTCTTATTGGGACATCCCAATATATATACTTATATATATTTATAGGAATGCTGTTCTACAAATAATCAAGACCTCATTATTAGTTTTTAACAAGATTTAAAATATACAATTGTTTAAATTATTTTTCGACTCTCAACTAATTTTATTAAAAAGGATACTCATTGTACAACAACACGGTGTCATTAACATTTGAAGGAACTGGTTTCCCAAGCGGTACTTCGACTTTGTCATCAATCAAAATTGATTCAGCTGGATTAGGCATAGTCCTGCCAATACCCTTACAACTGTGCTTTCCAGCTGGTAGTTTCTCAACATAATGACTTTGCTTGTGTTCATCCCTTTATACATGTATATTTTGTTAATATTTCTGTATTTTATACGTGTATTAAATACTCACATATTTCCTAGTGCTACTTCACACAATAATAATAAACCACTATTATTGGTGTGCGTTGCCATACAATAATTTGCAGACTTTGAGACCATATCGGCAAAATATATACCCTTTCCAAACATATAACCAGTCACAGGAGCTTCTTTAGGAGCAATACGTAAACCCTTTATAACAATAAAAACAATATTATTATTTATTAAAATTCTACTTAATATTGCAATAAAAGTTGTATACTTGAGAAAGTATAGCAGCAAAATTTGTAACACGAGAACCATGCCACAACATTTTACGATTGTGCAATTTTTTAAATGGTTTAAAACGCTTTTCTTCTCCAGACCTGACCACTTTAAACACATCTTTAATGTCCAATGTATATGTTCCATGAGTTTCAGCATGAGTGTTTCTTATATACTGTTCAATAATTGAAAACTCATTCATCTTAGAGTCTAATACCTAGTTGTAGACACATAACATAAAAAGTTATAATAGTTGCACTAATAAAAAAAAGATTTCTCATAAACCATACATACTTCTATAACAGAATTTAGTTTTAAATAATGGGAGTCAAGAGGATGTAATGTAGAATCTTTGGAACATTTATCATCCATCATATTATAAGCAATTTCAATTTCCATTAAATTAGTAATTATTTCCAATTTCTCCTATAATAAGATAATCATTAGTTGATAAAAATACTAGTTTCTATTATAATAGAAAAACATATATGTACAGTTATATCTAGAGGTCCCTATTACACGTGTATTCGATTACACATGAAACCCGTGTAATTGACATACACGTATATTCAAAAACATTTATTTTTGTTATTAATTTTAGTTTTATGTTTAATATCACGTCTATTTAATTATACGAACTCAAACACAAGTATAATTGTGTAAATACGTTGACTCAAACTAAAGTTTTTGACAAAATAAATTTTTTTAAATACACGTGTATTTATAATTACACGTCTATATACACGTGTATGTTAATTACACGGGGTTCGTGTACACGTGTATTTAAATTAAACGTTTAAAATCTCAGGCACTAGTTATATCATAAAGCTGATACCAAAATCATAAAAATCATAAATTTTATTAAAAATAAAATTGTCTGACATGAAAAAATGTCTAAATATGATATGAACAAAAAATACCACCTTCCTACTATATTTTGAATTAGTTTATAGTTCTAGGATTAATGTAGTCATAAAAAATATCTTGAAAACATTAAAGCTTAAATTCATTTTTCTAGTTTTAATTTACTTTAGGAATATTTATTTAAGCTCAGTGTAGAATAAAGTGCAAAATGATACGCCAATCCATATCAAACAATATTATAAACATTAAATATTAAATAAAGAACTTGTAAATATTTACGTTGAGAATTTCTTTGGTATTAATTAGTGGTGGATTCTTAATACCAAAATCATGCGGTATCAATGTGTAAAATCTATTAGTTGTCTCAATGATTTTTCCTTGCTTATTACATTCTTCATCAGAGTCCATGATATTATTTAAATTGGTCAATGTAGTGTAGGCAAGTTGCATTTGTTTCCGGCTCAACTTTCCCAATGGCATCTTTTGTAAATCCAACTAAAATTAAAAAAAATATAAATGTTAATTTTTATTTCTTGAAAAATCAAGATAAACTTATCAAACATAAAGACTTAAACATCATACTTCAAATTCATACATGACTCTTTTCATTGCTTCGACATCAAAAAGCAAACGTATGAGTTTTTGAACAGGATCGGGTAACTTGCATTTCAAATTACTAAATGTATCTAAAGATTTAGTTTCGTCCTAGTTTAATAAAACCATATTATTAATAATACTTTTATACACATGTTAAAAAAAATTACTACAGTACCTGACCATAATCAGTATCAACAGGTACTTTTTTACCCGCAATTTTAACAAAACTATTTTTATTTTTCCATAAATTTCCAGTCTGGTCTTCATAATAATATTCAAATTCCGTTTTAGCATCTTCTAATGTTTCATGCTCAACAGTTTTGAAACCTCCTATAGTTGTACCAATTCTCCCCCAGGAACGAAAAACCCAATACCTAGAACTAAAAATGTTTTATAATGTAATTATTTTATAAAGTACTGCAGTACTTATTTATTCAATTTGTTATTGGCTAGTATTCCGTTTTAGGGCCATCACTGCTTCTACTTAAGAGGAGGTGTCTAAGCAAATAATTTGTGTTTATTCTATTCTAACATAATACAACTATTTTTTTATTAAAGTGTAATAAAATTGTAACTTATCATCCAAACATAGATTTAAGGTGTCAGATATCGCACCATACTACGGCTACACAAAAAAAATTTAATATTTCTTTATACTGATTAAGTTTTTTTTATATACATACAAAAATTATATAAAACCAAACCTTTTGTTTCACAGTGTTGCTTAATATGATATATTATTAATATTTATTTTATAAAAAAAAACATAGTGGCTCATGTAATGTAAAAGCCCCAAGAATGTTTAAAAATGTTAAATAAGCTAAACTTATAACAAAAAAATCCATTTTTATTTCTGTGAATAAAATCTATACTCGGACAATGAAAACTATGAATATTTAAGAAGGCTCAGTAAAACAAAAATATATTAACCTAACAAAATTTGGTTTTGTTAAAAAATATCTAGTCTAGACTGGGCTCATCAAAAACTGCACAATAAATTTAACAAATCAAATTAAAAATTTTGTTAAAGAAACAACAGATATTACTAAAAATTATCAGGTTACCTGTTTTTGTTATCAGACTCAAGTAATTGTATCTTATAGTAGGAATTTTTACCACTCTGTACATCTGATAGGCATAAATTTGCATTCCATACTACATTATTATGCTTGTACACATGAGCCTTATGTTGTAGTTCAGACTGTGGCTCTACAGCAACTCCTCCTTTTAATGTCAGCTTAATACTAGTGGGCACACTTTTTTCATACATGCTTTTCCCAAATGATTTACTTTTCACACCACTTTTTAAACTATTTATTGCTTCCAACTCTTTTTGTCTCTTTTCGATTCGTGTTTTAACCTATAAATTGTTCATAATAATTTGTATTATATCAACAACGTGTAAATAATAAATAAATTATAAATGTATACTACCTTACTACTATCTCCACCCCAAGGGGCTAAATTTTTCTCAGTTATTACATCTATAGCATTGCTACCTTTATCAATAGCATCAAAGAATTCTGTAGGTTCAACAATTTCAATATTATTTTCCTGGGCTTCTTTCATTTTAACAGATTTTTTTCCAACGCTTTCTAAAATTATGGTGTCATATTTAATAATATATAAAAGCTTTAATGCATATTATAATATGCTATCTCTTACTTCATATATCAACATAAAATACATTTTAACTAAATGGATTTGTGTGATGAAAGACAAATGTCTTGGCTACAAAGTTCAAAGTTAAAAAAAACCAGCTCAGAAAGGTTAGGGTATAGTAAGTCACAGCTACTGAGAAATTATTATAACTGAATGATGAAATCACTTACGAAAAATAATGTTTTTTTATGTGGATTTATAGATTACGAAATATTATTTTATAAGCGAGTTTTATTATTACCATATTAATAATTTAAACCACTAAATTATCATAACCTTCAAGCGCTCACCAAAATTGTTTAGAAAAAATGTATTTAACGCAATAAATATGAACTCAAATTTTAAGTAATATTTTAGCTTTTTACTTCAGGTAAAACCCACCTAAGAGAATGCCACACTAGCCATTTGTTTTGTACAAACACAAGGGTTAGTTAGCATTCTATACACAACTCTAAACATATTTATCATATAAAAATAATGTTGACATTAAAAGAAAGATCAAGACTTAAAATATGCCTTTTCAATAAGTTTTATTATTATATCATTATTTGTTGGTTTTCACTAGTCACTAAAAAGTTATTTGTGGGTCCTGACACAAAAATAGGGAAAAATAAAAATACATTGTATAAAACCAATACCTTTTCTAGTTTGTATCGAACTAAGATAATCAGGTTAATAATCAATTTACCTGCATTTGAAAAAACCGCTGCTGTTGAATCTGTGCACTGCGATACTAATGTACCACCATATTTTGGTATTTTAAGTTTCAAATTTTTTAATTCTGGACCTTTGTAAATAGTTGTAAACTCCATATTTCTTAATGGTAAAATACGTGTAACTCTAGCCCTGTTGAAACAGAAAATGTTTTGATTGAATGGATATGTTTCTTAACAATTATAAACCTTAGAACTTACACTCCCTTATCGTTTGTTGTTGATGATGCGGACGATGAAGATTTTTTATTTTCAGAAAAAACTCGTTTCTGAATCTTACATTTGTATGAACTCCTTATTATTTATGGAAAAAAAATTTGGTCATTATTTAAAAAAAAAAAATAATAATAAATTTATTAAACTTACAAAAATTTATCATTTTCAAGGATATGGGAAGGAATCTCAAATTTAACTCTGGGTGGATCGGAAAAGACTTTTTCACATTTTAACCATTCATTCTTGTATCCTAAACAATGATATCCAACACCACTTCTGAACACTAATTGACCTTTGCATTCATCACAGGGCAGTAATGTTCCAAAAGACATTGCATCTGATAATCTATCTAAAGTCTAAAATAAATAATAGGAATCCAGATTAGATAATAAAAAATGATCTGATTACACTATACAACATAATTTTGGGGCAAGAACTTCTTAAAATACCATGAAAAACATTATTTTTTTTACTGAACTCACATCTATCTAGCTTTAATTGTATTTAATCTCTCTTCAGTATTTTTTCATCACCCCGAAAATTGTAAAAAACAAAATACAAAAATCAGAATATTTTCATTTTATTTTTAATATAAAAAAAATTGGATACCAGCTCTAAATATAGCCAAAAAAATGGAAAAAGAACACTTCACAATAAAATTAAGAAATTCATCCGAACAAACTAACAACACTAAAAGTACCACAAAACAGTATTTTGTACAACTTTGAGGGCAATGAAACATTTTTTTAAAAAACCAACAAGCTAGAATAATTTTGAGCAAGATTCAAATTCAGCGAAAAAATATATGTATTTTACTTAAAAGAAAATAAAATTTGTCTGTAGTGTTATTAATTTATTGTAATAAAAATATAAATAATACATTATAATACTCAAAACAATTGTTAACATACTGCATCATTATTTGAACTGGGAATTTCTTGTTTATTATACTCCAAAAGATGTTTCCAAACTTTCGAATTTAATGTTTTTAAATAATCTCGATATTTAAATATCAAAATATTTTGTTTTTTTATATTTGATTCCATATTTTCATTGTCAATCTTTAGTTTTTTACTTGGACCTGGTGAATCAGTATTATCTGTACTGTTGGTACTAAAAATAAACAAAATTATTGAAAATATTGTGATTTATATGAATTTATGATAATAAATATTAGTAAAGAAATAAATTAATTGAAAATTTTAATAAAACTTGAACCACAAAAATAAATTATAGTATATACGTATTTTAGTAGCAATATCACCATCATTAGCACATACAACCAACAGAACAATTATGTTTATAATATAACGATTATCTTTATATAAGCTCTATAAAGCGTTGTTACACCATAAATTAACATAGTGAACGCGTGTTTTTATGAATTTGAATAACATATTTTGTAATGGACTCGGATCTCAATTAAACAAATTGTTCTTATTTTTCAACAATTTTATTGTATTTTTAATATTAAGTTCTTTAGTTTCTTTTACTTTGTGAATTTTTCCCACCTGGAAATAGTGAGAGATCTTTATAATTTAAAATGATAAATAATTATATTGAGAAAAATTTTAATATAAAAAAAGATAGAATTAAAAAATTTAACAAAATTATGTACGAGTCAAAATGTTTTCCAGTTTCAGAATAGGTTTTTTGCATAAACTGAAGGAACATTACTGGGTAATCCATTATCACCTTTCTTGGCAGAAGTTTTCATGAGTAGATTTGAAGTAAATATTTAAAATAGCAATAACAATTTCACGAAAATTTACAAATTTTTCATTATCCTTCCATTACATTAATGTTTAAAAAAGAAATCGATGGAAAGTTGCCTTTCCTTGATTAAGTAATTAAAAGAATGGACAATAATATAGCTTTTGAGATTTATTGTAAGAAAACGCACTTTGAGGTATATTCCCAAAGATTCAAATCATGTTGGCGACATAAAATAGCAGCATTTAATAGTATGGTTTTCAGATTAGTCAATATTCCTATATTAAATATTATTTTGATAAAGAACTTAATTTAAAAATTGAAAGAACTAAATTTAATGGGTATGATGCAGATACAATTTTTAGATTAGTTAATAAACATAAATGGTTAAGAGAAGTTAGGACAGCCAGCAGGCTTAGTAGGAGGAATGATGACAAAATTATAAGATAAGGTATGGTTCAACTGTTAGGTATCTCAAGGGACTTAACAATTTTTTTATAATTAAGTCTTTTGTTTGTGCTGATGACGATAACATTAATGCCGAAATACGTATACACTATAAAGCATTTTTTTTTGTGGTTAAGGGTTTATTTACATACTTTATTATTTTATTTCTTTACTGTAATAACCACATTCAAGTGTTGCTCAAGTTTTTTTCTAGATTAATAAATATTACTTGAACAAACATTAAAAATTGTTATATACTCACGAAGTAGTTAGATTGGCTATACCAGGTAGCAGATTTCGTAACTGATTTTTATCTTCAACTTTCAAGCTTGAGTACCCAGATAAGGTGCAACCATAACCCAAAAACCCTAATTCAGTCCTTAACTTAGTAAAACATTCCAAATGGTGCCATCTATTAATTCCACCAAAACGACGAGCTTCTTCACTTTCATAATCCATTTTACCTATACGTAAATCATCCTAAGCACATGTATTGTAATGAAATACTCTATATAGAAAAAAAAATTATGTATAGATCTCACTTTAACTATTTTATCCTGACATCCACAACAAACTGCTCTACCTGATTTAGCATATTCTACGTTAAAATCTTGATTTATTTTTCTGTTAATGGCATTTTTTTTTTTTTTGGTTTCTTGTGCAGGAGTACCAACTAAAGATTCTAAATTTAAAAAATTACATACAGTACACCGTAACCAAAGGCGGATTGGCTGTTTGGCCCAAAATTGAGCACTTTCCAATCTACTTAGCTACAAACAAAATTTCAAATTTAATATAAAATATTCTATTTCAATTACGGTACCTAATTTTGTCTTTATTATTTGTTGATCGTCCCATTTTATTGATTCAAAATGTGCAATATCTGAAACTTCTTTTGGCCGTTGTTTTACAAAAAAACAATTGATATGGTACCAATTGGGTTGTTTTCCATCAAACACTGGAGACTAAAAAATAAAATAATAATAAAAATATATATGGTCAATAGAATTTCATTATACAGTGTTATTTTCCTATAAAATTATTAGTGTATCCATAACAAATTTATATAAAATCTAGATTATATTAAATTAATAAAACAAAAGTGTTTTTCCTAAGCTAAGCAACATTTTTTAAGGTAAGTACGCAAGAATTAAATATTGTACATAAATGATTTTAAGAAATAAGAAGATATTTTATTTATAGATATCATTAATAACTATTTAATTGATATTATGACATTAAAGCCCAGAACCATATTACAAAGAAAATCTCCCTTGTAGCTTGGATTTTAGTAGTTCATTTTGGCTTGACGAAAATGTTTTGCACTAATGTTGGTTTTTACTAGGAACAATTGTTGGCATCACTTTTACCTGAGCCTATAATCTATAAAATATTATATATTTTTTAACATTAAGGTCTTAGAAAAGTCTCAAATGTTATCATTTGAGATTGTTATCAATTATAGTATTTTAAAATTATGTTATGAAAATATAATATTTAATATTAATATTTATTAGGCATTTTCCTGTTTTACAAAAATATTATTTTAGATCCCAAAAAAAAATTGTTATTAAAAAATTAATATTTTTAAGACAACATATCAAATAAATATCTAAAATGTTTGAAGTCTCTAATAATTAGTGTAATTTAGTATGTACTTGAATCATAACGGCAAGTCTTAAATGTTCCTTTTCAATTCCTTCTTTACATCCTTTGCATTTGGACCTGCCGCTTTTAGCATATTCTACTCTGTATGGTAAATCGTCAATTTCCATTTTACCAAAAGGTAACCTATATTATTAAGTAATAAAAGTTATATAAGTAATATTAATACAATATAATAGTTATAGTTATTAATATAATAGTTATATAAGAAATAATAATACTTTTAAAACACTTCTTCTGTAAATTATACTAACAATTAGTTTAATTTACCGACAGCGACCTAAGGTAGTTTTAACTTTTAATTTAACATAGAAAACTGAAGAAAGCAATTAAAACTTGACAAAACAAAAACACAAGACAACGTAAACTGCCAATAAAATTGGAGGGAAAACGGATACTTCGTTTGTAAATTGTACAGCCCTAAACATATTATTTGTTATCTATTATATTCTGTAACCCCCGGCCTTAGATGATCAGGTCGGCCAACTCTAGCCTATACCGTTATCAGTTGCCCGCAAAAATGTTTATGGAATTCGACGGCGTTCACTATTTAGGTTTCCACTTCCCAGCCACACATTCGGTATTCTTCAAATGGTATTACTTGGTTATTATTTGGTAAAAAAACAAACAACGAGGTTACCATTGCGGAAACCTAACCTATGACCATGGGACGTGGGACACTGGGAACTGAATATCCAATAAATTGATGAAAAGCCGAAGATACATAGTGGCTAGTAGTATAGTATTATATAATATTGTACTTTGGGTTTGGGCCTAAGATAGTTGGTATTAGTTTCATTTTTTGCAACTTTTGTGCTTTGGCTAATTACCCAATAATTCGATGTGTTCGTTATAAACTATACAGTGTAGTTGACAACAGCTTTTAAGAAAAAAAAAGAGTTAATTTGGACAGGTGTAGTGTATACACTTTCCACACCAAAGGCAATGTATCGGATTTCGGTGTAAACTGAAAAGCCAAAAACACCAAAATTGTTTTGAAACAGCACACCTCTAATACACTACACTATTAGTGCATCACCATTTTTTTAAAACGAACAAACCTAATTAACTGTAAGTTGTTATTCACCACAAAAGAATAAGGCTATGGTTATTTTTTTACAAAACTAAAAAAATTTTCATTTTTTCCAGAGTGCAATTTTATTTAAAACTAAATAACTTTAATTGTACTTTCATTGAAGTTGGGAAAAATGACAACAGCTTCTGCTATCCTTCCATAAATTAACAGTATTAATGACTGATGAGTGATTGATAAATTTTAGCCGCTTAATGTTATAATATTCGTAGTCAATAATTTTACTAATTCTGTAGTATTCAGTAAATATTACATATTTGTTAGAATGATTGGTAGAAATAAGGACACAGAATATTCCTTTATTTTATAGATACCGCTGATATTTAAGTATATGGTTTAACTGCTTAACAGTTAATACCTGTAAGTATCTTGAAAACTGACTTTCCTATTTCGCTTGTGAACTGTAAACAGAAATTTACTTTTGGCGTCTGTCGGTTTCTAGACTACTCTTAACTGTCTTTAAGATCCCAGTCTCAAATCGATGTAATGCGTAATCAATATTCAATAGCCCTTTTTGTAAATAAAACTACTATTATTTCTCGTAAACTCTTATCATATTTTATAAATTACTGTTTATATCTCTAATCGTTATCATTACTCAGTGGGCTGTGGGTATCAAATGTTATTCGTGTGATTTTGAATATTTCAAGATTTTTTGCACAATATAATATATTATTCTATTTAAATATTTAGCCAATCAAATTATAGTGTGCAGTTTTATAAAAAATAATATAGTAACATAACGAAGGTCAACATGTAATATAATACTGTCATTTGGTTAACAACTAACGAGTACCAACCAGATAATTATTTAATTAACTAAAGTAGTAATTCTTGTTTAAGGATACTTATTTATACTTTTATATTTTACGACTCTTGATTATACTTGGGAATAAACTACCAAATTGTAAAAGAAATAGCAAGGTTTAATAATTTACAAATCTCCATAAGTTTATTCACTAGTAATTTAAAGTGGCTTTTTTTAAAGTTCAATAAATTATAATATTGAGGTATATAAGTAATCACCAAATATTACTTTAAAGTAAGTAACTACACACTTCAATATTTTACATCTAATTTTATTACTTTTATATGTATTAGTAATTAAGAAAAAATATTTTTGATAGTGAAATCTCAAAGAATATGAATGTATGTATCTACACATTTCAGAAATAAACATAAATAATATTTTACTATTATAAAAAATGTATTATTTAGAACTTGTTTTTTATTTTAGAAAAAAACAATATGGACTTAATTTAGATGTTCTATATTCTTAAAAATACTTTTGATTAATTTTTTTTTACTGTATTCTAGGATATGATGTTTAAACCAAACAAATTGTTATTAGAAAATAAACAATGTCCATGAGTATAAATATAAAAGTGATATATTTTCATTTGTTTACTTGTTAGAAAGTAAGTAAACTAAATTATCATATAATATAAATTATATTTTAACAATATATATTTGTTAATTAATTAATTTATATATTTTTTTAATGTATATGTAGATGTTTTTTTAATTTTTTTTGCTGAACTATGAAATAAGTCCTTATAATCCAAATGTAGTCTTATACATAAGACATTAAACAAATAGTTCTTATGATGTATTATTGAAATATAATATTATTATAATCAATTTGCATGGTGTTGTCTTTATTTTTTTTGGGCCTTATACATTTTACATTAATATAATACAATTTTTTTATTATTACCAATCACGACGGTTATTATGAATACTCACAATAAGTATTAAAAATACTTTATAACATTAAAAAAAAAAAAACTACATAGTTTTTACTATTAATAATTTTATATTTTAAATAATAAATTATTTTCAAAAAGTAGGTTACAATTACTTTTACTTGAAAACTATTAAAAACAATATAATTATATAGGATAAATAAATAATTTTTAAAATCATTGGTAGAAGGTGCTATAGAAAATAATTTTGAGTTAAAAGAACATTAACCTCCATAAGTATAAGGAGGTCCATAAATTATGATGTATATGACAATAGGTTTGAGAAACCCAAGTTATTGATTTTAATTTAAATACTTCTATTCATTGGTACCAAGAACTTTAGGTACTGACTACTGGTATGAATGTACAAATCACTAGTGGTAACTGAAAAGGCAAACAACCTTCATTAACTGTGTTTAATAATTTTTAACTTTCCAATAGTCAATCCTAATTTCTACTTTAATGATATTTAAACTTTTTATATTCACAGTAAATAGTTGTGTTATAATATGTTCATTTGATTTCCCATTTTTATTTATATTTTTGAATTGCAAAAATGAAATTTAAATTAAACCTTGACAAATAAATAATTTCTTTTTTTTATTTAATTTATTTAAATAAATAGTTTAAATTTTTTTTAAATAGAAACAATGTTATAAAATAATTTATTTTATAATTGGATTATTAAGGGCAATTTAAATCAAATGTGTTACCATTACAAATTAACATATATTATAAAATCTTAAATTTTCTTTTATTGGCTTATAATTTGGTTTTGTTTCTTAATAATAAAGCTATTATTATTATTTAATTATAGTTCAGTGTAATAAAGTGCATTATGTCTACATCACTAGAAGTGGAAGACAACATAACTGTTTACAACACTCTCAGAGATTTATGTAAAGAAAGTATTGACTATTTTACAAACGATGAGAAAAATAAATTTGCACCATTAGCAAATTCTTTTAGTCAACTTTTTGAAAATATTGGTTCCATATTGCCATTTATACATGAACTACGTAATGTCTGTCATTTATATGACTTCGATCCGTCTATACCAGGAAACGGTTATCGTAGCTATGTTACTGCTGTTGATTTATTTATTGCTCATTGCATAAAAATTTGCAATCAATTAACTGCAAACAGAGATTCTTTTTTTTTTCGTAGAACATTTTATGCAAAGTATGAAAAATACTTAATTTATTTTAATTCTTAATTAATATCTTAATTTATAGTTGATTCAATTTTATCTTTCAGAGAAATAGAAGCATGTAATCAAGTGATGAGTGCTTTGGTATTGTGTTTAGAGAATTTGTGTCTTTTAATTGGATGGAGTGAACCAGGTATGCTGTTTGCTGGAAATGATAGCGCTGCTTTAGATTTAATGATGAAAATCGAACCATCAAAACTATGTGCTTTTTATGGGCGTTGCCTAGCTTTCCAAGTTAGTACAACAATTTTTCAATTAACTATATATATATGTGATATGTATACAAATAAAATTTGTTTATTTCCTTTTTATATATGGTATAATATATAATAATAATAATATTAGTGATATATTAGTATTTAAAATACCTTTTGAGTTTTGTAATACATTAATTATTATTAGCAGTGTTTTTAATATAATTTATGCACCACAAAGTAAAATAAAAATGTTATAATTTAATCGTTTAGCTTACCAATTGTCATCATTACCAGTGTAATTCAAACTGAAATTATTTTCTATTTCGATCTGAGAAATATGTTTTTTTTACGCTGTGTACAGTGTATGATTATATATTACCTAACCAAATCTCACACTTATTCTATTTATTTAGGTATGTTAGAAATTACTATCTATGGATACACTTGAGCATAACAGTGCATATATTAATACTTAATACATCACAAGTCACGCGTGGTAAATAATCTCCCAAAGTATTTTTTAACATGCACACTTGTGTTATTACTTTACAAATCGGTTTAAGATCACTGTACTTTATCAACAATATTATGATATTTTAATAACGATTGATCTGCTTAGATATATTTTAGTGTCTTTGTTATACTTATTCAAAATAGGATAGGATTTTTTTATTTTAGAAAATAATAACCTCACACAACTTACCTATTAAGACTTCTGTAAGTTTTATATTACTATAAAACATACAAGAATTTTTTTTTTGTACTCAATATTTCAGTAATTATTATTAAAATAAATAAAATATATTAATTACATAAAGTTTTAAATAAAAATAATGTTCATATGTAATTTTGAAAGAAAACTATTGGAAAATAGCCCCAACCAATTTGTAAACAAATTTACACAACCAGTTAATATTATAACAGAAAGTTACTGACAGTTTTTTGTCAGTACTAAGCTTCTAGTTGAAATTATTTTACTGACATTGTTCGTTCTACTCACCACATTTTTATTTTTTAGTGACATACACTCATAATATACTGTGATTGTTATTTTCTCCTTTTTGTGCATTATTTATAAAAGCTTATTTTTTATTTTATTTTAACATAATATTATTTTTTATATTTTTTTGCATTCAACTATAACAAAATTATTATTGTTTTGTAGTTTGAAGAATCTCTGCAGCCTGCTTTAAAAACAATAGCCATCATGATGGCATCTTTTAGTGAAGTTTATTATAATGAAAGCAGTATGTTAGCTAGAGCTAGTACTGCATGGAATTGTAAGTTTTTTTTTTCTAATGACAAAACTAATTTTATGTTTGTACATCATATTTATCATTTATGTTATATGTGATATGTGTAGGTAGCAAATATATGTTAAATCCAGAGCTAAGAGCTCGAAGACTTGTTAATCTTATTCAATATTCTTCAATAGAATTTTACAAAGCATTTTTATTTCTTGGTGAAACTGGTATGTTTTTTGTATCTTTATACATATATAATACACAAATTATACATACATGTATTTTAGTTTTGGTTTCTTATTTAGACTGTACGAATAAGTCTCAACAATATAATATAATTTAATCATAAGATTAAATTATTTTGTTCATTTGATATTACGAAGATATTGCTTTTTATGATTAATTGCTTTTTGGCTAAACAAATATTTTATTGTCAATATAGTTACTACTACAGGATTTATGTGACCCTGTATACATGTTATTAGTAAATAACTTTGAACTATTAAATTATATACATGTTTATTTTTTCTTATAGAATTATTAAAAAGTTTACCTAATCTGGTATCGCCTGCTGTTTCTGTAAATCGTTTAATAGCTATTCCAAGTAAACCTATTTTATATCTAAAGCCAGACGGACAACTGTACGAACTTCAACCACCTAAATGTCATACGGGATCAGCCCCTTTGAATGTACGACTAATTTCAAAAGTTAGACGTGAAGGCATGGTAAGATAATGGAAAGTGTATACAAATTTTTTTAATAAATATTTAAAATACTTAGCTTGCAGAAAACCCTGGTGCTGGTTTATTACCAGAGCCTTGTGAATATCTTATTATTCATTGTCATGGAGGTGGTTTTGTATCTCAAAGTTCTAGTTCACATGAGTCCTATTTAAGAGAGTGGGCTGTACGGTTGGACATGCCTATACTATCAGTTGATTATTCTCTTGCGCCAAGAGCACCTTATCCAAGAGCCAGAGAAGAACTTTTATTTGCATATATTTGGGCATTAAATAATGTAGCATACTTAGGCTCTACGGCAAAGTATGTAATAATGGCAGGTAATATATATTTTAATTTATTTTATATTAATCTGTCTTGACAGCACATAGCAACGGAAATTTCAAAATTACCTTTTTTAATATGTATTTGTCAGCAGTATACATTTATTAAATATTAAAAAAAAATTTTTTTTAATATGTTTATTTTACTGTAGGTGATTCTGCTGGTGGAAATTTAAGTGCGTGTGTGGCTCTTAAATGTATAGAAATGGGATTAAGAATACCAGATGGACTTTTTCTTGCTTATTTTCCTTGTCTCATTGCTTGGTCACCAACACCTGCTAGATTTCTAAGTTTAATCGACCCATTAATACCTTTAGGCTTTATGACCAATTGTTTAAAAGGTAAATTTATATTGTTTTTCTTTGTCATATTATTTTATTAAATAATTTAACTTATAGCATACGCGTGTCCACCTGAAAAATATCGTGACAGCATATATGAATATAAATTAAAGAATATTGCTAAATCTAAAGATGATTTAGCAAATGGAATTGTAATTGAGGAAGGAATAGAATCAAGTGAGGAAGCTTTGGAACTTATTTCATCTAATGAAGATGAAAATTTGTCATCAGTACCTCATGTTGAAGAGGTCATTATGGCTGCACATCAAAGGCGACAATCTAAACGATTATCCTCTATTTTAACTAATACTGCAGAAAATATTTCTTCAACTATTAGTAATACATTTTTAACATTAACTAAAGGAAATACAGAAGAAGACATAAGGTAACTGTTTATTTTAGTCATACTATAATCAGTGTCTGTATATTATTATTTTTATATTATGTAGAATAATTAGTGTATACTATTAACCACCTAAATTTCTATTATTATTAAACTGGTAATTTAACTTACCAAAAATAATATTCAATATTATTATAAATAATATATTTATTACATTATACTTAAATAAAAATGGAGGTAACTATTTCTATGGTGTTGTGGCAGAAAGTAATATATCTGTTTTTTTTATAGGTTAAAAGTGAGAAAATCAATGTTAAAAGTTAAAAAACTTAGTGTGCTCACAGAATACATTTAATTGTCTATTATATTAGTAAACAAATTTAATCATTGATGAAAATAATATACATATCCAATAGGAGTAATCTAACTTTGTGTTACACATATTTCAATTTAAGTTTGTTTGTTTTTACAACCAAATATGTATGTTTACATTTGCTCCATCTGTTAGAATTCACCCATTTGACCCAAACAATATTTGTAAAGTATTGATGTGTGTATATAAATTCTTATTTAAGTGATGGAGAAGATGCTTTGGAGGAAGTGGTAGAAGAAACTCATATACCAATTGATTTACCCAAATTACCTGAAGATCCATTTCTATCTCCATACTTAGCTGGTGATGACTTATTTAAACAGTTACCTATTGTTCACATTGTGGTAAGTTATTGTACTATTAATGATTATTATAATTGTGCTATACTTGTTTAATCATTTATAATCACTAACTTCATTATCTGTGGGTGATTATTTCAATCATTGTATATCAAAATTTCTAAGAAATCAGAAAAGAATTGACATAATATAATAAATTTTAAGACAAAATAAGAAATAATAATTTATTAAACATTTTCATATTTACACACATGTAACTATGTTTACAATAATTTTTAGTTAATGTAATACAATGTTATATTTTACAGACTGTACACATGGATCCGTGCCTAGATGATTGTGTTATGTTTGCTAAACGATTAAAAGAACTTGGGAAAAAAGTAAAATTGGATATTCTCAAAGGACTTCCACACGGATTTTTGAATTTGGCCATAGTAAATTAATAATTTAATTTAATTTTACATAATCATCTACAAAATATGTAATACAAATATATTTATAGACTTGCAAAGAAGCACACGAAGGTTCATTATTATGTGCACAAAGAATTAAAGAATTATTTGAAGATATAAAAACTTCAGACTCCTAGTCCAATTTAACAACTTCAAAAAAATGGCATGTTTATCTACACATTAAAGTAATCCAAAAGTTAAAATGTTTAGCTACATTTAAAATTGAATGCATACATTGTGATACAACTAAACTAATCTTTTAGTTCATATATTATCAAGAAATCATAAAATTTCGCTTATTATTATATGACTATAGTATTAGTTTTTAAATGACTTTAGAAGGATTAAAACAAATAAATAACTGTATGTCAGCATTGAAACATATTTGTTTATATATGTTTATTATAATATACTGTATAAATTACAGTGTTATTTGTAATATTAGAAGTAAATTAATACAATAAACAAGTAAAAAGATGATTTGTGTTTAGTCTTTTTTGTTGTTATTTGAATGATGGTCATTTTTCCCATTAACAGTTTTAGGCCGTAGACGTTTTTCTAATACATATGCATCCGCAGGCTCTATTCTCTTATAATAATGTTCTTTAGTTTCAACTATTTCAAAACCAAATTTTTTGTAGAATTTTATGGCACTGTCATTGTTTAATTGCACATGTCTACAGAAAAAAAATATAGATTATTGTTAATATGTGTAATATAAAAGTAACTTAATTTTTAATAAGCATAAGCATTTTTTACAGAATATACAGAAACCAAATTTATCTACCATTTTTTTTTTATAAGCTAAATTTTTTAATATTAAAATCTAAACAAACATTACAATAAATAAATTAATGATTATTTAGCTAAGGTTTTTTTTTAAACTACTTTTTTATTAAAAAATATAGTAAAGTTATGTAAACAATAATTATAATAAAAAACATTCTTAAATTTTTATAACAAATTGAATTAGAAACTTTAAATGATTTGTAATTGATATAATAAGTATAAAATCATATATTCTTAATTTTAAACCTATATTCATATGGTCTGAAGAAAATAAATTTTGTTATAATAATTTCTGAAGGCTGTTGTTTAACTCTTACACCCACCATGTCCTGTGGATATGCCTACATTATTAAGGCTACCAGTGTCAGTGCGTTTTTTTGCAAAATATGCCTTACAGGAAGTGTAATAACTTGAAGTTATCAGCTTTTGAAAAAGAAAGACTACATCATTTAGTAGAGATCTTTATAAGAAATAAATATGACTTAATTTCAACCTTTTTTTTTTTAATGAAATAAAAAGTTTAAGCCCGGTGCACTGTAGAAAGACTTAGATTTGCTCTTTAAAAAAAAAAAATCCAAATCCAATCATTCTGCAAGGCCTTATCTCTTTCCCTAGTCATTCTACACCACCAAAATGGCTATAACTCGTGTAAAAAAATATATGCTTTATAAGTAATAAAAGTAAAGCTATAATTAAATTGAAATAGTAGAAGTTTGAAAATTGGCCATAGCTAAACTTTGCAATTTTTGTTACTAGAACCTTTAAACAATAAATATTCAGTTGTAAGTTACAAGTACAATAAAATTAATTTACATTTTCTTACGAGACCCTCAAATTTTAGTTTTACAATATATAAATTCTTATACCAATTACGAAATTTATAAAACCATTTCAAGGTTTTGAGTCACTTGAGCTTATTAAATCCATTATTTTTCTATAAATTTACTAAGTGGCTGTTTTCTATATAATTAGTGGATCAAATTAAATCATCACCCGATGAAAAATTTACTCCAATTTGTTTCCCGAAGTGTTTAGATAACAGTTAAACAGATTATAGAACTTATTAAAATCTAATATTTAATTTTCAAAGAAACATGGTATAAAATGTTTTTTTTTTATGTAAAGAAAATAATTACAGAATTTGGTTTTCAATAACTGATTGCCTATTGGTAAAATTAGCATCATCTTGATATACAAATTGAATACAATTTGGCAAGCAAGGCATTGCTTTTTATTTTTAGTTACTAAAATAATTATGTACCCAGAAAAATTTGAGCGACTTATGGCTATGTATATTAAAGAAATATTTAATTGTGTACCCACTAATAATAATATAATTTTAGTAACTTTAAATGCTAAATACCTACTTAAAATATAAGAATAATAATATAATTAATATATATTATTTTTTTACATTACCTCCTAGTATTACAATAATATTTTTGGTAACATAAAATTATTTTAACATATATACTTACAAGTAAACACTATCAAATGTACCATCATCTTTAACATAATTCAAAACATGTTCAACCATCATAGTTCCAATTCCAAGTCTTCTATACTGTGATAAGCAACCCAGGGTCATTATGTACAACCGTCGTCCAACTTCTTGATCTATTCGACAACATACTGCTCCAACCACAATGTCATTATAGTACGCTAAATTAATATTATCAATAAATAAATTTTATACACTAAAAAGAAACTTGGTATTAACTATTCTATAATTTACCTAATTTAGCTAACTCGCCAGCTTCTAACACGTCTTTATAAAATTTTTCATTATATGACACAGGAAAAACCACCGTATTTAAACGTTTGAGTTGCTTGATATTATGATGTGTTATTTCTCCTAGTTCCAACTTTGCTCTAAAAACATAAACAACACAAAAATCATTGCCTAGATAGATTTATTATTTACGCCACTCTAAAATTAACTATAACATAACTTATTAAAATTAAGTTATTTAAAGCATTTAATAGAAACTATAATATTATAAAGAAACACTTTTAATTTAAATTTTAACATGTCCATTACACCTACAATTTATAACTGAATACAAATGCATTTACTTTATCAAGTCGATAACTACTTCCATGTTATTTAATTTTTTAATTTACAAAACTATAGTTACTAAATTAATTATAACGTAAAAGAATTATATCTTATTAAGTTATTAACAATAGGCAGCGGTTATACAAAAATGATACAGCCAATAGATATAAACTAAAGTTACATGAAGTCTGGGTTATTTTAAAATTAAAAATTGTTATAGTTTAAAACTATCAAATATAATTGAATAGTTGTAAAGTGGCTTAAACTTCCTGGCGAATATTTCTATTAAAACTCGTGTTAAGATAGCCAACCGTCCAAATAGGTAGTTATTATTTCATGTAATTAAAAAAAAAGCACGAGTACATCTTTCACGTTTTAAAAATGATTTATAAATTAGTTAAATTTATAAGCTATACAAAGACAAGTATTACCTAGTCATGTTGGAGTCTCGCCTTAATTTAATTTCTATACAGAACTAACTACAGAAAAGAAGACACAGCAATGTTTTGATAACAATTTCCAAATGATAACGATAAACAGTTATACCAACTTAAAAATAAATAAACCACATGGTATAAGTTTTAATATAAAAGTATGTGCTCTGTGACCAATATAATTTCCACCACCGATATTATTGTCTAATGGTTATGACTTATGTCATATGTGGCATGCGCACTAGAAATGTGTTACTTGAAAATTGTATGAAAATATAATAAAAACTAAAAAGCTGGGGAGTTACAAATTATAATGGACAGTACATTGCTTACTATCCACTTATAATTAATTATAGAAAAAATTAGTGAAATGGTGTTTCAAGATTATTATTGTATAATGTATACTATGTGTACTCCCAAGCTCATGCTCATGTATATGTGTTTAGACATAGATTAAATACATGTGTACATTGTACACATGTATATTTAATCTATGATACAGATAATAATATACACGCGAATGTAAAAAGTTTCACGCAAAAAATACACAATTTGTCTACTTGATTTGAATTTATATATCTACGTTTAAGTTCGCTGGGCACACTGGATGGCACATAAAAAATGGAAATTTCAAATTATGTAATATTCACATTTTTGAAACATTGAGGAAGACAAAATCTTTTAATTATGTTGTTAAAATGTAAAATAATTATTTTTGACATTTTGAAAATACATCCAGTTTTTATTTATTTTGTCAATAGCGACACCTGAGAAAGCTAAAGGAGAGTTCTTATAACTTCTCTTCATATATTAAAATATAAATATAATTTAAAACATTGACTAACACGTACCTGCTGGCTGCTGCTACCTAATACCTACGAGTTTATAAATAAAAATCCCCCCAAAAAAAATGATTAAACACGCGATGTAAATTAAATTAAAGAATAAAACAAATAAATGCATAATAATTAATAAATAAATATAAACAGCAATATAACGATATCCAACATCATTACTATTTAAACTGAACAATACTCAACGAGATTATTTATTATCAAATACCTATAAAATATGTTAAGGTACTACATTTTAAAGTTTTCCAATCGTAACTAAAGTGTTAAATTATTTGACACGTACGAACATTGAAAGCATGTAAATTGCCGTTCATTTAAACAACTCGTTAAGTAGGCGGCCGTAAAAGTACTATTACTTATTAGATGTAACTGTAGTTGTATTGGATACCTTATACGTCATTTATAGATGGAATTAACTGAAATATAATTATTAAGTAAAATGTACGATAACAACTTACAAATTTTAACTGAAACAATATATGGTCATAATAATAATTGAAATAAAACAATTGTTTATAGATTTTTTAAAATTAATTATTAATCTTTATAGTTGGGAGTGTTCTAACTTCTAGTGTAGTAAAAAAATGACATGCCTCAGTTCTGTTCTTAAAATGTTCACTGCATTTGTCTTTCATACATCTATGTACTCTCAAAAGCCATTTTAGAAATATATTTTTGAAAAATATATTATATTATTATTACTTTTTACAAGCGAAATTTCAAATTAATGTTAGAAACAGTTGATAGCTTATTACTGATAGGTAAAGACCTATCAGTAATAATAAATATGCACTATCCAAATTCCAATGCGATACAAAATAAGTCACCAATCGGCAATCGCCCTTTGCGTAGTTATAAAACACCGGGTTCAATGAGTTTAATCAATTAGTTCTTTTAAATTTTTATTCTATTTCCATTTTCCAGTAATGATGGGCCAAAAATATCGATATATTTACAACTGGATGATGGTATCGATATATTTATACCTTAGGCCCATCCTCAATTTCCAGTATACAGACGAGACTACGCCTTGTGTTTCAAGGTTGTTACACATGCTGATAGGTTGTCGGTCAGCTGATTAGGGTTCCACCCAAAATTTTTTCCGCTCAGCACCATTCGCCGCCAGTAGCAGCACTGCTCGAGTTGTGTGGCTTTGAGTCTTCGTCTCTGTCGCGTATAGGATACGCCCGTCTGTGCCAAACCATTTTGATTTGCATCCCGTGTAAGTATGAATTATGTAATTTACTATATTAACGCTTTCCAAACTTCTTTAACCTCTGATTGCTTCTATGTCTGTGCTATCCTAAACGTTTTGCTAGTAAGCTTTCAGACCGACCGTTATCAGAAACTTATCAACCCTCAAGTGACACCCGCCCAGTCGACTTCGCGGCCAACACCCTCGTCCAGCGTACTTCGTAATGCCTTTTGTTTAACTTGTAAATATTCTGTACGCTTATAAAGTGTACGGTTGCTGTAGAAGAAAAGATGACCACATCCAAATAACCCATAAACTTATATCCTACCAAATTATCCTAACCTAATTGAAATGGGACCCGCCTTGTTTTTATGAATGGCAATTATTAGGGTACGATCGTAATTTAGTCAAATTACCGCGTCACACTCGTTACTGTCAAGAGTTTCTTTACTTAAATAAAATTCCTTGAACAAGTTTACTCAAAAACGGTATTACTGTATTATGCAATAGACTAATGTATAAATGTTATGTAAACAAAGCGACTCGGTTGCGGATTAGGCGTGTACGCTTTAGAGCTCATTTTGATTTATGAATATAGTTCTAGCTTGAAATCAGGGTAAACAACTTAATTATATTATGTTCAATATAGATACTGGCAATGGTGTGTTATTTATACCTTAAGATTGGTTTAGTTGTCTAGTAGTGGTAGTTAGAAACTAGACGTTTACCAAAGCCTCGTTATTGCACTTTTCATTATTATGTTTTAAATGTGTTTTTCACAAGTTGTAATGTGGAAGCATATTGTTCCATGCTGGAGATCATTTGGTAACAAATTTCTTGATTTATTCAGCCCTTTTAGTTTCTTATACTATACATTTAGTTAAGTACTATAATTTTTACATAATAAGTACTATAGAAAGTATTACTGTTATCATATTGAACTAATCTGAATATGCGTACATTTATATAAATTCTTCAGAAATATGAAATCTAAGTCTTTAATATTTTATATTTAAATTTTGTTATTTAATGATTTATTGATAGAGAACATGTTGCGTGAATAAAGTAATGTGAAAAGATGAGGAAAAAGAAAATACGAAATGCAAACAAATGAAAATAATTGAAAGTATAACACAACTTAGGTGCAACACTTCTTTTTTTATTATAAAAATAATGTTAAACCATATTATTGCCATGCATTGGTGTTATATCTAAATTTGCTTTAATTTTGTATTGTAGTAGTATTTTCAATTGTATATACTTTTCAAAATACTTAATATAATATATACATTTTTTTTTAATGCAGATAAAAAAAATTCAAAAATGACTTCGCTAAAAACGTTTGAAGATGAAGATAAAGAAAGCTCCTATGGATTTGTTTTTGCGGTTTCTGGACCTGGTAAGTAAAACTTGAGTTGTAGTTTAAGTCTAATCATAATCTTCAGCTTTTATGAACCATTCAAAAAAACTATTTTATAGTTGTTACCGCTGAAAAGATGTCTGGTTCCGCTATGTACGAGCTGGTTCGAGTTGGTTATTTTGAGCTTGTTGGGGAAATCATTCGTTTAGAGGGTGATATGGCCACTATACAAGTATATTTATATTTAAAAATACTAAAAAACTATGTGTAACCATGTTAACTATTTTATAACTTTTTAGGTTTATGAAGATACTTCTGGTGTTACTGTTGGTGATCCTGTCTTAAGGACTGGCAAGCCATTATCAGTAGAGTTGGGCCCAGGGATTATGGGAAGCATTTTTGATGGTATTCAACGGCCATTAAAAGACATCAATGAACTAACCCAAAACATTTACATCCCAAAGGGTGTTAATATACCTGCTTTGGCCCGTAACGTCTCTTGGGAATATAATTCATCTAATATCAAAATTGGTAGCCACATAACAGGTGGTGACCTTTTTGGTATTGTACATGAAAACACTCTTGTAAAACATAGATTAATGTTACCACCTAGAGCAAAAGGAACAGTGGTTTTCCAAGCACCACCTGGAAACTACAAAGTTGATGTAAAATAACTATTATGATTTGGTACTTTATGATTAAATACTATATATCATGTATTTTATTTCATAGGATATAATATTGGAAACGGAATTTGATGGAGAAAAGTCATCATTCACTATGTTACAAGTATGGCCAGTACGTCAACCCCGTCCAGTTACTGAAAAACTGCCTGCAAATTATCCTCTTTTAACTGGGCAACGAGTACTTGATTCTTTATTCCCGTAAGGAAAAATAAAATAGTATGTTCAGATTATATTTTTAATTGCATTTTCACTTTAAATATTTTCCAGCTGTGTACAAGGTGGTACAACTGCCATTCCTGGAGCTTTCGGTTGTGGTAAAACTGTGATATCCCAGGCCCTATCCAAATACTCAAACTCTGATGTCATCATATACGTAGGTTGTGGTGAACGTGGTAATGAAATGGCTGAGGTAAATAATTAACATGAATATTGTTATAAAAATATTCAACATATTTAAATAAAATATCTATTTTGTTTTTCAGGTATTGGGTGATTTTCCGGAATTATCAGTAGAAATTGATGGTGTAACAGAATCAATCATGAAAAGAACAGCTCTTGTTGCCAACACCTCTAACATGCCTGTAGCTGCACGAGAAGCTTCTATTTATACAGGTATATTAAAAACAAATTATTTCCAAATATATATACATATATATATATGACTTATTTTTTAAAAATATTTTTAGGTATTACATTGTCAGAGTATTTCAGAGATATGGGTTACAATGTCTCTATGATGGCTGATTCAACGTCTCGTTGGGCTGAAGCATTGCGTGAGATATCAGGTCGTCTTGCTGAAATGCCTGCTGATAGGTATGAAGTTTAACATTCTTAGTTTTACTAGGTCTTAAAAAAAACAAATTATTAAATCAATTTGTATATTTCATAGTGGGTACCCTGCTTACTTGGGTGCTCGTTTAGCATCATTTTATGAACGTGCTGGCCGTGTGAAATGTTTGGGTAACCCAGAGCGGGAAGGTTCTGTTAGTATAGTCGGAGCTGTGAGTCCTCCTGGAGGTGATTTCTCCGATCCAGTTACATCCGCTACATTAGGTATTGTACAAGTGTTCTGGGGATTAGACAAAAAATTGGCCCAACGTAAACATTTCCCTTCCATCAATTGGCTTATATCATACAGGTAATTATAGTCAATAATTATATAATGTATCGTTAAGTTGATAGATAAAAAAATATTATCTGTTAAATTCAGTAAATATACGAGAGCGTTGGATGACTTCTACGACAAAAATTTCCCAGAGTTTGTACCATTAAGAACTAAAGTAAAGGAAATTTTGCAAGAAGAAGAAGATTTATCAGAAATTGTTCAACTGGTCGGTAAAGCATCACTTGCAGAATCTGATAAAATCACATTGGAAGTTGCTAAATTATTGAAGGACGACTTCTTACAACAAAACAGGTAAATCTTTCAAACTTTAAGTTGGTTTTTTATATTACTGTTGTATTAATAATTAATACCTTCCAATTTAAAAAGTTATTCGCCTTATGATCGTTTCTGCCCATTCTATAAGACTGTTGGCATGTTAAGAAATACAATTGCATTTTATGACATGGCTCGTCATGTTGTGGAATCAACAGCTCAATCTGAAAATAAAATAACATGGTCTGTAATCAGAGACAGTATGGGCAATATACTCTACCAATTGTCGTCAATGAAATTCAAGGTATGTCAATCGTAATAATAATTTTGATGTTTGGCAGTCGCATATTATATTTTCTGATGTAAACAAATTTTAGGACCCAGTTAAAGATGGTGAAGCAAAAATTCGGGCTGATTTTGATCAATTATATGATGATATACAGCAAGCCTTTAGAAATCTAGAGGATTAATTCATTTTGTAATGTCTCGTTGTTCAAAAAAGTTTGTAAAAAAAAAAAAAAAAGTAATATATCTAATAATAATTTGTTGTTGTTTCCTCCAGCTTTTCATCAAATTGCACACATCATAGGTATGAAACTGGTGAAGGATGTAAAATTCTTTTTATTCATAATCTTGTTATTAGTATCATTAAGAATTATTTAAAAATCTTCTTTTCACCATTCCATTTACGTAGCTTTCTCTTTTATAGTAGTAGAGTTATTATTTTATAATTTATTTTTAGATTCGACAATAAGACGTATCATGTGAATTTTATAAATTCAATTTCTTTAAAATAAAAACATTTAAAAAGATAAATACATCTACCATCATGTAAATAATATTTGTATTACCAAATTTGCCTTTCATAATAATATAAAATAATGTTTATTATCTTTGAATATTTTCTTTTTACAAGGGAGTATTTAAACTTCAAACCAAATTACTCATTATTAATATTTGGCCAACAAACATTTTTTATTTAGTCAAGTTAACTAAATTAGCATTTATTTTCTTTAAACCCTACATAAAAATTTGGCATTGTTTTTTTTTTTTTATTAATAAGCCATATGTTTTGTTGTTTTTGTCTAAAATGATTGTTGTTTTTAATTATATTATAGTCTATGAATTATATAAAACATGTAGGAGTTTCATTCTTATGAGAGCTACCATTCTAGTGTACTCAATAAATTTAATATTTGTAAAATATTATTAGGTAATCTGTTATCAATGATAATTAACAAATACATTCCAAATTATTGTAAAATTGTGTTTTTATATTATGAAAATTCAACCCAATAATACATTTTTTTTCCTGCGATTTATAAAATTATGATTATTATTTATCAATAATGTGTGTCTTAAACGGGAGTCTTTTTTTAAAAATATTTCCCAAACATTGCTTATAGTTATTATTTCCATTTGTATTTAACCTTTTACGAGCACACTTATTTAACATATTATATAGAATGACTACGAGATGCTCGCTCATCCTAGACAGTTCCACAGCTTTTTACCTTATCGTATTATATTATAATTAATCTGAGATATGGTTAAACATTCTAATACCTTGAACTGGAAGAAATAATATATAATAAAGTTTCCCCAAAAATTGAACATGAGTAGAATCCTAATTTGGCTTATTTCTGAAAATAAGGCAGTTATGCTGTGGCCATTACACAATTACCACAGTTCTCCAACATGCAGAATTTAGCCGGCTGATTAAGTATTTTACTTTTTCACTGGATACTAATAATTGCTTTGTAAGCTAATTCCGAACATAGTGTTCGTTGGTTCATCTATAAATAAGAGGACTTTCTGGTGTCAATGGTTAGATGAAAACTGCTTTATGCTGTGTCAATATGGAAAAGCGTAATCTACGCCACACATTAATTAATTTTATAATATTGGTCAATATGTATAATCTCACCCAACTGAATGTCTATTACTGTTTAATAAAAATAAAAAAGAATACTATGGCAGTTAGAAAATAATATTTTTATTATTATCCAGAAACAATATATATTTCCATCAATTTATTTTTTTTTGACACCTCCTTCATAAGCAACAAGGTTGAGTTTGAATCACCGGGAAAACAATAATTTGTATTCATATTATAACCATTCACAATTTATTATTTACAACAACAAAACAAAAAACTATATTTAAACTACACTTTAAATTGTATCCTAAACAAAACATTAATCAATAAAAACTACATAACAAATAACCAAAATAAAAACAATCTATTTTTTGAATCAACAGTGCAATGGATGTTAAGATTTATTAATGAAAAATATACTTTATACATTATACTTAAAAAATACATTATATTGTAAATATTTGCTCGTGATATATTGCATTTTACTTCTACACTTAAGTTTTAAAATTATTATCTTATTAATAGAGATCGATGTATAGTAATTAGTTTATTAAATTATAAATAATTTTGGTACATACAATTATCATACTTAAATACACAACCACATTTTTTAATATCCAAGTAAAATAAAAAATTATTTGTTTAAATATTGTAAACTAAAATTGTTTACCTCAGTTTTTAAATATAAAATGTATATTATGTATAACATTTCCAAAAAATCAAAATTATTCATTACATTTATTATACTCAAAATATAGATAAAATTTAAAAGTGGGAAATAAATAGTAATGTGATCAAAACTACTGTACAATTTGTTAATGTGTAATAATTTATTTAAACACTCAATTGTACAAACTGTAATCATTTACGTTTACAATTGGGTAAGATATAATTTGAGCTCTGTGCAAAAGTGAACAAAGTCCATTTTTTTCACGCAAAGTAAATGTTAAAGTAATGTCTTTCAGTGCTACGGTGAACAAAGTCTTTAGTTCATCTCAAAGTCGCGAGGCACAAAATGGCAACACGTAAACTGCATTGTACTACAAAGTAGTAAATATGAAAAACAATTAAGCAGTAAATTATAGGAAATCAGCTGCGATAGACTTAATTCACTTTCGCACTAAACCCACTAATTATTTGAAGTAAATACCAAATTAGAGAATTCAAATTAAAACTAAATTAGAAGGAAGTCTCATGTATTTTAGAAATGTAACTGTAGTAGCGCATACAATAAATGTGTCATTTAACTGGAGCACTAATGGCTTCACAATTAACTTGAAACATACTCCTAGTTCTTTATCTTCTAATTTTTATTTTTAAAAGTACATTATAGAAACATCTCACAAATTATCTCATAAGTCAAACTGTTTTAATGTAAAGTAATATGTATTCTTTATTTATAAATCGTCATCACCAATTGCCAAATTTAAATAAAATGGTACCTCAATGGATTTTAAAAAAACATTAATTGATAAGTATGGAACCATTGGTTAAAAATTAAACATGGAAACTTACACAAGATGTTAAAAAACACAAAACTAGATTTCAAAATAAATAAGACTTAAAGCAATAAATAAGAATAACATTATTTGCATATCTATCAAATAATCTAACAAATATTTGGATTTTAACCTTTTAGCAATAGAATATAGTATACATTTAGACAACAATTACATGGAAAAAGTATATACTCTTAAAATAAAATAATTTTGGTCATTGGTCTGTTTTATTTTCATGCTGTTTGAATCAGTAAATTTTATTGGGGTAGTTCTATTGCATTTCTATTTCGTAATTGAATGACTCTCAAGACAGTTCACCATCTCTAGAAATAAAACTAAAACAAAAATTAATATTTGCATAAATTTATTAATTATAATGCATAAACAGTAAAAAGTTAATCACAAATTCGTTTTACAATAATTATAAAATATGTTTAACTATAGTTTTTGGAAAAAATGCCAAAACATTCATTTGGAAGACTGTTGCTTATTTTGTTTTTTTACCAATGTTTGGAAAATTTTGATTAGAGTAAAAAATATTTTTTTTGGATTTTGAGGTTTTTCCGGGTAAATGAGTGTCTAATTGACAAATAGGGTTTTTTAAAAATGTTTGAACACTAATAATTAAACTCATATGATATTTTCTAATATGGTTGTACTGTGCTTTAGAGGATAATTACGATCAACAAACTATTATTCATTTGATTCTTTTAAAAAGTATAAAGTGTAATATATATAAAAACCATTCATTTATTTAAAATTAAGAATTTTTTTTTATTTCTCCTAATTTCCATTAAAAACCTATAAAAGTCACTTTAGTACATATCAAGTAAATATTATTTGTATGTTTACATATTCCTAATAACTAATAAGTTACTTATTTATTTATTTATTCATATAGCAATAGAATAAAACTAACAATTAATGTATCACTAATACAATTTCTTATTTTTATTATTTTCATTACCTATTATTTGTTTATATTAATTAAATTATTAACTACAGGGTGATTCATTATCACCCTTTTTATTATATATTAAGGATAAGACACTTCTTTTCTCTTAAAATAATTACAATTTTGCAGTTTTTCTTTTATGAGTTACTTTAGATTATATCTTACAATACTAGAAAATATTCAAATTTGAAACTTAAATAAAAACGTAATTATTTTTTTCTTTTTTCAAATTAAGAATAATTTACTGAAAATTTTGACTGGTCAATTACCAGTTTTGGATAATTCATTTTAAAGTTACAAAAATTTTAAATTTAGGGCAAGAGGAAGAGTGGGTGGAGTATTATTTTTATTTGCGCGCATTCACATTAACTTATGTAGCTTAAAAAGTGATTACCTATCCAAAACTAGTTATCGACCTGTCAACATTTTCAGCAAAACAGTCTTAATTTAACAAGTTTATTAAATAGATACGCTACCATTTAGATTTAAAAAGTTTATACAGCTTTGGAAAATACTAAAAAATGTAAATATTTAGTAATTTTATAATTTTGTAAAATAATTTTAAAAAGTTTTCAAAATGAAAAACTACTAAGTTACAGGAAATTAATGTCTTATTTTTAATGAATCAGCCAATATAATAATAAACATTACTTCTCAGACAGAAGACCGTGTTGTGACAAAATTCCTCTAAGTTCTTCATTTTCTGATCTTAGATCATAATTTTGTCTATTAATGGTTTCCATTTCTTTTACGCAGTCCATTAGTCTTTGATTTGTTGATTTTAATTCATTGATATAATCACACGCCTTAGCTAATATTCCACCTTTACTCTTAAATACAAATATTTTATTAAATATAATTAAACAGTTTAAATTAATAGGACATTATTATATAAAGGGGGGGGGGGTAGGGTATTAAATTTTTTTTTTTTTTTGTTAACTGAATGCATAATATTTCAAGAATATTGTGTCAAAATTTCAAGTCGATCGGAACAAAATTGACGACGTTATGAGTTTTCGGAATTTTTTAGCTGCCCAACCCGAGTGCACTATCGTTAACTTTAAAGCGTTTTTCCCACAACTCACGTTTTCAAAGTCGGTGACCACCATAACTTCAAAACTACTACACCGATCCTTTTGAAATTTTGAACACTATTTCAGTACATAACTAACGAGGTAACGCTTGAGAGTTTTTTTTCAAATTTGGTAATATTTTTTATTTTACAATAACAAATTAGCCGATTTTTTTTCCTTCAAAGTGTTCCCAAAAAGTGAAAAATTGAAATTTCAAAAAACCCTCCCAGCGTTACCTGGGGAAAGCAATTATCTAACGAAAGAACTTAATTTTTTTAATTTCGGATGATCCAGCATAGTGTTATGAGGGGCACCGCAATTGTACTTTTTTCCGAGACGCTTCCGAATAATTGCCGCCATTGCCGTATTTTTTAATATTTCTACATGAAAATATTACACAATATTCTTCGAATGTTATAATTTAATGTACCATTAGTTTTAATAAACAGATTTTAACTGTGTCGTCAAAAAAAAATTCACAAAAATTTGCCGTTTTTTGCACGAATTAACCCCCCTCTTAAGCAAAGTAAGGTGAACTTAACTTTTATTATCTACAGATGGAACCAAATTTAAGTTATTCTACTTAAATAAAAAAAAGCATAGAATATTAGTAAATTAAAGCCCTTAGTAGGCAATAAGTTTTTATAAGAAAGCAATATTTTCTTTTAATTAGGTAAAAGAGCAAACAAAATCATATTAAGCATAATGGTGATGAGACATATTAGAATTGGGAAGTTCTCAGGTTTTTAGAAATTATAATAAGTAAAGTAATAAAATAATATATATGTATATATATATATGTGTATATATAATTTTTATTTACTATATATATATATATATATATATGTATTGATATTGTTTTCCATATTTCAAATTAACACTTCGATGCGAATCTGTAGATGGTAGAAATAATTAATGTTTAGACAGAATGCATTCAATGAATTTTAATAACTATTTAGCACAAGAATAAATATCAAAAATTTTTTTTTTTTTTTGAAATACGTTCCATTTTTTATGACAGTAATTGCATTTATTATGAAAATAAGGAATAGTGAATGTGAATACATTACTTTTTAAAAGACATTTTCCAAACCCTGAGAAATATTAAATATTGATTGAAGCATAGTGAAGGCAAAAATTTGCTTAACATTTTATTTTTATAAGGATTCATCGACCATCATCTGTATATTCTATTATATATGTGATATTGTTATCAATAGGCAAATCAACCTCGTAATGAAAGTATTTTTCGGATAACTGTTGAACCTTAATTGATAAATGTTGATTCACTCTCTTATAGTAACCCAAAAATTTACTACAGTCATAGTGTAATTTCCTCTTTATTGGTGTTTTCCTTAAAAAAACAAAGTATGTATAGAATATTACAAAAACTAATTTGACTATTTTTAAAAAAAAGTTGTAGAGCGCTGTAATTTTTATTTAAAACATTTATACAAAGGGTAAGGATTATCTTTAAAAATAATTTTTAACCCAATAAAGAACCTTTCAGGTACGATTGCCAAGTTATTGACATGTTACATGAAGAAATTAATTTAGAGACTTAAAAAATATTGTGGGCTCAAACACACAAACAATTTTTAAAACAAATAAAAACAATACCTTTTCTATCCCTATTCGCATCGAAGATAAAAAATAATTGGTGTTGAAAACAATTTTTTGTTGAGAACATTAAACTAGATTAATTTAGAAAAAAAAAGATTTAAAAATAATAAATATTTATTATAATTTGTATTGTATAAAATGTATTAGACAAGAATACATTTAAAATCAAATTAGACTACAGTAGAGATAGATTTCAATTCACTTTTTTTTTTAAATTATTTTAATTATTAAGTTGTTTAATTTTGCGAACAACTTAATAATAACATTTGATATCATTTCTTAGTGATAATATCAAACAACCCTATTTAGTATAGTTGAGCTCTTTTATTAATACAAATAAAATTAAAATTAAACACCAGTGTTTAGTAAGTAGTAACTAGCTACATGATACCATTACATAAATAATTACATAATTACATAAAATATGGTTGCATACAAATGGGTTTTTAAATAGATAGATAACAGAATATTGAAGAAAACAAATGACATTTGTAATTTTTAAAAAAAATTACCTGGTTGTCATAGTTTGTTTTGTTTTCCTCGGCACAATCTGGTATAATTTTACTCATATACATTATCCATTGATTGATTTTGTCTCGCCTTCGACGTTCAACTTCATTATGAGTCAGTCGTCTTTTAGCATCTCTCTATATTATGGGACAATAATTTAAAATGTCAATTACACTCGTGTCTTAGATAAAAATGCATTTTTCAAGTAATAAGAAATATTTTTATAATTAATTATATAAATAAAAAATATGTTTTAAAAATAATGAAGGAAACATACACAACCTCAATGTTTCCTTTTAAAAGTAGAAATTTAATAATTAATTTGTTATATTTTTACTGTTTATATGAAAGCTCAGTTAGGTTGAAAGAAAAGTTAGTGGAGAAACGTGCCATCAAAACTGTAATTGTCTATGATAACTTCAGGCAAAATAGAATAGTTAATAGTAATAAAGAAAACAAGAAACCCCTTTTCTGAAAATAAATCCAAACAAATATAATTTAGCCAATTTTCAAGATAGTTGAATGATTTTGATCTCAAAATGTTCAGAATTTGGTTTATCCGATAATTCAAAATTTTATTTTTGTGACGATAGGTCCCTTATTTTTTTTTTGCCTATATATATTTACTACTTATACACAACATATTTGTAACAAACGACTTACAGTTACAACAGCACGATCCATTCGTTTATTTCTAGCTACTTCGTTATTTAATGGCACAACAATAGGTCTCTTAGTTGAATTAGTTGTTGTGAATATATCATTTATTGGTTGCACGACATAAAATTGAGCTATAAACAAAAATAAACAATAAAAATATAATATTATTTAATTAATATTTAATATAAATGTTGCCCAGTAAAGTGCATATGTTCCTAACATTTCCTTATATTTGTAAGGTTAAGTTACATTGGTATAACTCATATACATCAAATTATTTTTCTCAAGTCTTCTAGCTCAGGGAAATCAAAGAAGATACGACAATACCCCTTTACCATAAATATGTCTTATCACACCATTGCTTTGAAATTTAATAAAACCTCTTAAGTAAAATACTCTTTGATCCTCTTCATTTTTATTATAAAAAACTTATTTTGAAAGTTTTACAACATTTAATTAAAATATAAACATACTTGCATTAGTGTTTGGTCTTAGTTCAAACTGGGTAATACTTGTTTCATTTGTTTTGCTCATGACAATTCCAGTAATATTTCCATTTTCTATGACAGTTGCTGTCGGTTGTTCATCAGCCGACTCTAGAGAGCCATCATCATCTGTTACAATTAGGGTTTGTGTTCCGAGCATATTTGGTTCAAGTTTGATAAGTTGACCATTATTTGCTATTTTATAAGTACTACTACAATATACCAAGTCATGTATGAACAAATGTGAAACCACAAAGTTTTATAATTTATAAACTAAACATGCAATACTACTAAATTTTCAAAATAATTTTTTACCTGACATTCAGCGTATCATTATCAGAAATTTGAATAGACATAATTACAGCCAGATGTGTCACAAGCTAAAAATATATTCTTAATAAAAACCATTAGCATACCTTCAAATATTCATGATATTTTATGTATTATATTAAACAATATACTTGGCTGTTTTCAAAAAAAAACCTAATTCCTATTTGCATTATGATTTTCACTAATGATAAATTTATTTAGTTTTATGTCTGATAAATGATAACACAAACCACATCACATGGAATGCTTTCATGGAGGAAAAATTCAATAAGTATAAACATTTTTTTTAAAATATATTGTAAAATGTAAAAAGTAAAACAATTTTTTTTTCTATACATCAACATTTGTAACAAAGACATATTAGCCAGTGACCAGTGTCCACTGTCCAGTGACCACCTAAGCTCTAACATTTCAAGCGGCAGTTAAGTTTTTATAGAAGTCGAAGACCACGGCGTTAAGTCTTCTAAGGTTGTGTGAGACTTGAAGTCATGAGAAAGAAGTGAAAACATATATGTTTGAGTTGAATAATCAGCTCAAGCTGGCTTGTATAAAATTAAAATTATTTTATGAACACCCGGTGGACGATACATGATTGCAAGCAGGCTGTAGTTTAAACTGTAGGTAACTACAAGCCTGCCATGATCTTTTTATAATACCTATTACTTATTAGGTCTAGAAATTGTGTAATCGCGGCTATACTTGTGTAAGTTATTCATATCATGTGTTATAAATTTAGTAGTTACCTACGGACTACGCACAAGGTCTAAAGCTGTCATCTTTATTGAATACTCAAAAAAAGTAATTTTCCATTTAAAAATTAAAAAACATTTATTGTTGAACTCACAGAACTTATTTAATTAATAATTATTAATTCCGTACCCAAAACTTCGAGTGTAAAACCTGGTAAGTTCATTAAAAATCGATGATTAGTTTTACGACTGATACCAATACTTTTTTGTATCATAATATACGATGTCACAATATGTTAATACCTACTTAAGAGGTTAAGCAATAAGTATCAAACAAACTTTAATGCTATTATATTTAATATTTCCTTAGGCGTTCTTAAATTGATGAGATTGAATGGAATTTAATTGTGTTTTTTAATTATTCTATCCTGAAATCATGATGTTTTTAATTTATCAAGTGTTGGCTATGATTTTGAGAACATAATTAATTTACCAACAAACATCAAAATTAGAAATTTGAGTCATGTACTAGATATAAAAGTATCTAGTGTTCATTGTATAAATTATTATCACACTTTACACCTCTATTAAGTTTACAAAGTATTAACTTTTATATAATTTAGTTGTTAACTAAATGTATGTGTTCTTAGCCTGTGGGTCAATCCAAAATTTGTATGGATATTTTCATCTTATGACATTGCTTGAAATTGATGGTATCAATTTCGATTTTAAATTAATTACAAGTGTGGACCACAGGGCACAGTGGGGAGGGACATTTATTATATCTAAAAATATATTCATGTAGCAAAGAAAATATGCAATTTTTATTTTTTCTATGGGACGATTGACTTACATAAATAGTTAGGGAAATTTTTAACTTTCATGCTTATATTGCAATAAGATTCCTTTAATTCAAAATGACACTCTTCAGTATTTACTATTTCATTACAAAATCTAAGCTAATATTGTGTTAGTATATTATGTATAGTCTGAAAACTGATACTTAAAAATTAAAATAATGAAAGAAACTAAAAAATATTTGTATATATATGTATATATATTATATACTCATAATATTGTTATCAAAAATACTCGATGGAATGGAAAATAACAAAAAGTACAACTTTGAATACAGTTATAAAGTAGAATAGATAAAAAAAAATAAACCATATAAACAAACAAAAATATAAAATATTTAATTATATAATACCAGTAAAAAATTACCAACAAATTATCACCAGACATACTTAATATAATAATAAAAACTTAAGTCACGCAATTTAAAATGGCTCATTTCATGAGAGCTGCAACAACTGCTTTAGCGTTCAATGACTTAAGATCAGTATATGTTTGTCCAGTTCCGACAAACACAATTGGCTGGCCTGTGATATATGTCATAGAAATAGCTGCACCAACCTAAACATTTTTTTTAATTGAAATACATAATATGTTAATAAATAAATATATAAATATATAGTTATGTATAGATGTTAATAGTTATTAGTTGGAGAGGTAAATTTCTAAAGATAAATAATTGTGAAGTAAGGTAAATTTCATGAAGCTGCTGCACTAACTAAAAACTATATACCAAAATGAAATTTATTATTTGATATAGTAAATTTTCAAATAGGTAAAAAGGTACTATTACTACTCTTGTAATATTTTGTGTTGGGCAAGTGCTGCCTATGAAATGCAGTAGTTATACACTACATAAACTGACAACAAAGATACAAAACTAAGATCTTAGTGATGTATAGAAATATTAGTGTACAAAAAATAATACCTTATCATCAATAGTATCAAATTTAGTTAGCACAATCCCATCAATTAAATGTGGATCTTGTGTTGATGAATAATCTGCCAACGCTTGATTGAACTTTACCAACTGATCAACTGCTTCATTGCCAACCAATGCTTCACCCACAAATAACACCATATCTGGTTCATTAACTTTAATTAACTGAAAAATAAATATGTATTATTTTAGATACATAGAATTTAAGAATTGTCTAATTGTGGCTAAATATTTAACATTACACATAAATATAAAATAAATTTAAAATATAGTAACAATTTTAGTCTCTATTTTTTTTGTCTAAGGCAGACCCTGATAGAGCAAACTGTATAAGATGGAATTTATATAATATGATCTTGACAAACAGATTTGCATAAATATTTTACTTTTACAATTTACAAATAATTAAGTAACTTGTATTATGTTTATTTACATAGGTAACCTTTTTTTAAAAAATGACTGTGAGTTAATTTTTCAATATTTCTAAACTGCATTGAAAATACAAAAATGGCAACAGAGATACCAAATTACTTTAAACTTTAAAATTAATAATTTCCATCATGAACTACGTACCCTTACAAACAAAAACTTTTTCAACCCTTTAATGTCCATTGCTGTAAATATGGGTCATACTTAAACATTATATATTCTTATAAAATATAATTATAATTTTTAAAACTTGCATATTTGCAACAATGTGCATTAAAGGGTTAAAAAATATTTACCTTAGTTAAAGCACGCATTAAAGGTTCATTATCTTGCATTCGCCCAGCTGTATCAACTAAAACAACATCGTATATAGCTTCCTTAGCATAATTTATAGCTTCCATAGCAATCCCAGCAGCATCTTTTCCTACAATACATTAGTAATCTTATTAATAAACAATGAACAAAAAGATATATTTAATTATTACAATACTTATATTATTTTTTTAAACTATAACTAAATTTAAGATTAAGGGTTTTAAAATAAAAGTTAGTAAATAGTAAAAACAATTGTCTTCTAAAAAGTTGTGCAAAATGTATTGATTAATTCCAGGACACTGAAGAGGATTCTTAACAAATGTGCTACCCATCATGTCATTAGTTTTTTTTTTTTATATTTTAAATAAATATTTTTTAGATTTATACTAACCATAACCTTTTTCATAAAGTTGTACCATTTGTTGGTTATTATGTTTCTTAGCTGGATGCAGAGCATTTAAATGTTTAGTATGGGTTCTTAATTGTTCAACTGCACCAGCTCGGAATGTATCACAGGCAGCAATCAATACTCTTAAATTATTTTCAATCAGCCAAAAACATATCTGTAAAGCAAGAATTCTAATAAAATATTTTTCTTACAAATTACCATTATAATATTACAAACTTTTGCAAGGTTTGTAGATTTGCCAACACCATTTACGCCACAAAATGATATTACATAAGGTTTATTATTTTTTTTAGCCGCCATTGCATCACGTAAAATATCAACACGCCTTTTAGGTGATAATATTTGTACTAAAGACTCAATCATTGTATTTTTGACAGTTGACGCTACAGATTCAAATGAACCAAGGATCTAGTAATAAAGAAGTATATTTAGAACACGTAACCTACAAATAAAATTGTTATACTATAATTAACTGACTTTTCCATCAAGTTTTGATGAAACAGAGTCACATAGTTTTGTAGCAATTTCTATTGCAACGTTTTTGGCGACTAGATGCTCCTTCAATTTTTCTAGTACTGGTTCCATATCTGCTGCTGTAAGATTTTTCCTTCCAACTAATCCTCTAATAACATTTAAAATTATTTTTAATTAACTAAACATATAAAATTTAGGTATTACGTATTATTATTAGACAGTAATTTACTTGAACATAGAAAATACACTTTTCTTGCTATCATTTTTTTTTTTACGCTCAGCAGCTGTTTCAAACTTATCATCAAAATCGTTTTCTTCTTCATCAATGTCACTATCACTTTCAATTTCTATGTCTTTAATATTCCCTTCCATTTGCCCAACAATCTAAAAAATTAATTTTCAGTTAAGTAAATATTTTAGTATTAGTGGTAGTGTTGCTTATTTAGGTTCTATTACCAGGTTCATTTCTTTTCATTAACTTTTTTATTTTATTAATCAAAATGTCTATTTTTTCATTTGGAGAATGATATAAATCTTATCATATTATATACAGCGACCAGTAATTGTGTATAATACATTCTATCGCCTACCAATAACTGTATATTAATTGTTAGGGTGAATTTAATCAAAGGGTTGATGAAACTTTTGACTACAAATGGATAAAAACAACCGACCTCATAAGAAATTCAGGCGTTGACTTAAATGTAAGGACATAGAGACAGTGACATATTTAAAAATTTGTGTTTTTCATTTAATAGTGATATGAGCAATAAAAAAAAAAATATTTCCTGCAAATTGATGTCACTTCAATCATAAAAAATTAAGTGTTTTGGAAAAATTAAATTTTTAAAAGTCAAATTGTATCTATATATTTATAGATATTTCATAACTATGAAAACAATTACTTTTGGTTGACAACCAGTTGAAATCATAAAAATAACAAATGTTTAAATTGAATAATAATAATTTTACTGTAAATAATGAAAATACTACATAATATAACATAAATTTACATAACTTTGTATACATAAGCTCAACAAATAATCCTAAAAAAAAAAAAAATAATAAATATTACAGCTTACTTCACTATTTGTTTCAATATCAGGTTGATTGTCTGGATTATTGTTTGCCTTATCTTTTGTATAGTCTAATGTACTAACATCTTTTACACCTCCCCCTAATGGCCATTGTCTTGGCTGTTTAGTTGCTTTTGGAGATGGTTTTGGAGTTTTACTAAAAATATAATAATATGTTATAAATATTGAACATTTAAAACATTTGTACAATTATACTCTTTATTTTTTTTAAGCTTGTTTGAATTCATAGCACCCATTTTTTGAGCCATTTTAATACGATTTTGCGCAATTAAATCTTCTTCATTAAATGTAACATTATTCTGATTAACTTCTTTAAAACCATTCTTTTGGGGTTCAATTATTTTACCTAAAATATTAATCATATTACACTAAAATTCAATGATACCCCTAAAATTAACTAAAAATATTATGTTGTAAAAATAATAACATCACATGTAAATATACCATTTTTCTTATTTTCTTTATCATTTCCTTTTTTCTCAATCATGGATGCCACAGTTTTCTTTGACTTAGAAGACTCATTATAGGATCGCATTTGCTTTGGAATGTTGGCCTGTGCTCTACCCCATTCTTCAGCAGACATAAGAACTTCTTGAAAATTTCTACTAAACTCAAATTCCTACACAAAAAAATATTGTGTTTAATAAATTATATATTAGAATATTTGATCATCATATTGACGGCTAACAAGTCACATTCACGTTAGCAATAGATTAGCAAGACAAAATACATTGAATGAGTACAGGTTCTAGCTACAGCCATCACAAACTACTAAGTAATTTAATTTTTTCTTTTAGCTGTATCCACCTTTTTTGACAACTTAATTAACAGGTATGAAAGAAAACAGTCACATGTACCATTGTATGAATGAGTCATGTATCAGCAATTTGCCTTTGTTTAACTGTTCCTTTTACATTTAATAAGCACTTAAGCTTAACTCTTTAAATAATATTAAATTGTTGCGTTTGTCGCCGTCAAAAAAGAGAAAAATAATGTATATAATATAATAAATGTATGTATAAATTAAATGAATACCATAAAGTAATTTTTCCGAGCCAATTCATTTTTATATTTATCTCTGAATTCCAACTGTATATCATCTAAAAATTTGTCAACATAAGATAGCTGTAGTATTTTTTGAAATGCTATCACAAATACTAAGTCAAACTCATTGTCCAAGCGGTATTTTAATGATAAAGAATCTTGTGTATAATTATTATTACTACCCGTTCTTTCCTGCAACAATTTTTTTATACATTACAATTATTTATCAATCATTTTATCAAACCAATCAATAATTTAGAAGCAAATTTTAATTTGTATAAAATAAAAATCCTAATCAACTAACTAAATATTTTTATATTTATATCTGTAAACAGTAAAAGTCTGAGAACAAGAGGCTAATTGTAAAAAAATATGGATAAAAGGTCCGGATGGTATGTTGAAAGTAGGACAAAGGTTAGATTAGTTCTATTGTAAAAGGACGCATAATTTATTATAAAAATATTTGAATGCATATTACGAATGTAAAGTTTAGAATTTAAGAAATTGTATTTGTATGTTTTTGTATACAACATTTCTTGATATTATTATTTGGACAAACATTTACATATTGCTTAACAATTACTTTTTTACTAATTTTTTGTATAATTTATAATTATATTAGACTTTTTGTCCCATTTTCAATATGCCATCCAAACTTTTTTAAACAGAACATTTATCCCTGGATATTTTGACCCGGTTTTGTTAATTTTTTAGTAGAATTTGTTGTCAATGCATCTTATAAATATAACAAGTGTTTAAAATTTGAAGCATCAAGTTGTAATATAGTAATGGTTTCAATTTAGTATGACATTAAGAAAATATGACAAAAAAATATATACATATAGGTCCAGGTTCTCCTATCATTAGTAAGCTTTTAACTACTTAATTTAGACGCTCATGCCATATTGAATAATAAGTTAAATACCTAAATAAATGTTTATAGATTAACATAGTTGAAATCTCCACTAGTATACATATTTATTAAAATAAAAACAATTATTAAAAAAAAATCTTAAATAAATGATTAATTATAATTATACCTGTAGAATAACAGTTTTGATCAAAGAATTGACTGAAGGTACAAATAACTGACTTATGTGACTAGTACTTTGGAAACACCAGAGTACAATGCCTCCTTTGCTAAATATTGTGAAAAGATCCAACATTTTTACAATTAATAAATTCACAGGAACATACACGAATATATTTTTATTATAATTTCATCACAATTAAGACGTATATTATTATATATCATTTACATTGAATAACTCGACCCTCGTTACTTGTTACTTATTATCATAAATTGTAAATCGTGTACGTAATCAATTAAAATCGTTAAACAGCTGGAGTTGCGTAAATACTGAAACGTGTACCATACGATACCATAGAGTAACTCTATGTTCAATACCAATCGACGGGTTTTTAGAGTATACCAGCTACCAGGTAAGTGGTAGCCAACTATCCAGTAAAAATACAACTTCTATAATAATATTAATTAAATAATATACCTATAGTAAAAATTATTAAATGTACACTGTGTATTAATAATACTACATAATATAATGATTATTTTCAAAAAATTACAAAAACTACTAAACGTTTAGACAATATGTTCATTATTAATTTTAGTTAGTTCTCTAGTTGGGTTTAATTGTTTTTTCTTTTGGCAGAATTGGGCAACTTTTTTAAATTTTTTTACCACCAGGCATCTAAGCCTATATTTTAAGTAGATAGGATTATAGGAATATAAATTATAAGTGTTTGGCTCTTGTCAAATGTAGCTACTATGATATATAGATGTAGTGATTGTGTAAAAAAAATGATATGTAGATCTATAACAATTGCCTAATATAAGTTATAACCCCATTATCAAATATTAATATTATATTATCAATATCAAATATTATATTAAATATTAGTTCCTAATCTTATTTCGAAATAGAGTTTTAACATAGGTATATGTATTATGTAGTTTTTAAGTTATTTTATTTAAAGATAATAACGTTCTGAAAGATGCCAAAAAAAGATAAACTTTAGATATTTGATAATATCTAATGTAAAATAACACGAAAGAAAATATAAGAAGTTGAAATTGGAAATTTTCCGAAAAAAAATAAATTGATTACCCAATATTTCATCGGGTTTATTAAGAAATTTTAATTTTTTTTTCATAGTGTTTTTATACAATGTGATCAATTTGTTTTTGTTTTTACTCCCTCCAAAATTAATTATTTTTATATTAACTTTTGATACTTAAATGGTAACGTATATATTTTATTAACTTTTTAAATTAAGAATATTTTACTAAACATTTTGACTGGTGGATAACCGCAGTTTTGAACAACTATTTTTAAAGTTTTAAGAGTTTAAGTAAGGACGGGAGGGGAAGTGCGGTTGAGATGTACTCGCAGATAAAATTAATACTAGTCTCCACCTTTCTCCTGCCCTGAACTTTAAACTTCAATAATTTCAAAAAAAGTTATCTAAAACTGGTTATTGACCAGTCAAAATGTTTAGTACATTATTCTCAATTTTAAAGTTGATGAAATGTATGCGTAGCAATTTAAGTTTCTTAAGTTGATACAAAAAAAATTAGTGTGGGAGTGAGTAGGAGCATAAACTTTATGGAAAATTGAGATCACATTATACAAAATTACTATGAAAAAAAATTAAATTATTAATTAAACCCAATGAGATATTGAGTGGTTCTCGATAAAACGATCACCTTGTACATGTTATATAGTTATTGTTATTATTACGGTTAGCGTGGTTGTTATGGAAACAATATACCTACATAAAATGACCCAAAACATCTTGAAAATCATACTTCCTTTATGCTATGTGTTGTAATTACGACTTTTCTATTGTCATAATTACGTTAATTGGTATATTGTATTTATAATAATTTATATTAATTGTCTATAAACAAATATTACATAGTATACAGTTGTCTATAATAAAAAAAATTATTTAAAAATATATTAAAAATTAAATGAATAGTAAAAATGTGATTTTCATTGTTCTTTGTGCGAATAATGACAAGCTCTGATTTGACCGTTTATGTGTGCAAAGAAGTGTTCAACGACAATAGCAAACCGACAAAAACTGGTAATAAATAATTATTACTATTATTTTAATTTAATAAACTTAATGATTATCGCACTCGTACGTCAACAGAAATTGAAGAGCACGCGTCTAGAATCGGTATAGATCCAGTCAAAGATATACATTTATTACACTTAGCAAAACAGTGTCTTCTTGAACCATTGCCATCTGATTGGATTCCCTGGTATGTTTTAACCAATAAAAATATAGGTTTATAAACTTATTAAAACTTTAAAAGGCCAAAGTAACAAAGGAACAAAATAAAAATACTCTATATAATATATACGAGTATATTATAGTTAAAGATTTATTGTGTAAATTTTTAATCAATTATTAAATTTTTTTCTGTTGGGGCTACAACCTTCCTGGTAAATGTCATCATTTTACGCCGATGCCATAAATACCAATATTTTATAACAAGCAGTTTATTTTAGAGTAAAAGTATTAATTCATAATATACAATTCAAACAACCATAGATGTAGTGTTGAATGTAAATGTAATAACCATGTTATTCGTTTTAAACACGTTATTTTTAGTTATATTGAACAAGTTGGAAAATATTTCTACTATAATACAAATCAAAACACATCACAATGGGAACATCCTTTAGACAATTTTTATAGACAAATTGTCGAAAAAAAGCGTTCCGAAGATTCATCAACAGGCAAGTAAAAAATGATTTAGTATGTTGGTTTCAACTGAGATCTGCTAAGTTGGTGCAGCGACCGGCATAGCTCTCCATAAGACATATATTATAAGCTTTCGTGAAATAGGCGCCTCACCTTACACTACACTATGCAGCCGATTGCAGAAATAAAAAAAATACCACATCAACATGTTTTACTCCCCTCCCAGAAAGGGGTAATATTTTTAAATCCTTGAGTCTGAAAATTAAATAATACGTATTCAAACATTTTTTTAATTTAAAAAATCCAAAACCTCACATGATTAAAAACAAATTAAGTGCCTATAAATAATAATCTACATTCTTATATTAAAATAAATATTTACCTGTTTTGTAGCGTTTACTTGAAAGAAATTTGATCACTTCGAGCTATAATAATTTATTAAGACCCGTAACTTCCTCAACCCACTATACTGTAATCTGTATACATGTTTCATCTCAGAATGCCTCGACTCTATTGTAATAACTTTTTTAGTATCAAAAACTTTTATCTACTTTGGTATGTTAATATTCAAATGTAGTTTGGTAATTCAGGCAATGAATCATTCACTTTTTTTTAGGTCAAGACATTTCAACAAATCGAATTTTAGAAGAAGACAGTCCTCCTGACGCCATGTACAGTACAAAAAATATTTACGATTTATCTGTAAGTCTATTTTTATTTAAACCTTAATCACTAATAAATGGACATTTTATTTAAGTTGACTTTGTATTAATTAATTGAAGACCTATTCAGGCCCGTACCGGTGGCTTCTCTTATAATGGCGCTTGCTGCAACCTACATGGGCGCTTAAAATTGTTTTTATTTCATCCTAGTCTCCAGAGGTTTATAAACTAACGATTAAAAAATGCATACTTGAAAATTTTTAATAACATTACAACTATGTTTTAATAACAACAAAACAATATTATTCGAATTTTTTCGCTAATAAATTCATCCACAATAAGCGTGTACATTTTTATTGTTATTATAAATTATTGTTACTTCTTCATAATACGAAAATAATAGCACTAAATACTCGAAATTTTTACCAAGAATGTATTTTAATACCACAAAGATACAAAAAAAAAAATTACATCAATTTTTGTTTAGATAAAATAAAATGTTCAGTAGAAAATATTATACCTATTTTATCTTATTTATTATTATGGAGCTTTTAATATTAGAAGATCAAAAACAAAGTGTTTTTATGGAATAAATTTGAGATGAAGTACAGATATCAATTTACTAATGACAAATAATGGAATCAGCGGATAAGGAAAATATTTTCATATTACTGGGGGTACAGAATCTTTGTGGCATGAAGTAAATAAGCGGCAGAGCATAGTAGGAATTGGGAGGTCACAGGCCTACAGGAATTATTATAACTGAAAGTGATAAAATCACTTTCAAATAAACGCTTTGATGGGGATCTGTGATTAGTATGTTCAAACCAGTACAGCCCAAACCAAGCACAATATAAACCAGTACAGTAATAAATTATTTAAGTGAGGTACAGTGTTCACGAATGAGCATCAAAGCGTTTATTTGAAAGTGATTTTATGACATTAAGATATAATAATTTATGTAGACATGTCCCTACCCGTTCCTATTATGGTTCATCCACACTATACCCCGATCTCACTGTACTAGCTGTTTTCTTTTGGGACTTGGGAGAATACATATTTAATAACGAAACATCGTATCAAATACACACGGTATCTTCCATAAATAACTAATCTATGGAAGATATTGTGAGTTCTATGGCATAACTTATAAATCGTAATCCATAGAAATTAGTTCGAATAATAAATTGATTGAGTCATAAATTTGGATATTATTTTAGTTCGTGCATTGAAAACTTTCACTCGTTTGATAACTATAATGTACTATAAAAACTAATAGACTAATAATTTATAAATATGCTTAATAGTATAAACTATAAGCTAAACGGATAATTATTATCAGAAATAAATAATTAATCAATTAACAGTACTTCATTTAGATTTTTCTGTTTATATTATAATTTGTTGGTTTTGTACTCATCTAATATAAAAATAAATCTAAATAATTTTTAATAAAAAAATATATATAATTATAAGGTGTTTTTTTTTAAAGAATAATTCTAATAAAAAACCCGTCGCCGAAAAACGCACTGTACGTTTTAAAACACCGATTGAAGAATCTTTGGATTTTGACAATTCGGAAGATAACAATATGAAGTTCTTAGGACCAATTAAGTATGTAAATTTGTATTCAAACAAATTTCATTCTATATTAAATAAGTATTTTAATATCAAATTATAATTCAGACTAAACACGCCATACAGCTCACAACAAGCTTCTCAGAATTTACCCGTATTTTCTTCAAGCACTCCTTTCGATTTTAGGATTAAAGGTAATTAATTAGTGGTTAAAACATACAATTAGCTACATAATTTATGAGATGAATCAAAACAATTTTCTTTTGAAATATTTTTTATGGTGAATTTTAGGCAGTCGTAGTGTTTTGTCTAAATACAATGTATTATCAAATAAAGAAGAATTATTAACATCTGGTAACAAGGATAGCATCGAAAAAGAACTGGAAACTCCAGCAGAAAGCTCAGTAGTTCAAAAAGAAAATACAAAGAAAATCAATATTACGTTAACAGAATCCTCGGATCATTCAGAGAGCACTTCATTAGAAGAATGTTTAAAAGATTTTGATAAAGAATACGGCGATAACGGTAAATACGTACTATAAAATTATGTAAAAAGGCCGTAGGTTGATTCCAAATAAGGGTACATTAAACAATTATTAATTTGCATATATCTACTATTTACACTGAAAAAGCGACTACAAAATTGTACAGTTGACTTTTTACGAGTTAAGTCGACTTAAGTTAACTTAACTTAATATTCAATAGTTTCAACTATAACTGTTTAGTTGTCACTTATTCAACTAAAATTTTGTAGATGCAAATTAATTCGCCTATCACTTTTCTTTACTTTTCTTTACTCCTTCATTAAATACATCATCTACAATCACCTTTACTTCATACTTGTCTAGTCGTGTTTATAATTTTAAAACTGTTCTCAATATCCTTAGTAATTCTTTTCTATTTTGTTTCCTTTGCATTATAAATATCATGCTCTTCAACACTTTCTTTATGAATTACATAATTTGTATAAAAAAGAATTATTTTATTAATACTTAATATACATTAACATAGCTGATGGTAACTGTTCAGATGGCGAGATCAAGTATAATGGTTATTCAACTACAACACAATTAGAAAAACATTCTGTAAAAAACGATTTTCCAAATGAAGCTAGAACTTCTTCAAACGAATTATTTAAATCAACAAAAAATAAAGATACCTTGCAAATAAAAAAGAGTAACATGGATGAATCAGTTCATGTTGAAAATTATGCAGATAATATCAATAGAGATATTTCATCTTTGACAGTTTTAAAAGACGCAAATAGTTTAAGTGCAATCCAAGGAAAAACTATAGAAAAAGAAAAATCGGCGTTTAAGCCTACCATTACATCGATTGAAAAAATACAAGACACAGATGAATATTTTGTAGACTTAATACCTAAACGTAGTAATGAAAATTATGAAACCAAAACAATATCTCATCATGAGAGAGCCAATAAGAATGATTTTAGTGACCACACTAATATCGAACTCCAAATTGAATCACAAATCACAAAACAAAGTTCTATCATTAAAGAAAAGATAGAAGATGACATTCGAACAAAGGAAACCTTACTCAGGTAAAAAGTTTAATACGTTAAATAGGCAAACAATTTTTTAAAAAATGGATTTTTCTAAATGGTAATTGAAATACATATATATTTTATACTTTATGCATTAATAGAAATGATGTTTTTAAAAAAATGGATGATTTAATTCAACTTACGAATGAAAACAATAGTTTTATGGAAAAGCGAATTTACAAAATGTTTGATGAGTTTTATAAAAAGAAAAATGAAGATCTCGAAAAGACTCTAAAAAATATGTAAGTATTAGTTTTATAAAAAATGACTAAATAGATTAAAATAATTATTATATATTCTTTTGTATTACATACTATTTTAATTTATAAAATCATACTACTAATTATTATAATATAGTATGGCGCTAAACTATAAAAATTCATTTGCTTAATTCATCTGCTTAATGTAGAACATTTAGTAAAATGTAAAAATGTTTAGGAAAGAAGATTTAGATAAAAAGATACTAGATGAAAACGAGAAACACGATGTACAGTGTAGTTTAAACAACCAAAAGATGAATGCAGAGACTTACAAAAAATTACAAGATGATCTGGAGAACAATGTACAGACACTTAAAAGTGAAATCGAATCTAAAACTAATAAGTCAATTCAAAATCTCATAATTGACGAGCTAAGCCATAAATCAAAGACTGCAATTGCCGGTTGGGATCAAGCTGCGGATTTATATAAAATGGCTGAACTTGAAAAAGTAAAGTTTGATATTGAACAAAAAGCAGAAAATGTCAAACGCCACGCTGAAAAAGAAATTGAACGCTGTAATAAAGAATTTGATGAAAAACTTAAAGTAATTTCTAACGATAAACTAAAGAACGCTGATGAAGCGTTGAACTTAGCTTTATGTGATCAAATTGAATTAGTGCAAAAACGAGTCAAGGGATATTATGACAACCAAAATAATACCACTAAAAATAATTTTGAAACAAACATTCACGCTACAAACGTCTCTGTACAGAAGTCAAATGATGTGCACACAGAGTAAGTAAATCAACTTGTATTTATTTTACACTGTTAAATTTAATTAAACTTTAGAGGACCATCTCGTACATATTAAACAGTAAACTCTTTATTCATTTTAAGTTATTATAATTTCTGTGGACAGTAATGCCGAACACAAGTACAGAGTGTCTGGTGAGGTAATTACCTCATTGATTTAATGGGTGGGTAGCTGATCTGTACTAATATTAAAAATATTTGTATGTTACGAGTGGATTTTTCTTGGGTTAGTGGGTGTTAAATATGTTTCTTTCCAGGTATTAGTGAGTGGTTTCGGCGCCACTACTTATAGAACTGTAACTTTACCGGCATCCATTAGCTTCGTCACCACTAAATTTTATTTTTTTGCAATGACTTGAAAGTTTTAAATAAACTTCAGGATGTTGAGTCCAGAGCCAATATGTTTTTCACCAGTATTTCAGTAAAAAAGGGTTTTATTGTATTATTACACTCTATTCAATTTTATGTTAATAAAATATTTATGAGTCCCTTTTAAGTATAAGCTATTAGCTACTCGGTTAAACATTGAATAAATTATGCGTTAACATAACCTATTGATTATTATAATATATTTTTTATTAATTTCAGGAATACAGATGTATTTAATTCAAACAAAATAATCGATATTAAAAAAAAAATCCAACACTGTTTTGATGAATTAAATAATATATTACTGCTTGTCAATGATGTATCCTATTCCGAAAGTGATCGACCAAGGGAAAATGGTAAATAAAAAAAAATGTAACTAGTAAAAGATACTTACAGTTATTTCCTACTATTAACTTACAATATTAAAATCACATTAACTAATGTTTAAAAGCATTAAAAACTCAACAAAAAAAAACCCGGATATGTTATTTATACTTATATTTGTACATGCACATTTTATGTACTTAGTATAAATATATATATTTTTTTCCTTACTAGAAGGCGATGGAATGAATTCTCAATCAAATAAATGTACAGTTTCATGTCAAACTGATAATTTTTTAGGATTAAGTGCAAATCCTCATTCAAGTAACTACCCGTATCCAAATTCATTACATTTTTCTGCGTTTAAAAATGACAATTATGGTTTGTACATAAATTACGTTACAATGTACAACTAATTATACAAACGTAATTCGTTTTAAATATGTGTTACTGTAATTCAGATTTTGAAAGTATGTATACTGAAAATTGGAATCAGGCAAAATCGTCTAAAGAATTATTTACTAACTATATGATAAAATGTTCTCGAGTAATAAATCCTGTAGATAATTTAAGTCAAGTAAGTATTAGTATATAGTTTGATAGTTTCCTACGTCCAACATATTTTAACATATTGCAATGCTGCAATTGAACAATTTTACATTTCATTTTTTTTTTTAACATTTTAGGAAGAATTAAAAGTTAATGCAGCGGAAAAGAATATTTTTCGCTTGATTGATGCATTTGAGAAGTTGAGATACACTGATGTTAATCATAATTCTGAAATAATTCCTACAAATAATTATTGTAAATTATAACATTAGATAACGGTTTTAATTAAATGGTTTTAATTTAAGCTATTAATTACATTTTAGTTCATCACCACGGCGATACGCGTTATATCAACAGCAGAGAGCTAACGCCCAATCAAATAGCATACAATCGCACGAAAGATTTAAGAAAATGGCTTTATAAGACTGATACAAAGAATACACGATTGTATTAAGAACTATCGTTTTGGTTGTTGTTGTTGTATTATCTTTTTATAATTCAAATTAATCATTATTGTACATACCTCCAAATTAACCGAATTCATTAATACAAAGCATTGACATATCACATATGTATTATCATCTAATACCTACATTTACATCAATAAAATTCATTTTTTACTAATTACAAGCTAAACAATTTATATGATGAGTGTTTTTAAAGGAAGAAAGGGTCGATATCGGAAAATGGGCATCGGCATTATGTATAATTGAATCGGTCATTACTCATTTGAGTAACGTCTTAAGACACAAAATCTAAATTTTACAAGACAAGGAAAAAATGTCTACCTACTAGTGGTGTTTTTCTTGTTAACAACAAATCCAATTCCCTATCTAGATCGGAAGAAACCTGCATGACAAAAGGTGTTTCTCCATAAAATGTGTGTATTTAAAAACTGTCTGCACTTGTAGAATCGAAAACAACAAAACAAACGATTTTGGCTAAATAGTGAAATAAGTATTTTACTTTTATATTGTAAATTTATGTCTTCGATTTTTTTTTATCTAACTTATTCGCCATTCCAAAATGTTTTGCACGAATATTAGTAAAATCCGTGTTTTCTGTGAAACGTGTATTTGTAGGACGAATATAGGTACATAAATGTTATTTCCTGAATGTATTATTATTATTAATCATCTATTATTTCTTTCGTTTTCAGCTTTATTCACGAATAATTTTTAATGATTAAACAGGCAACAACTCTATTGAATATTAACATTTATCTAGAGCTAGACTTGAAAATTAGTCCTCCAGACCTCGTAGATTTTACCTAGCTGAGATTGATTAGCTTTTATATTAGCAAAAATAAAATTGTATCTAATATTTATTATTTTCAATAGTTATACTCTCTAATCATTTTTTAGCTGCACGAATACATTAAAGATACATAACGTTTAACTAATATCTACTTAAAATGGATCGTATCACCATGGATATTGACTTATCCAATTTTATACATTTATAAACCCTAGCAATCAAATACAATTCAGTATAATGATTAGTGGGTTGTATAGTAATATGTTGTATTATATAATTATAGTTTATGTTGCAGATAAAAAGCACTTATAGATAAACTACTTATAAATAATTGCTTTCTACGTTATAACTATGTATTTTTAATTAAATTTATTGTTCGAAGTCATTAGGAACAGTAACTCATAGTCCAAACCATAAATGATAATTCGTTACTCGATTATCTCTGGCTAACTATACATGTGGCATAGGACATAGGTAGTTAACTCATCTAACTTTGATCAGTCATGACCGTTTATACAACAAAATAATATTTTTTATTTAAACAATCAATAGGAAACTGAATACAATTTATTGTGTAAAAAATAACATAATGGAAAGATGGAAGAACCGAGTAGCTATAGTTACTGGCGCAGCATCGGGCATAGGAAAAGCGGTTGCCATAGCTTTAATGAAAAGTAACATGATAGTAATTGGTGTTGCAAGAACAGAAGACAACTTAAAGGTAAGCTTAAAATTAGTTAAGTACCTACATACTACAGTAGTCATAGAGTATTTTAATTTGCAATACAAATTTTAAAATATTATTTTTGCTAGAGATTTAGCGAAGAAATAGGTGAATTAAAAAACTGCTTTCACTACAAAGTCTTTGACATTAGAAAAGAGGACAGGATTGTAGAATGTGTCAATTGGGCATTAGATACATTTGGAAGTGTTGACGTTTTAGTTAACAATGCTGGAATTTACGATGATACAGGATTATATAGTAATACCTACAAATTAAAAAACCCTAAAATAGAGATCTATTAATTATCTTACATATTATACAAGTACTAAGGAAACAATAATTATTGTAATTTGTAGATGAAACAATGGAGCACAGTAAAATGATTATGGAAACTAATTATTTGGCAGGTTGTATTTTCATTAAAGAAGTTATACGAGCAATGAAAAGTAAAATGGTAAATGATGGTCATATTATTAACATAAACAGGTATTGGTATTAAGAAGTATATTGTTCAATTATTAATTTAATTAAATATGTGTGTAAATTTGACATTTATTTAGCGTAGCAGGGCATTACAGAGCTGATCCTATAAAAGCATTTATACACAATGCTAGTAAACATTGTATAACACTAAGTACCGATAGTATAAGACGAATGTTAGTTAATGAAGGAAGTAAAATAAAAATAACGGTAAGTATAAATTAATTTTATGTGATGTCATTTGTACGTTTTTATTAGTTATGAATTGGGTTTTTTTTTTACAATATTATATTAATTAAGTAATTTATTTTGAAAAAAAATTACCTTAATGGGTGATTATTGCTAATAGTAATTAGTAACACCTCAATTTTTTAGTTGATCTTCACTTAGTTATAATTAACTAATGATGGGAATCCAAAAATCAGGATTATCACAAAAAAACGCTATTTAAGCTACTTAAAATCATGTGTTAAATAATTTTACAGTATAAAGCTGTGTATCTAATTACATTTTTTTTTTAAATCTGTAAAAATAAAACAAAACACCAAAAAGATAAACTACCTTTGGATTTGTTGAAACCGAAAGCATTTTATAGACAAAGTTGTTTTTTTTTAAAAATTTTTTATCAACAAATTTTACTTAGGTACACATCTTTATATTGTAATAGTATTTAATATTTATAAGATTTTTAAGTGCTTATATAGCGTTTTGTTTTTAAATCCTGTTTTTCGGATTCTCATCACTATAATTAACATTATTAACTAGGTCAATAAAATTATAAATTGTATATTACAACCATGTGGTCATTTTTTCATAATTGCAATACATTATGACTAACTTGTTGAAATATAAATCATAGCATTATGAAATGTGTTCTAGAGTTTGAGCCCAGGAGTAACATTAACTCATTCTGTTAATAATATACAAAAAACCATACCTGATATTAAGTTTTTGCAAACTGAAGACATAGCTAATGCTGTTTTATATGTTTTGGGAACACCGCCAGAAGTTCAAGTATAATATTCAAGAAAAAAATGTTTTATTGATGTTAATTTGGTTTTTATTTTTTTATGGTTTGGTGCTTATAGGTATGCGAGTTGACTATTCGTCCAGTTGGAGAAATCATGTATTAATATTTAATGATCCTAGTTATTATTATTGTTCTTCAGTACAGTATTTTTCTCTAAACAATAATAAATAAACATTTTTTCTTTTGCATTGAATTAATTTTATCAATATTATTAATCATTATAAAGTTTATTTATTTAAGTTTTTTTTTTTTTTTAATATTAGTTTAATTTAAAAATAATAATTTCATTTTCTTTATTCAAACTAATTATTTAAGATTAGATTAAAACGATTAATATGAAATTAAAAAAGTAATATAAACAATATCTTAACACTTTCCCCTTACAAATTGCAAACTTGTAATTCATTGTAAATAATTACCGAGTTGTATGAATAAATATTAGTTCAGTGTGAAATTTTAGATTTTTTTTTAATGCTAAAATTGTGGTTTCTTAAAAAAAACAATCCAAAGAAAATCCTCCTTAATTACTTAACTACTTTCTTGATTTGTTATTTTTACTAACGATATGTTTCACATCACAAGTGACTTAGCTAGGCCCATATTATATTAGCTTGAAAAACTCTTACTCAATTTAAAAATCACCACAATATTGAGAATTATTTATCTGGTAGACAATCACGCAGGACTATATTAAAGAATAAAGTAAAAAAATTAATAATTCAAACTTTAAAAGTAATTTAATTACTTTTATCCTCAGATACAAAAAAAAAAAAACATTTAGTCAGTTTTCGGAATGAGCACAGTGAATCCAGCGGTTTCAGCAGCTAACAGGGCTTGCTTCTTCTTTTTTGCTTGTTTCACTTGTGCTGCAATACGATCTAAATCCCGTCTTCCTTGAGATGTCAATCGACGGCCATTATTATTCTCTACCTTCTCAATCAATTTCATTGTCTCTAAAGATTGAAGAACTTTACGTGCAATTCCTGTAGAACTGCGACAGAAATGAGATGGCCTCACTCCATTACGTTTACGTGCTATAAAATAAAAAGAATAATAGGATTTAACACATATTTAGAGTATTCATACAATTAAAAAAGTAAGTTTGTAAATAAATATAGATGAGCTTTTTTGATACATAACATAACAAATTGAATAAGTACCACTTTGTAATACCCCTCCCTCTTCATAATATTAGACACTATGTTCTTTATAATTTTCTAGTTATTGCAATTACAATTTTTTTTTTTAATTGTTTTAATGTATTTGCACTTTTTATGTTCTTGTATTAAGATGTATTGTAATTTGTTTGAGTTGGGATAAGTCTTTGAATTAGGCCAGTTCCGTATATATATAAATAAATAATCTACTACATTATGGTACTCAGCATTTCATTGGACATCAAGAATATCTAAGTATTAATATGATTATTAAAATTTAAAGGTCAATGAAATATTATAATATAAACCAGATGGTGATGGGATATAGTGCAAGGTATACACATTATTAGTATGTGTAGTGCAAAAGTCATGAGAACTCATTTCTTGTAACCTTAGATATCATACAACAGATGGAGTATTCTGTACTGAAGCTTGTGTCCACTATCTGCGAGAAAAATAGCTGAGTAAATTTACATTTTTACATTATTATTATTGTACATGCTCGATAACTACTACGCGGGCTTATTATATTGCAGCAAATGTGCAATATTAAAAATGTAAATTTCTAGGCCATTGACTCGCAGATGGTGGGCACAGGCTTCTGTACGGAATGCTCTATCCATTGTACGCGATCAGAGATTGTAATCATAAATACTTTATTAAATTAGTTGAAATATAAAAACTTGTAAAATAACAAGTATAGTTTACTAATAATATCTACTTGAACATTATTGATTACTACTGATTGGGTACACAAGTGCATTATTAAAATAATAAAAACCACAATAAAGGGCATGTGAATGTTGTTGATGTTGCGACAGTCTCGCGTACTTGTGTAATACTATTGCGATAAACATTTAAGTTCAAGCAGCTCTAAGTTATTACCCAGCATTTTGTTAATAACTGATTAAAGCTTGCAAAAATACACTACATTAATTAATGCCAGGTTGCATCAAATATTTACACTGAGATAAACTCGTTTAACTGGATTTAAAAAAAAAAATTCTGTTGCATAAACCATGTTTTAAATTTTATATTGTTAAAAATGTACTTTATCATGAGTTAAACTACAGGGTCATTTATCGCTGTGTAAAAATGTATGTATAGTTAAATTTTGTTATCAATAAACTTTTTTTTTTTAAACAACAAAATTAATGATGATTTACCATCAGTTTATCATTGATTAGACCCTGTATGATGATAATATTAACTCCTACTGCTGATACCATTTATTCAATAATCAATAACCAGTGTACTGATAATAACCTGAATATAAAACAACGATTTAGCAATACTCGTAAATTTAACACATGTTGATTTAACAAAAGATAAAGTTTAACAAAAGTAAGTTTATTACAGTACTAAATAATTTACCATTTGATAACGACAAGTTTGGTGCAACCGGGCAAAAGAGTTGGGTAAATTACTCAAAATTGAGTACTTAACTATAAATTATATAAACTATGGAATTGAACTAGATTTACTTAAATACAAATTGCACTAACTTTTTTAAAATTATTTAAAATACAATTTTAATATTTCAATTTTACAACAATCTAGTTTAATAAAACATTATAGAATACAGACAAAGTTTTCTTATAAAAATACAAGCTTTTTATTCCTTGTTCATTAGCTAGCCTTGAATAGGTAAAGAGCAAATTATCTCCCGCAAATGAAAAAAACAGTTTAACAAGGGCATGACAAGGATTAGTCTTATATTAAATAAATAATTATTTTATAGTTGAATAATTAATTGGATACGCAAGAGACTTTTTTTTATTATAAAATATTGCATTTGCAATTTAGTTGTTTTGGTAGGAATCTATTGAAACCAAGAACAAGTTTAAAAACAATTTTTTTCTAAGTATTTGTAGTTTTTAATACTTTAAATCATATATCATAATAACTCAAAATTGCCCAACACTAATCATGATTCATGAAATCATATTAACATTCAAAACTAAGCGTTTCCACAATTTTTTTTTTGGCACAATCGTTTTCAGCATTGAAAAACAAATAAATTGGGAAAAAAAATTTTGAATTCGGGTCCGAGGTGGTTAAGTCGATTTAAGCCAATATTCTTTATACTTAATAATGGCAAGATATTTTAGGAAATTAATTTCCTGTAAATCATTTATTGCCAAGTATTAATGATTATAAACACTAACAAATATAATATCAATACAGTTATCATTTAAAAAACCTTTTAAGGATTAATAAATTAATTGTCTAAACCATCGAAGAAAGTAATTAAAATAAGTTTAATTTTTAAATACCTCCAAAAATTTTAGTAAGGGATCCAACGCCAACTGGTGATCTAAAGTAAATGTGTCTTAATGTGGCTGCACATCTAGTATAATACCAATCTTCATCATACGGTGCCAATTCATTGAATTTACCATTTTTAACTATGTCCACCCATTCTGGAGCCTTCAATTTACCACTCCTTAAAAACAAGCATCAACATAAGTTTATAATGTCTCCTTACATAAAACAAAAAATTACTTTTTCAAGAATGCGGAAAACGCAGCAACGAATTTGTGCTGGTCAACATCTTTCAATGTTATGGAGGACATCTGTAAAATAATATAATGAACAAATTATTTCCCACAAGTTAAAATATTACTCTCCCAATAATTATGAGTCTTAATAATTATAACAATCAAATTTTTAATAATACAAAATGAACCATGTGATTGAGGTTAGAAAGATGAAATACGAAACGATAAACAATTTACGTATTGTAAATGAATACATTTAAAAATTCATAATTAACAATTGTTTACTGTAAAAAATGCACTATTCAATTAAGCATCAAAGCATTTAAATAATTACGAAATCCGAACATAATATATTTACCTTTAAAGAGATTTCCTTGCAACCGCTGTGAAGTCACCGAAAAACCGTGCACGTATTATTGAGAAAAGAAAAACACCAGTTTTTGTAAAAACTTGTATGAACTTTGCAGTAAATTATAGGTTAGTAATCAGTGTGGCCCAGCTGTACGACAAAAAATCCTATTCATAAATTGAAAAATGCATATGAGTAATCAAAGACGTTATATACATTTTATTATAAGCGGGAAGTACGAATTTAAAGCAAATGGAATTTAGATTTAAATATTTTATTTTAGTTTGTGATTTGTGTGTATTTGTCTATTTTAGTCGTTACCTAAAATACTTTTAGTTCAAATAAACATATATTTAGTATAAAAGTAGAGATCCAAGACACTTCAACGCAGGACAGTACTTGAGCACAGCCATATTGTCTCGAAATTTAAGATGAGCATTGGAGTAATTTGAAGGGGGTTTAGGTGAGCTTAGTATCCTCCCCCTCTTTTGAAATAAGCATCCTAAACATTTTTAGGATTTATTTTTTGGTGTTTAAGCTTCTCCCCTACTTTTTTGAGCGAAATTGCCTTCTGAAGATAAGTTGGCCGCGACATGGATGGTCCGGATCTCTACCATAGCATTTTATAAGTCTGGAGTCTTGGTCATGACGCGCCATACATTGTGAAAAAATAAAAAAAACGTCTTTAGAAATATCATATCATTTTAATCAAGCTGAGGAAAATTTCATAGGATTTATTTAGAAGAAGGACATACTTAGTAAAACATAACTGTATTGTGTGCCATGAATAATAAAGAAATAAGAAAAATAGCTAATGATTTAGGATAACTTATAGAACTTCCTTCGACGCATATGAACTATTTTATTAGCCCCTCGTTCAATTTTCTGCGCTCAGATATCAGGACACTGAAAGTATTGTTATGCAATATTATGTGTTTTGAGTCGGCAAAGTGAAAAAAAAAAATTTTTTTCTATAATAATATTATAACGATTAATGGTATTTTGTATTTATTTTCTTTTTTTTATCATATAGCGTGCTATAATGGGTAATCACAAAAGCAATAAATTTAAAAAAAAAACGAGTAATGAGTAGTGTAATTTTATTATCGCTATTATAACTATATAACAACTATTAAATTGTAATGTAACTGTGACATAAAATCATAGGCCACTGTTGGTATATTTATTACCTATAGTTATGAGAAAATGCTATTTAAATACTCGTCTATAGTCTAATTATTTTATTAATGTAAATTACGTATTTACATTAATTAAAATATCTACCCAACCGTCTACTCGTGGAATAATAATAAGGTATGTTAGGAACTTGGTTCTTTGTTATCAATTTTTACAATACGAGTTTTGACTTCCATTTGTAAGAAATACACGGCTAAACTCAATAATGAGTTCAGTGGCTGCCCGTAACTACCATTTATGGTTATCACTAATCACAATCTTCTGATATACCTGCTTTTTTTTATCATGCCGGGGCAGTAGCCATGATTGAATTAAACAAGGTTATTGCACATTTACCCCTTCTTCATCAAATTTTCGATGAGAAAATCAAATATGTCAGCGTAACGGCACCCAATCAAAATCAAGTATATAAGTACACGGTAATATATATAGGAGTAGTAAAGTATATAGTAAAATTGATGTCCCGTTACGCTGTCATTTTATTTCCGAAGATAACAATTCGAGACGATGTGCAATAACCTGTACATTTTAACCATGGCAGTCGTCCAAGGCTCTTGCTTGCTATAGTCTATAGTTACTTAGTATTTACTACTACATCTACTCTTTGCACTGGTTAGTCGGTCAATAATAACGATAATTAATCCAGTTGATGTTCTATAGCAGTGAGTAGTGTAATAATAAAATACACTATACTTGTATCATTAGACGTTAGTGTATTATCTGGGTTATAATTAGTCATCTTTTCGACAGTTATTATTTTTATTTTTGTGAAAAGAATCTGTTTTAGAGGCCTAAAATATTTAAATTTTACATCATCACAAGTGTTTATATTTCTGTCATAATGTCCATTTCAAAATTGTCTTCGCTTTTATCTAATACTGGTAAATTGTTATACGTCGCATTTCTATAGTTAAGGTCATTTGTCAGTCATATGCATCTAATGTATAATTTGTATTATATGTTTGTTTGTCAAAGGTTTAAAAAGTGCTGTAAAAAGATCAATTTCTTCTTTGTCATCCTTATCTGAGACTCATCAATTATTGTACAAAACATGCAGGGATTTTGCAGAGGGCGAGCTTAAACCTAATGCGGCCCAGTTTGATCGAGAGCACTTATTTCCTGAAAAACAGGTATGCAATTGTATTAGTAAATAATATAAACTGCAAAAATTAACTAACTGTCAAATGTGGTATTTTAATGCTTAGAAAGCATTATATTATAATTTTACTAATAGATAGAAATAAAGTAGTGTTAGTTCATCTTATGTCATATTTTATTTGTAGGTAAGACAGATGGGTGAATTAGGTTTAATGGCTATAGATATTCCAGAATCATTAGGTGGTACTGGTCTCGACTACTTAGCTTATGCTATTGCCATGGAAGAAATTTCTAGGTATCTATAATATTTAAAAAAAAAACTAATTTTTAAATCTCAAATTATTATAATTTTTTTTTTTTAAGGGGTTGTGCATCTGCTGGAGTAATAATGAGTGTAAATAATTCTTTGTATCTTGGTCCTATTAATAAATTTGGCAATGACCAACAAAAAAATGAATTTATTACACCATTTACAACTGGAGAAAAAATTGGGTGTTTTGGTCTTAGCGAACCAGGTATGTTACCTTTTAGGACAGGTGTATCGCTTCATGCAAAAAGGGCCTAGGTCACCATTTTATCAAAAACGTGATTATTATAGATTCGTTATCACTTGACTTAGACGCATCGATTCATGTTAAAAAAAAAATTTAGTCCTATTACCAGAAATTACTAAGAAAATTATTAATTTTTGTAAAAAGGGTCTAGTCCACTATACTTAAATGCTAATAATTTGGACTGCATTTGAAAATAATAATAATGTTTTACAGAATGTAATTTTACTGTTTAATATCTATTAACTTTGATAAAACCCTTATATGTTTATGCATTTTGAAACATATCAAACGTTTTTTTTCATTTTTCCAAAAATGTAAAGTTAAGGACTAAGGCCCTTTTTGCATGAAGCGATTCAGATAATATAATATACACATTATTTTATTTAACATTGATAAATAAAATCAATTATAAATCTACGTGTTAGTTGTTTATAAAACAATTAGCTATATTTTTACAATTTAATCTGAAAGATAAAAACCTTATCATAGTACTATAACAAGACTATATTTAATAGCCCAATCATATATATGTATATAATATAATTGTAATATGAACATAATTGTTTTGTTAGGTAATACATTAGGTTAATAGTTCAAGATAATACAAATTAGACAAGTATTAGTCCTGAGGTTAATAGTTGGTGTAACTATTCTTAAACAATTACTCATTCATTATTTTAGCTTCGATGCAGATAATTTGAGAAGGTATTGTTTTTACAATGATGTGTTTTTATTGGGTGCATAGACCCACAATATCTCTTATATTTCTGAATGGATTTTTTCATATAGCGAGTCTATAGATCGGAAGTTGTACTTTAAAGGTATTGAATTGGCCAAAACTTCTTCCCCTTCAAAATTGAGGAAAACCTCAATTACTCGAGCTATACTTTTTTTTTAAAAAGTAAAATTTGTATAGAATATTTTTTGGGCATAGTATTATCAATGGAGGAGGAAGAGTAGCCGAGGGGGTAAGGTGTCAGTGTGTTTAGCGTTCATTGTCGCCGGTTCGACATATGGTCATTCGTTTGCTGGGCTAGTAATTGTCTAGTGAATAGGAGCCGCCTTCCCCTTTCCTGCGACAGACTGACGACCTGTCCCGAATAACGAATTTGTCAAGAAACCAGCTCATGATGGCAGCGTTGGGCCTTGCAACTACTTGATGATGATGAGTATTATCAATATATGTTGACAAACCAAGTATGCATCTAAAACCCTTTCCATCAGTAGAGGTAGAAACTTTTACTTTATTTTGCTTTTTTTGGTGTAATGATTTAGGGCTTAAGGTTTGAAAAATATTCTGAAGGTAAATCTAGAATAGGGCTATAACAGAATTTTCTCAAAAATCTGTTGTGAACCTTTTTTTTTATAGGGAAACCCTAAAATAAAAGGAAAAATTACACTGACTGTAGTAAATTTCTAGGGTGCTGTGTGAAAGTGAATAAACAGTTAACAGGCATTTGAAAATATTATCATATTAACCAATCATTGGTTCTGGTGGGGTAAAAATGTATCGCACTCTCACTTAGTCACACTGAGACTTAAATAAGAAATTAAGCTAGTCACACTTTATTCAAGTGTGACCAAAAATCACAAGACTCACATAGGGTTAATTACAATACACGGGTAACAACAACAATTAATAATCTTATACAAACTATCAAGCTTTCGATTATCTTCCAAATACTCATTTATATTATAAACACTATATAGCTTTTACAATGTTTTTATTGATTTTCGTGACTTTATCAATGTCTTTATCACTTTCAGTTATAATAATTCCTGTAAATCTGTGATTACTTCCGCCCCAAAATGCTCCGTCCCCATTATACCCTGACCCCACTGTACTGGCTTTATACACATTTTTTTAACAATAATTTTACTTTAATTCAGTGGTATTTAAACATATTATGTCATATGTAAATCTGTAGCTAGTATTGTGATACACTTGTATTCATTATAATCTATATTTCAGGCAATGGAAGTGATGCGGGTGCTGCATCTACGTTAGCTATAAAAAATGGATCTAATTGGATACTAAATGGTACCAAATCATGGATTACGAATGCACATGAAGCCAAAGCATCAGTTGTATTTGCTACTACTGATAAAGCAAAGAAACATAAAGGAATTAGTGCTTTTTTGGTGAAAAGAGAGTATTCTGGTAAATATCGTATTATAATAAATATTCTAAGGTAATATATTAATAAAAGGGTTTTTAAGGGTTTTCTCTTGGAAAAAAAGAAGACAAACTTGGCATACGTGGCTCATCCACGAGTAATTTAATTTTTGAAGACTGTTTGATTCCCGAAGAAAATCTTTTAGGAGAACCAGGGATGGGATTCAAAATCGCCATGATGACATTAGGTATTGTATAATAAATAATCTATAATTTATACTAAAGCAGTGTTGCAATTTTCACATTTTTAGGCATTAATATATTATACATAATTATTTGTATAAAAAAATATTTAAATAATTGTTATTAATTCCAAATTTTCTGAAATATAAATTTGTTTGAGAAACAATATAATTATAGTTAAGAGAAATTTAAAGAAAAATGGCGCCTTTCATAAAATAAATGTACGGCAACAGCTAAAAGCCATAGCTTTCAAAGATTATGACTTATGATGTGGTTTTTTTCTTGAATCACTATAATTCGAAAGGCACTTAATTAACCAAAATACCAGTATTAGGAAAGTTAGTTTTAAAGGGAATTAATTCAATTTCCCATTAATTCCCAAACATAAAAATTATTCCTCTAAATAAAGAACCTGTTTTCTTTTTTTTTTTATTAATTCTAGTTATTTCGAAAATAATTGGAGTTTTTATAAAAAAATATGTTATTTATAATGTTAGTTACCTATTACTGTCCATTTTGCTAATCAAAAGTATTGTACCTAAAAAAAAAATTGTAAAAAAACTGATAAAACCAAGTTAAAATCGAATTGTACTTTGATGCAGTTGATTTAGGTCAACGAGCCCCTTTTGATTCAGACCACTTTTGATTATGACAATTTATTCATCAAATATTTATTTTGTCTATGCTTATTTTGTGAACAATGCCATTTCTATTTAATTTGAACGTTATTTAAACTAGGTACATTTGTGTTAAACTATCGGTAAATTATCAAGAATATTAATTAAAATATTTTAATTTTTGTACTTTTAAAGATTCTGGTCGCATCGGAATTGCTTCTCAAGCATTAGGTATTGCTCAAGCCTCCCTTGATGTTGCTGTAGAGTATGCAACTAAAAGAATAGCTTTTGGTGCTCCCATTTCTAAATTGCAAAGTATTCAGGTGATAAATCATGTTGGGTCACAACGTCACGATCGTGTAATTCAATACATATTTTTGTTTATAGTTAATTTACCTACTTGTATATTATAGAACAAAATTGCCGACATGTCATTACGATTAGAAAGTGCACGTTTATTGACGTGGAGAGCTGCTGTTCTTAAAGATGAACATAAATCTTTTACTAAGGTTGGTTAATTAAATAGATTACTAATACCTAGTAATAATTTTTATAGTAAAATTGTTTTATTTTTTAGGAAGCAGCAATGGCAAAATTAGCAGCATCTGAAGCAGCGACATTCAATTCACATCAATGTATTCAAATATTAGGTGGAATGGGCTATGTAAGTGATATGCCCGCAGAGCGTCACTATCGTGATGCTCGAATAACTGAAATATATGAAGGAACATCTGAAATACAAAAGCTTGTAATTGCTGGAAATGTTTTAAAAGAATATAATCTATAACTATTTTTATGTTCATTAATAACTCAAAAGGTGTATAGTTGTCATAGCTATCAATTATGAAACGACTGAAAAATTTTCTCATTAATTACTTTCTTAGATTTATATTTAATTTACTGTATACCAATTATAAGTGATTTTTTATTGAAAATGCATTATGTACATTTCATTTTAATTACACTTATTATTTTTAATCTACATTTAATTTTTTAAAAAAAAACATGTACCAAAATCTTCAATTGTTAATGAATATTAAATCTTAAACCATGTAATAATCTCTTAAAATAAATGAATGATTGATAACTATACTTTTAAATGTTTATAATTACTTATATAACTTGGTATTTGTAATGTGGCCAAAAATTGAATTTGTACACCAATTATTGTTTAAAATAAAAGTATCAACATTTTTGTTTTTGTTAAAAAAAAGTCTAATTTTGTATGCCTATTTTAAAATTGTATTAGTTTATACATTATACTGTATAATTTACAGACTAACACTTGTTGTATAATTTATAGTTTTAATCCTTGTTTAGTATGATGTGACAAATCCTGATTTTTTATGTTGAACCAAAATAAAAATTAATTTATAAAAACAAGAAATAAATTAACAATAACATCATTGTAAAAAACAGTACCTCCTTAGGTTTGCACTGAAGCTAATATAATAGTAAAACAACAAAATAATCTATTTATGTATCTACAACTTATAGGGTATTAGGAAATTCTGGTAAAATTATGTTATAGGTAACTGTAAAATATGCAAAATTATTTTATACAATTTGAAAAAAATTCCTTTATTTGATTACAAACCCAATTAAATTTTAATAGTTTGTTTATATGATCAAGTTTGAATAAATATTCAAAGTTATGTATGGCGTTTAGACTGTTAAATACATCATTATTCTTTAAGTATTATAACTAAACAAAGTACAGAATACAGACCGCCTCTTGAAATGATTATGGAATATATATTTATGCTATATCAGGGTCATTACCAGTATAATATAATCACAATAGTATAATGGACACACTAATCAAAAAAACTAAACGGCATATTAAAACTGTATTATTGTTAGCAAGCTTACATTGTTACTTAACAATGTTTATTTATCTGTCTCGTGGTTATTTTGAAAGAATTGTCTACTACAAAATCATGTGTATCAAATTCACATACAAACTAGAATCTCTAACAAACTTGCACTGTCAAAATAAGTTGAGCATTTAAGGGAGTTGTGATCTAAACTTTAATATGCAGATTAAAATTCCTAAATTTAGTATTTTGAGCTATAAATTGTCACTAGCATTATATAGTTTTAATAGATCTTGCTCATTGTCTTATGGACAGTTAACTTAAAATAAAACTTTAGTATAATTAGAAATTGTTCAAAAAATTAACATAATTGTACAAGAGTTACTAGTAGTGTTATTTTATTTACATTAGAAATACACATTTTTGCTGCAACTCTGTATACATGATTTACTTAAGTTCATGTATTAAAATTCTAATTCAAAGAAGAAAAAAAAAAAATGTTTACCAAAACAGTTTATTACTTACTAATAGTACATGCTACTTAAAAATTTAAGCTATACACATAATTTATATGTTATATTTAATTTAATATATGACTATTATTAACATAACAACTCGTATGACTATTGTATAAGGGAAATTTGGTTTAATACATTTATGAACTGGAATATGTGAATAAATAAATAAATAAGTATAGCTTTGTAATCACAATTCTTAAGTAAGTAAGAATTGTAAATACATACGAGTTGTGTTAAATATGAATTTACTGTATTCTGTACAATTTAGATGTATACTCTATTTTTAAAAGCATTTATGTATTGTTTTAATTACATGAATTTCTAATAATTGCATGTTTTTTTAAGTAGCAGTATAACAATAAATAATACAAAGAAACATGGTTATAACAAAGTGTACAACTAACACAATTTGAAAATAATTATTTGTAGTTCTTTCCAAAGTCAGCTCCTTTTTTGATGTTAGAAGCTAACTCAGGCAACGCTGCTTTAACTAGTTCATTTTCATAATCAGATAGTTTTCCAAGACCAAAGTTCTTTTCAATTCCGTTTTTCTAAAGAAAAACAAATGTAATTAACATTAGTACAACTACTATGTACTACTACAACTAATATGTACAACTACAACTAATATGTACAATAATAATTTCTTTTTAACATAATAACATAATAGACTTACTCCAATGAGAACTGGAGTGCTGAAGAATGGTGAATCAGTCACAGTCGATTCAACATAGGAACACTCAATGACATTTGGTTCACCAAGAATAGCTTTGCACATGGATATAGTAAATCGAGCACCAGCATATGCCATTGACAGTGTTGCTGAACCAGCTCCAGCTTTAGCTTGCACAACTTCAGTTCCCGCTTCCTAAACACAATACAACACAATAACATTTTAACAATAATAACACTAAGTAACATAATTTTAATAATTCGGTAAATTATCCTTTATTTATAAATAACAAATACACAAAAACACAATTTTTTAAATTAAATTGCATAAAAAATTGACTACTTGAAGATATTTATAATTGTATTACCTGAATACGCTTTGTCAATTTGACTAATACATCTTGTTCAAATGAGACATTTGGTGTTGCCTGAGATATTAGCGGAATTATAGTCACACCCGAATGTCCTCCAATTACAGGTACATTGACTTCACTTGCTTGAAGACCCTAAACAGAAACAAAATATGAAACATACTGTCTATTATTTGAAATAATTGTTTACCTTTAGTTCAGCCACAAATCGATTTGAGCGGACAATATCGAGAGTAGTAACTCCAAATAATTTTTTTGGATCATAAACATTTAGTTTCTTCAAGATTTCAGCTGCAGCTGGAACAGCGCTGTTTACCTATAAAAATTAACAAAATTGTAAGATTATAAAGATATTTATATTTTATATTTTTTGTTTAAAATACACTTTTCATTGTCAAAATAAACTACCGATGATTACAAGGCAAAAATGAATAAGCAATATGATGGCTAGTATAAGGTAAATACTACCATTGATTATGTATAATTAAGTATGTATAACCAACGGTTTTATATAAAAGATTAAAATTTGAATAGAGAAAAATTAGTTAAATTAAATGAGCGTGCCAAAACCCCTGAGACTAATTAGTACATCTTAAACCTGTTTAACCATTTATAAAAACATATGCAATAAGAGCAGCATAAATCTACACTCAACATTCTATAATATTCTATAATAAATACTTTTTAAAATATGGGTATTATATAAATAAATAAATTGGATATTATATCATTTTTATTGATTATTTACAATTATTATTGTTAAAAATGTTATAAGCAGGTAAAATTCGCGCCAAATAAAACATGATAATTCATAATGATAAAAGCACGATCTTATAACCAGGTCTGGTAACCTCTACTTGGGAAAGATTAGCCTTTTTTGCCAATATGGCGGTCACCGGCGTTATGTTTCAAGTATACACAACATAACATAGATGTCAATTAAACAATGCACGTCGGTGGCCGCCATACTGGAAAGAAAGAACTACGCTTTTCAGTGTAGGGAGTTGCCATTCATGCCAGACGTAGTAACAAGATCGTGGATAAAAGACAGTTGGGGAAATAAGTAAAAACAAGGACAATGGATAAATAGGTTTTACTTAAAAATAAATGTTTTATTTTGCTAAAATAAAAAAAGACCATAATATGATCACAAAGCAGAAAACTAACGTCTGCTGAATGTGGAGTGCGTAGTTAATTATCCGTTTTGACTTTTGATTATTACACTAATTAACAATAGACTTTTGCGTTGATAGCTATTTTTGTGGTACTATTAATTATTTCGTGAAAGAATCGTCCATTATAGTTTTCATAAAATGAGTAACACATGGTGAGTAATAAAATTAACAATACCATTTTATTTTAAACATGTTTAAAAATTAAAAGAGTTATACAATAATAAATACTGAGTACAAACTATACTTAGGCATTCTTTCTATATATATTTAAGTACCTAACTTTAAAAGGGCTGTTGCTTATAACTTTGTGCGCAGTTTTGGGAATTACGATTTTATAATGATAAAGAGCAAGGTAAATGCCATGAAATATCTTAATAACCTATGGCCTACGAACATTTTTTAAATTTATTTTATTAGAAGTAATTTTATGGATTCTTAAATACCTATTTTCAATATTGTTAAAAGCATTTTACTACTTTTATAAGTCATAAAGATATAAAATCTTCACTAAATAACTGTTATTTTCTTGTCACACATTACGTTGTCAGTTTTATTATGGATTTAAAAATATGCAATGAACTGGTACTATGTACAGTAATGTTGACTGATTTTATGCAGGTTTCCTACTCTCAAGAAGGGTTTCTACTTTTTTTTTTTTTTAACTGTTGATGTTGACAGAAAAACCAAAATAAAATTTGTCACCATTTTAATTTTAATTTAACCCAATCCCACCTGGAAAATAACCTCGTGTACAAAACATATAATAATCGATGCATAGAACATTAACCTTTGGAATAGGTTTCAACTAACTGTTGTCAAAACATATTTGACTGGGAAAACGAGTATGATACCACTAAAATAAAAAGTCAGAACTGAGAAATATTGTTGCTCTCTTTATTTATTGTAATAATTTAACTAATTTTCTTAGAAAATAATTGCAATTTTTATAGTTTTTCTTTATTAAATAATTTTTATTTATGTTATTTTAAAATATTATAAAATTACTAAATATTTACACTTTTTAGTATTGTCTAGAGCTCTTTCGACTTTTGAAACTTAAAAATGGTAACGTATTTATTAAATTAATTTGTTAAATTAAGAATACTTTGCTGAAATATTCTGACTGCTTGAACCAGTATTAGCTGATTACTTTTCAAGTTACTAAAGTTTAAAATTTAGGGTGGAAGGTAGAGTAATGCACATAGATAAAAATAGTACTATACACCAACCTTCCTCCCATCCAAAATTTTAAACTTAAAAACTTTTTTAAAAAAGCTGAAATTTTAAATTTGGGTGTTTTTTTGTTAAATTGATCACCCCAAATTTTGTTTATCCAAGCTGAAGTTTTTTTTTTTTAGTCATTTTTCTTGGGCAATGCCATTGAAGGATATGTACAAACATCATTTACTTGAAAAAGTTAACTATAAAAATGAAGTTGATGCTGTTAATATTTTCAATAAAATAAAAGTTGATTTTAATGTAAGTATCATTACAAATATAGCAACTTGTTTTATTATAATAAACCTGGTATATGGTGAGCTAAAAGTCCTATGTTTTATGGGGTCATCCCATGTTTCAAGTCAAAATACAGTAGGTTATGGAGGTTTAAAACTAAATAAATTGTTATATAATTAATTGTTGGGTTTTATATTTGTTAAATATTATTTTTTAACATTTTATACATTACATTACTATTATATAAAATAAAAGTTGATAATATGTTACAAAAAAAAAAAAAGTAATAATAAAGAACTGTTGTTCTTTTTGATGGGAATTTTAGGTATTTTTTCTTCCCCTAATTAAATAAAACTTGTGTGACAAGTTGTTGTATACTTCCTAACATTAATTAAAATTACATTTATAGATACACTCTGTTCAAAAAGTAAACAATCCACAACTCTTTGGCATGTATTTATTACATAAAGAGGAGTTAGAAGCGAATGATAAAAATAAAGTGAAAGAACACATAATGTATCACGCAACATCTAAGTACAATGTTCAGAGTATAATTAAAAACAATATTGATTGGCGCTATACAACACGATCACGTTTTGGGAGAGGAGCATGTTTTTCACCAGATCCGTATTATGCACACTCACATGCGTCAAGTATAGGAGGTAAAGTATAATCTTGTTGCGAAGTTTGTAAAAAAAAAGTCTTAGTACAAAAGGTTTCACATCTTCCAAAATTCATGTAATTTTAATTCTAAAATATGGATTGGCTAACAAGTTATCTCTATGACACATCTAAAAAATTATATTATCATCATTTGTAGTTGGGCTTAAATCAATTTTTACATAGAAAAATTTCAAAAACTTCAATTTCATACTATTTTTAAACACTTGTGCAAAAATGAAAAACATTTGCAAATGAAAAATAAATTAACATTCAGGCTCCTTAAAATGTGTATAACTGAGCTCTACAGTAAATAGATTCAATTATATATTAAAAACAAATGTAACTATTTTGAGAATTATGGGATTTAGACTAATATGTAGCATAACCAATATTTTTGATTTTGTCAACCACTTATTTATATGTATGATATTTTATTTTTTGTTCCAGTTTTTGTTATATTTAAAGTGGTTACCAAAAATTTTGAAACAACTAGTGTAAATTATGGTTTAAAAGTGCCTTACAATATACATACAGATACGACTGTTGATCAACAAATGAATGTTTATGTCAAGTATAATGACAATGAGTTTTATCCGATTTACGTGGTTCACTATTCAGAGAAATTTGAGGAATATCAAGATCTATTTTATTGTCACAATTATTATGATTATTTTAATCAACTTTAAATATAAACATTATAAAAGCATTTTTAGAGTTGTACGTTTCTACTTTCTGGTATTTAAATTTTATCTTTACACTTGATTTATTCTTCTTTGAATCACAATTTATAATTTATTAGTTTAAAAATTAAAACTTACTGGGTTTGAAATAATACCAACAAGAGCATTAGGCGCAACTTGACCAACAACCTTAATAATGTCACAAACAATTGAAATATTGGTATTAAATAAATCGTCTCGAGTCATGCCTGGTTTACGAGGAATACCAGCAGGAACAATTACAACATCTGTATTCGCAACAGCGTCCTATGAAAAAAAAAAAAGGTATTTTTGTTAATAAACCTGAATAACTGTAATAAACTATATATCAATATGTACAAAAAAAAACAGATGAAAGAAGAATTATAATTATTAAAAAGAAATTAGTAAAATATGAGAACATTTGAAGTTCATATTTGCTATTAAGACAAATAAAAGGGGAGGCATTTTTTTCAAATTGAATTTGAACAACAAATTAAATATAGTAGTTCATATTTATATATTTAAATACAATTTTCAAACTTGGCAATTCTACTAATAGTTGCCTTGGAATAGAAAAAGAATATGTATGAACTGTTTTTAAATTGCTTTTGGCTTTTACCCAAAAAAAGTAGACCATTGGCAATAGGTCGAAAATGAACATAGATCTGTGATATGTAACATAAATATCTAATTTATTTATACTGGTACAGATAACAGACAGTATGAGGTATTTTATTGAGCCACAATTACAAATACACAAGTATAATATTGATTAGCTAGCTTAAATATTTTAGTCTGAGACAATTTAAATAAATGTACTTGAAAATTGTATACAAATGTTTGTTATTTAAATTAAATAAACCAAAATTATTTTTCCATTTTCCAAGTGGGAAGACATTGTCTCGTCTCTTTTGAAGGGTTTTCCCTGAGAATAATGTTCTTAAAACAATTGCAAAATTTAGGTGTTCCATGCCAATTGCCACCAAAAAGATTATAATTTACTTGACAAATATTTATATGCTATATATCAATAATACATAACTATTTTATTTACTATGCAAAGGAAGATTGAAATCTTCATAATGCCACATAATTTTTAGTATTAATTTGTAGCTAAAATTATACTAGTTAAACAATTTTTTTTTAAATTCACAATGAATTATTAACAATTGAATCAATTTATGTTACAGAAGTAAAATGTAACAATTTTTTTAAAAATTAATTACCTTAAGATTGTCTAAACCAACGTGACTGGTAACATTAGAGTTAGTATCCATATGACTCAAATCGGCAACTACACCAGGAGTTACAGGCGCAATATCATATATTGCCAAATCTTTTATAATAGGACTTTGTTTCAACAACAAAGAAAGAGGTTGACCAATTCCGCCGGATCCTCCACATACTGTTACTTTTAAGCCTTTCTGCAACATAAGATAAATAGATCAAATGGATTATAATTTAACACACATGTATAAAAGGTCACTTACATTTAAAAAAAAAATAAGTACATATTTACATATACTTACATGTCAATTTTATTTCTTAATATTACAATCATTAATATTAGTAAAAAAAGAAGAAAAATGTATATAAGCTGAACAACTCCTAGATATGGGAGTTGTCTTTCATTGGTGATTTTTGTTTTAGCAATAATGTTACCTGAACCTTATAAACTTATAACTATTTACTTCCCTCGGTTGTTATTTATTTACTTATTGATGTCTAAGACTGCAAGGAAAGTCAATCGGGAATTTTTTACTGCCTTCAATTGAACTTATTTTTGTAGTAATATATAAATTAAATTGTACAAAAATATTAACCTAATTATTAAGCTAAAATGTTTAACTAAACTACTAACTATAAAAAAGCGACTTCAAATATTACTATTCTTTATACCGACTTAATAAAAGTAATATTCAAATGATTTTATTTTAAATTTATTTAACTGTAATTAATTAGTTTACCTTGCATGAATATTGTCTGGTACTTTGTTGAACAATGGTGTTAAGTACTTTGGAAAACATTTTAAGATTTATTGGGTTATATAAATTAAATGAACTAAATAATTTATACAATTTATTAACTAAGGTAACAGTAGCTTTTATTGGGTGCGGTATAAAAGGCAAAAGAAAGACGGTAGACAGTCGACACACACCACGGTAAAACGCGGAACGCCTATAATCATATTGAGCTTAAAAACGTCGGCCAATGGGCAAATCAGGATAAAGCATCGTTATTATCACTAATAATAATTTTGAAATCACTGCACTCTAGCAATAAATTGTTGTATTACCGAATTTCCCATTTTTTTTTTTATTAGTCTGTATATAAATAACATTATTTATTGTATTATTATGTTGAGCTTTCTCGCTGAACTCGTAACTGGACTTAGATTTTTTTGTGACACAGGTCTTCAAGGTTTTTTTCTTAATACGTACTCGCTCTAGTTGTGTAAAAAAAGGATTTACCTATGCTATTTCAACGTGTTGCCTAGTGACTACAGTTTGAAATTGTTTTTTAAATATAATTTATATCGTAATTAACTATAATTGAAGTGCGTATAGAGATAACTAGGTCATTTAGTTGTGTTTATACTTTTTTAATGTTGCGTATTAAGTGCACCATCATTGCAATTATTACAATGTCAAATAAATGTCTACCTACATAATAAAAATACCATTGTACATGCTAAAATATTTTTGTTTTTTAAATATATATTAAGTAGGTATTTTATTTTATTCTGCCTAAAACAGACTGTAAGAAACTAGCAGTTTCCGTTTTCCATGTGCTATATGGGATATGATAGTTTTATATTTTACTTAGTGCGAATTCGTTATTTGAAAAACTGAGCGGAAAAATGATAAAATTCCTAAAATACGAAAAATATTATGAGCGTATAATGAATAATATTCCATTGAAAAAAATGTATAAATTATAGCAGGAATTATAATATTTTAAACAGGAATTATATAATTCCTATATAAATTATACAGGAAATAACAGTTTTCTTTAATTTTCTGAAAGTCGGGTGTTGAGGAATATTATCCCTTTTTCACTCAGCTGTTGATTTATTAATAAGTCTAATCTTTCAACTTTCTTAAAGTATAATTTTTGTTTTAAATTTCTACCTACAGGCCAAGAAAATTTAACATTATAAGTTGAAAAAGTTTAATTCTTCACAGACGAAAGTTGAAAAAACAAAAAAAAAACCGTACGAGTTTTTAAGTTAGAACTTTTACTGGCTATAATTTCGAGAAAAAGAGTCGGATCGAGTTGAAATGTATAAGAAATAATTATTTGGTATGCCCGCACACGTCAGTTGTGTCAAACTTAAACTATACCCATTTCCCACCCCCCTAGGGGGGTACAATTTTTTTTGTTTTTCCGGGTTTTTAGCGGTAATTTTAAAAATTTTGGGTTGAAAATTTGGCAGTAGTTAGAACTCATATGTACCCATAACATATTAAACGGGAAAAAAATTCGGCACTACAGTTTTTTTTTAATTACCGGGAAACTGTGTTTTCGCAGATTTCATATATTTGAACAAAAACACCTAAAATCTTTAAAAAAAATTGATCAAATCATTAAAACAATTTTATGTATATCTATGCAGAATGATACTATTAGGTTTTGTGCTCAAGTACCACTTTTGACTTAAAGTTTACACAAATTCAATTTTTTTTTTTTTTTTTTTAACTAAAACCCGGTGTACCAGATGTGAGAAACGAACAGACACTAAAAACTATCAGTTGGTAACGTCTATCCATGTTAGATTAGGTTAGGGCCCAATGATCGGTATCATAATATTGTGTTTATTACATGATATCACAGGTGACTAAATCGTGTAACTGATTATAGTAGACACTCGATTTATTGGGAAAAAAACCTATCCGAGTACTTATTAAGACACTTAATGATTCTGATACGACAAAACCACTGTCGTTATCTCGTTATTTTATAGCCTGCGTTATATAACCTTATCGAAAGTCAACCATGAGTATATAAGTTCTAACTACCGGCAAATTATGAAGAGGACTGTTGTTTTTTGGATTCAGATTAAGTGTTGATTTTTATGCAGTATACCGCCTCAAAATTTATTTTTTATTACAAAATTTTTTTAAAGGAAAAATAATGTTTTGCATATTGTTAAACTGTTATTCATTTAAAGAGATTCACGCTTGATTGTTTAAATTGTCTAATATTAGATAATCTGCTTCGTGCTAATTTTAATTTTTTAGTTTATCAACTTGTAGCTCTAATTTTGTATAAAATATTTCATTATTTTATTACTATGTACAGATTAAGACAAATTTTAATAATAATTAAGTCATAAATGGTTATACTTTATTTTATGACTAGATCAAATCTCGTGAACATTTAACATCATGATACAGCTCCTATGCTATTATTAAAAAAACACAATTTTTAAAATCTCCATAAAAGGTTATTGTTAAATAACAGGCAACAGCCGACCACTAGTGGCTATACACCTTAGTAATATTTAACTAATAAGTAATATATGTTGGTAAAATTTATTGTTTTCTCCATCACAGTACCAGTATACGATTTATTTTAATTTAAATGTAAGAAAATCGATTTTTCTTTAGAAAATAACAATAAATTAATATACAGGATGAGGCAGTAAAACGGCGATTTTCTAATGTATTTAAATGGTAAAACCCGTTTCACTATCCCACCCTTTACATTTTAAGGATCTATGAAAAGGTTTTTTTAGTTGCATTTTATTTTGTACATTGTCAATCTAGTAAAATAGAAGTATAATATAGCTTTGAAATAATATAACCTATGAAGTATAAATAGTTTGTGTGAGATTGCTTTAATGGAAGTATATAATACATAAATATTAATTTTATTGAGAATAAGCGATTATAATTTAAACTATGGAGTACAAACCATTGGAACATGAATCGACGACCATTCCAACAAAATATAACAAGACATTGTATATGTGTTCTTTGGTCCACTAAGTTTTTGCAAAAAAAAAAAAAAAAACAAGTACAGTGGGGTCGGTGCATAGTGGGGACGGAGCATAGTTTGGTCGGGGCATATTGGGGACGGGGAGGTCACAGGTTTACAGGAATTTTAAACCTGAAAGTGATAAATTCACTTTCGAAAAAACGCTTCGATGCAAATCGGTAGTTAGTATTTTCAAGCCAGTACAGTCCAAACCAAGCACAGTATAAACCAGCAAAGTTAGAAAGTTTTAAACGAAGGTTCTGTATTTACAAATGAGCATCAAAGCGTTTATTTGAAAGCGATTTTATTCAATTTAATCACTTTTTTTTATAATAATTCTTGTAGACCTGTGAACTCTCCGTTTCCTCATTGCTTTGATTACATTATGTCAATACTCTACTGTACTAGTCCTCTCGGATAAAATCACTTTCAAATTAACGCTTTGATGCTCATTTGTAAATACAGAACCTTCATTTAAAACTTTCTAACTTTGCTGGTTTATACTGTGCTTGGTTTAGACTGTACTGGCTTGAAAATACTAACTACCGATTTGCATCGAAGCGTTTATTCGAAAGTGATTTTATCACTTTCAGATTTAAAAATTCCTGTAAACCTGTGACCTCCCCGTCCCCAATATGCCCCGACCCAACTATGTTCCGTCCCCACTATGCACCGACCCCACTGTACTGGTTTTTTTATTTTACTTTTTTTAAAAAATAAAAGTTTTCGTTTAGTTATATTGACATAATTATTTCATGAACTCTTATATAATGCGTTGCTGAGTTCAAATAATTCGATAATTCCATATAATGCATCTTTACATACCGTTTCCAGGTAACCGAATAAATATCGCTGTAACAAATGTTTTGCTTCATCAGCTATCGTAATATGAGTTGTTATGGAAACAAACATATTTTTATAATACAACTTTTTTTCTTTTATCAAATATTATGTTCTAATCAATTTAAATAGACAAGTACGAACGTCGTGAGCATATAATACCTACCGTGATTATTTATTTGGAAACGTTAATAGAACTTTAATTCAATTCGTTCTTTTTTAAATCATTACATTAAGTACAACCGGAGGTAGTTAATAGTTCAGTTATAATTACAATTAATATTATAGTCGGTGTTGTGATTTAACAAATCAATCAACAAACATGCACATTGTTGTTCTATGAGTTATGAATTTATCAACCGACGATGATATCAAACTTGAAGAAACCTCAAGCGTATCCACTACTATTCAAAATAGCCAATTAAGTGTACAGGAACTTTTAGATTTTTTAATAATAGCGCACCGTGTCAACGAAGTTTTAGCTAATGATGATGGAGATGATAAATTGCACGACACATTTATCAGTTGGTCGGAACTAGCCCAAAACAATTTATTGCTGCGATTAACGGCTAAAGTGAACGATTCGGAAACCAATCCGGGGACGGTAACAATGCAGAGCACCAATATTGAACGTGCTCAGTGCGTTTTAAAAAACAAACTAAAAGAGATCATGAACGAAGGCATTTTAGATTCAGTTCTTCCGTATATTGTTAAAAAGAGTCTGACTTCAAACGTGCTGAAGACATTGGTGTCGAATGGCGATAAAGTCGGCAATCCGTCGCCGCCGAACAAAGATAAATTATGCTCAAAACAAAAATCTACTGGTTCTACTGAGAATTTCTCCAAATCGAGGGGAGAGTAAGTCTAATAGCATACTAATCAAATTTGCGTTTATTAATACGCTGACCTTACACGCTGTACAATTTCAAACGTTTCAGTTCCGAGATCGAGATTAATGTTTGTGATGCCGTTCAAAAGGTTAAAAAAGTGTTCAGATGCCCTAAACGACTCCTCATATCGAAAATGGGTTATTTCGCTGAAGTTGCCAAGGGTAAATATTAAGAATATGTAGAGATTTAATAACAATAAATTGGGTTATTAAAAATGGTTTGTTACAAAGTCAGAAATTAGAAAAATTAAGGGATCGACATTTTATTAAATAGGTACTTGACAATCCGTCCATTCCATTAGTAGAAATCCATTGGATATTTAGAAGGGCTAATTTTTTTTAATAAAAAAGAACGGTAGGGGTTAAACTTGAAGATTAATAAAATAATAATAAAAACCCTTAACCATAAAAATTATGTACTCTCCGCGCTCTTCGCTCTCCGAAGATTAATATTATATTTTTTCTACTAAGCATAGTCTGACTCAGACGATTAGATTGTTCTGACGTTATACCCCTAAAATGTAATACAAAAATAAAAACAAATTGTTAAATTAGAACACCTACCTACTTTTTTAAATTTATGGTCCAATGCATCAAATTCTATTGAATTTGATGTTAAAAATATTCAATAGATTTTCGTTTTTCTCCTACGATTTATTAGATTTTTTTTATTTCTTCAAATAAAAAAATGATTTCATATGATGCAACTTTTATCGCAAGTCACGTTTTCTACTTAATTGATTAAGTTACCTAACAATTGCCTTTATAAAAAATTAAAAGTCATTATAGCATTTTATTACATACTAATTATGTTTATGATAAAAACGATATTTTTAGCTTTTAAAAATATGTTTTCTGCCATGCGATAGTAGGTATTATTAGTGTCGTATAAATCAGTCTAAACAATATTATACGATGTACTTTGCCCGATTTTTTGTACTGTAATAAAATGAGGTTTAATTAGTGAATATTAAATAGTTAATAAAAATTAATCTATTATCAAAAAAAAAAAAAAATTATAATAAATAAGAGATCGATAAAGGCCGACGAAAGGTCACAGTGTGCAGATACGGGCGGGCTACCTATGAACATTTTAATAGGATATTGATTTCTATAAGTTTCCAAAATTTTAAACTTTAACCTCAACTAAAAAGAAAATAAGAGAGTTAAAGAAAACTAAACTAGCTATAGTTTCTCACCTAAAATTATGGACGTGTGACTATTTTTTTTAGGCCAACGTTTGGAGGATATTGATATATCCGTACATTGTGAAATACCTATTTTCGATTGGTTGATCAAATGGGTGAAGAAGGACTTTAAGCCGAAAAACGAGTGTCCTTTATTAGGTATTTCCATTGGAATGATTTCAGATATAAGATCGTATTGACGTATTTAATCTGTTCTGTGATTCATGTACCAATAAAGATTTTTGACTATTGTGTGTAGATTATGGAAATGTAGTGCCAATATTGGTTTCTGCGTCATTTTTACAAATGGAACCTTTGTTTCAAGAGTGTTTGAATTTCTGCAAAGACAACATTAACGATGTGTTATCCTCTTCAGCAAGTTTTGGTTGTGTCAATGAAGGAGTAATTACAAGGTTTGTAAGTAAATTTGAATAATTTCTGCTAACTGTAGCGCCTACTTGTCGTAGATTAGTAGGTTAGTGGCAAGGTCGCGTTTAATCCTATTATAACTTTATTATTTAGGTTATCCAATCAATTCAATAACTGTGATATAGAAAACATAAAAGACGTTAGAGATAAGTTAAAATCGCGTTTATTCACCAAATTAATAGTAGATTTATGCAAACGAAGTCCAAAACGGGAATTTGGACATTACAGTACTTTTGCCTACGCTTTTTAGTAAGTTAATAGTTCTGTAATGTTAACGTATGCGAATAAAACCTTGAATACATTTTATTTTATTTTTTATTTTTATGTTTATTATGTCCAGTTGCTGTCGTTGTAGTACTGTATTGATTCCTAATGTTGCTGCGATGATACCCTGTAAACCACCGATTTATAAGATAGCACAAAATGGGACCGTTATTGCTTGTCACTCAAAGTAAGTCTTTAACGGATTCTCATAGTGATACTGATCAGATTTATAACATTATTGTATATATTTAAAATTGATAAAACTATTGATTGTGGTAAGATATTGTCCCATATTATTGTTAATTAAAATTGTAAATATTAAATAAGAATTTTAGGTTTTTTTTTTTGGTAAGTAGTAGTTTCAAATTATATTTTAGAGAGTACGGACTACGTTAGGTGTGATAGATCAATATTGTAATTTGTCAAGAACGGTCACTTTTTATACATCCTAGTATTACAACTTAACCAAGTCAAACATCGTTATTAATAAATAATTGATAGATTAATATCGTATTTATTATTTATGTAACTTACATTTTGATTGATTTTAGAGATCCAAGGTGGACACTCAACGACCACGTGAAGTCGCTATTTTCGAAACACAAGTGCTGGCGTATTGTTTATTGGTCACTATGGTCAGAATGTCATTTTTTGCGCTGTTCCCGTTGTCAACACATGTATCCTGTCAAAAACCACAGATGGTGTCAATTTCACACCCAACAACCTCAGTTTTATCCATTAGAGAACAATCGATATCTTCATTATCCAATTGGTACCATTTCGTGTGTTACTAATTTACATTTTTGTTATTTATATTACATTGAAAATACCTAATGATATTCTGAATTGGATATTATGACCCTACGATCAAAAGGAAACCACATGTTCATAATGTGTTTTCTTGTTTATTTCAACAGTAGAGGCGTATTTTTGTCACAGTTTTTTAAAAAAAAAATAATTAAATAATTATTATTTTAGGACGTTATCCATGTTGTAACGAAAAAACATTCAAATACGAACCAATCAAAACTTCATTTGTAAGTTATAAATAGTAATCATCAAAAAGACAAAATAATTCTTGAGCTTGTTGAGGACAAACATTTAATTTCATATAAATTTTACAATCATTTTAAAAAGTTATGAACGATTGTGTTTAATTTACAGGGTTGTCATTATCGAGAACACGTTCCATTACTCGAACACACAACCGACGTAGAAATTCACCAAGTTATGCAAAAGTTTCTATCTTTAACAACGGTTGACCCGCCGATGTTTTTCTCCGATGGTTTATCAAAACTTACAGAAATGAATAGTACACGTAAGAAGCAACATTGTACTGAAAAAAGCTATTGTAAATTGTATTTATTTGCGTTTTGTTATTTTAGTGATCAATGCAGAAAGTAATAAAAATAATGCTTGGTTAAGTGAAAATCACAAATTTGCTCCGTTCAACGGTAATACATACAATTTTAGAATGGATAAATATTAGTTTTGTATAGTAATAATTACATTTTTTACGTTAATCCTCAGTAGAAGGACCGTCCAAGAAAACGCAATTCTGGTGGGATAATATTATCATAGGAACACCATCGACGAAAAGACCGCTGCTAACGGAGCTGTGGGATAAACCTCTTTCCAGGATGCCTTTATCGCCTAATAACAGTTATAACTAATTAATAATACCATTCAGAATAATTATTTGCTTGGAATAAATATTGATTATTTGATTTGTCCGTATAGATGAAAATATGTACGAATCATCTGAGACTTTAGGAAATGAAATTAATTTATCTTTTGGTTCTTCATTTGAAGAAGTCGAAGATTCCTTATCGAGTTTCAGTGATAGCGATTCTACTTATTCAGATAAGGTGTCTTCTGCTAAAAAACAGAAACCTAAACGGTTTTCAAAAGCCATAAGGACACTAAAACAAAGATACAGGTGAGTGGAAAATATGGTAAAATTTATTGTGATTAGATTAACGCAGAATGCATTAATTTTATCATTATTTTAGTAATTCTTCTTTAAAACATTTATGTTTGTTATTTTAGCATATAATATGTAGTATATAATTTCCCAACGCTTACTTTTAGCCTAATTTTATTGAAAGTTTAATCAACTTTTAATATTTCATCATATTTCAAATTAAAACGGAACATTTTTTTTGTTAGTTATTGCTTCTAGTTGAAGGGGTAAAACTAGTAATTAGTGATGTAACTTGTAAGTTACATAACACATTAATCTTAATTAGATTAATAAAAACGTTTGTGTTGTACTGGTACTATAAGCTTGTATTATACTTAACTCAGCTATTACGAAAATGTGATTTACACCACTGGGTAATGTTTTTTACCCAGACTAAACTCAACTGTACTTCTTCTTCTGCTTAATTTTTAAATTAAATTAATTATTAAAAAACTAAAAAAATCTATCTACCAATAGTTTTAGCAGATAATTCGTGGATAGCTTTCAAATTTGTTCACCTGGACATCAAATATAAAATAGTTAAGAAAGGTAGCATTTGAATAATTATGCTTTTTTAAAGTTTGAACTGTTCAGCTATTTAAGCTTATTCGATGTATAGTATGTCAGGGATTTTTTTACTACATTAGTGGAATGTTATGTGTTGAATAGTCATCTCAAAGCACGTTGTTGTTTATATTATAACGACTATGGGCTTAGACTCTCAAGTTTGTATTTTAGCAGGTTGTAGTTAAAATGGCCAAAATATTGCTGTGTAGGTATTCCGGAAACTATCAATGGTCACTGACTGCGCCAATGCGATGCAATCAAGATAATCAGAGGGAATATGAAGAACGGTGCTTTAGACAAATTGCTCGACACGTTCTTCACCAATCCAATTCGACTACCGGAGAATGCGATCGTATGCTTATCGCTGGTACCTCGCCTGCGGATGTCGGACAACAACCTATTGGTACGTTTGAGATTTTAATATTATTAATAAATAATGATATTAGTTATTAAATTCACATTCGATCAAGCGCCATGAAATTATTTTAATTCAATTAGGCGGTTGTTACGTGAAACTAGAATCAGAGCTGCTCTCGAAAATCGATCCGAAAACCCCACAAAGACCAAACACCGTGGACGGTAAATGCCAAATTAAGGCAAAAGTAAAAAAAACAAAGCCTAACGCTTATTGATAATATTGTTTATATTGTAAAACTAATTTATACATAATAAAACATAGTTTATTTCGTTTTCACGCAGTTATACTTTATTTATTAATAACTTACCCGCAATATTTTAAATTCGCAATTTTTATTGTATATAGCAAATAAATAAATTTAAAAAAAATCACAAATTTTCTGAATAAAAATTGAGGAATAATTTAAAAGTAGTTTACAGTATAAATTAAAAAGTGTTAATTATACAATTTGATTAGATTTAAATTTATCATTAGGAAGAAATAACGGTAAATTGTGTACGGTACCTACAGGTATAGTTCAAAACACGAAAAATAATATAAACGTGTAATTTTTGACACGTTACCTTTGGTTTTTACTCGCGCTACTTTGCGACTAGATTATACACACATATAAACGCACGCACGCACTATTGTTATAAAATACAACATCAATGTATTTAAAAAAAAAAAAAAAAACCAAATTTTAGGTAATCAATAGTAAATATTAGGAATAATTTAAATACAATGCACAGCGTTTCTAATTTATGATATCTTATTATCTTAACGACCGTGTACAATTTCAAAGTAAACAAATTGAATTATTACTCGAGTCGGCGAACCCAGTACGGATTCGATGGACCGTAATTAAATATATTTATATATTACGTAATTTACACAAGTATAAATATTAAGGAAAGTTAAATAGTTTTTGAACACTCCAATAGTTTGGTAAACGAGATCGTAAAAATATAGATAATAATTATGCTAACATATTAATACGTCGTTTATACAAAATAACAATGGACCGCATTGAATGGTAATTAGTTGTTTTTCTTAGTTACGATTTAAAATTATATTATAATTACTGGAAAAACCTATAAGCATTATAAAGACGTAAAGTATTATACGTCTTAGTATTATATAAATAGTACCTAATATACAATTATCATATACAGATTCTGGGTAAAAAGGCGTACTTATATAAAATTAGTAAAATTACATAATAATACAACACTGGGCTGGAGAAAATCCAATTTCGGTTCTTTCAAAGGGGTTGGGCCCTTTAAGATTAACAGTTTATCAAGTTTATTGCAACCCAGCAGTATATAAAAAAAGAAACAACATTAATACAAATTTAGTTGTAAGTGGCAAGATTGTAAAAACGATATTTTATAACAAGATAATATTTACCAGCTAAACATTTTACTGGCTTCGTAAGTAATGCAGAATGCAGGATTTTAATTTGGAATACAATACAGTTTCATCTGGGGAGACTGACTGACAAAGCATGAAGATAATATGTCGGGAGAATAAGCTTTGGCGAAACAGTCGACTAGGGGCTGAAGGGTGGGAAAGGAGCAGAGAGTGAGTCTCGATGTTCAATTGTGGTAGGTGACGTAGGATTGCAACGGTTTGGGCAGATTTAGCTCGGCAACGGTGTCCGGGTGAGCGTTGCTCTGGCAGCCCTGAAGCAACGACTGACGTATGGATTTCCTGCACAGCTGCTGCAGCGAATGCGGTTCGGCCCATTGCGGCATCAAAGCCCGTTTGATATCGAAGAACACTCTGCCGAATATGTTATAGCACTGTGCGTGGCTAAACATGGTGCGCATCACGTGCGAGTGCATCCTCATCGGGTTTTCGCCCATCGACTGGAGAAGAATAAAATACAAACGATTATTACAACAAAGGTTTGTATGTATGTACAAATGTCGTTTACCTGGGATATGAGCGACAGGGTGCGCATACAACTGTCGTCTAACCGCCGTCTGATCATTACAGAACGTAGGAACCATGTGAATATGCTTTCCACCGGACTTTCTATGGGGTCTTCTAACACACACCTGCCAGACTCGGACTTCATACGGAATTCGTTCAACATCTCTATGTAGTTTCGTCTGGCATCTGAAGTGCAATCTACGCAAGGATGAAGTCAGTGTAAATAATTGAAAGCAACAGAGGACAAACTATTTACCTTCGAGCCAAACGGTAGCGCCGCTGTTCAACAACAGCCTGGTGATGTCGATGGCATGGTCCATGTAGTGGACGGTATAAGTGATCAGCGATCGACCGCTGTTGTTCAGCCAGTTGACATCGCTGCCGAAATTCAACATCATTGTGGCGAACTGATGAGCCCGCTTAAATAGACCACAGTTCATCAGTCGCTTGACTCCTAGTATTAGCGCCGTGTTACCGCTATCATCCACGGTTCGAGACCATCGGCGAAGTTGAGCGGGGGTGGCGTTGGCCGCTGTTTCTTTCAGCCGACGCACCACTTGCGCCCAGTTTTTATGAATGTCATCTGCGTTGGTGCAATACATATTGTTATTATTGTTCGACACGTTTCACGGGTACGTCCGTGTTCATCTTAACCAATAAGGGGCATGAGTGCGGTTATTTATTATCATTCTATTTTAATTAATAGTAGTAAAATGTATAGGACATATTTGACAAAAGTTATTGTTCTCCAACAGCATTTAATTTATGGGTAAATGCATTTAAATATATTTTTCTGTTTACTATAACGATTATTTAATAAAATATAGCCTAGCGAGCAAAAAATATAAACGGGTGTTAAAATGTAGTATTTATTTAATTCAATTTTTGTTCAATGACAAATGTTAGTAAGACGACGCTACGATTTCGGAAATTTTTTCTTTCAGTAATTATTTACAGAATCCAATATTTATTTAATTTTACAGCGTACACGCCACGTCCCTTAGTATACTGTTACTTACCCGCCATTATGTCAAAGAATATGAAACAATTTGCGTTGGGCATATTCGGGTGTTTTATACATTTCTGACTGGACTTGAACCGAAAGCAAAATTCTATATTAGCTATCTGAAAATACAAATATTATTAATTTTATTATTATCGATACGCCGTAAATGTAATTGTAATATGCAAGTCACGCAAAAAGTAGTTGTAAATTATATTGCCTCAATTTTAACGTATACAAGTTACCAGAGGTCTCTGAATCGCACTTAAACCAAGAATACCAAGATACATTATTAACTAGTTGACTCTCGCATTTGAGTTACAACTGTTAGTTGTCATATAGTAAGACGTAAGTTATCACTCACTATATTCTAATTCAATTGGAATGTCAATATAATTTGGTTTATAGCGAACAACAACTAACAAGAAGTACCAAAAAAAAAAAAAAAATGTATTATATTAGTTTAAATTTACCTACTTACAATCACTTATTTATCGATTTCTTCATATTAACAGTGTATTGATCAGAACATTTTGAAGTAAAATATGTTATAAGATAAAAAGGTTGGGTTAGGAAAAACCACCTTAAAATTGAATGATTGATAGAAGTTATTAAGCATAGCTAACATTAATTATATTAATCGATAACAATAATTTAAAATTTTCCAAAAGTAACACGAACCATTAAAAAAATCTTCCGTCAAAATTTATAATTTTTTCGAAAAAATATCATAAGAATTGGAGATCTATTGTTCTTTTGGTGGTACCAGCATAATATGTCGAGAGATTGTTTCCTAATAATTTTCACAAAATAATTTGCATACTCGTATGCGGATTAAAATATGGGAAATAACTGGTGTAACTTATACTTGCTTCCGAAACTACCACTACTAACTTGTACTACCAAAATATTTTGAATGTATAAAAAAGAAATATTTGTATATAAAATTAAGTCATTACTATTGGTCTTGTAGCTAGTAGTTCGTCGTAATCTTTGAAGCAGAATAACTGATAATTTTTGCCGATCAGCCTCCATTCCCTGAACGGGCATCCATTGCAACAACCTGATTTAGCAAAAAAAAATATATATATAAATGGTTCATTAATAATTCTAGACGCTTATTTGTAGTGTATATATACTCACCGCCGTGCCATTCGCCCGCAATTATCTTGTCAAAGTCGTCGACGTCGTCCCCCGACGCTATGCATAGCGTGGATATTTCTACTTGATTCTCAGGCTGCCGGTCGGCCGACGACGGGCCACCGGACGCCACGTTCAGCTGCTGCAACGAGTCCAGGGGGTCGTCGGCGCAACCTTCCGGACCCTCTTTCATAGTTTCATTCTTGTTGCTGTAACAAAAAAACAACATATTTAGCAAAATAGTACACATTCTGATTTGGGCAAGTTCCTTGGAAAAATAATTTGTTTTAAATTTAAATTACTCCAAAAATATTTTTAAAAAAATAAGAAAACCCAATTCTTTGTAAGCTTTTTTACTCTTAAAACTCAACGATTTGAAACTTTGCCGGACTGTACTATGATATTGGGCTGAGAGTGGTCATATAGTGTTTATATAAGGCTGACGATATTTGAATTATTTTATTGTTTTAATATCCATATCAAACTACTTAAGTAGTACCTAGGTATATCGTATGCCGCATGGTCGCCAACACTGTCGATAACTAACCTGATACCTATTAATATATTAAAATACATGAGTTCTGTACTTTATCAACGACCGTTACTAAAAGTAGTACCTACGTTTCGTTATGCTCTGGTATAATATTTCAACATTTATATCGGATATTAATATGTTGCCGTTTTAATACGTTTCATTCTTCACCACAAAAAGAAATATACGTTTGGCTTCACATGGGTTTTAAATGGGCGGAAAGTATTATTTTTCGTGGCAAAAATTAAATGTATTAGTTTTTGTCAATACAGACGGAAATACTTATACAGGGTGATTCATTAAGGACAATTCACTCACTTTCACCTAAAATAATTGCAATTTTATAGTTTTTTTTTTTTAAACATTTTTGTTTTTGTTATTTTACAATATTATAAAATTACTAAATATTTACCTTTTTTAGTATTTTCTAGAGACCTATCAAGTGTCAACTTTTGAAACTTAAATGGGAACTTATATACTTAAATAACTTTTAAAATTAAGACTTATTTGCTCAACGCTTTGACTGGTCAATAATTAGTTTTGGATAATTACTTTCAATGTTGTTAAGGTTTATAACTTAGGGCGGAAGGTGGAGTACAGTTGAGTAAAGTGTGCAGATAATAAAAATAACTCAGATAATAATAAATTTAAATATTGCCAAATGTTGTAAAATAATATAAACTAAAATGTTTCCATAAAGAAGAACTTTAAAATAGAAATTATTTTAACGGAAATGCACTCATTTCCCGTAGTGTTTTTTCCCTAATGAATTATCCTATACTACTTCTCGTGACAAAAAGAAAACAAAACCTCATACTTTTCGTAAGGCAAATAAAACGTATTAGTTTTCTCAACAACAAGCGTCGATATTAATTAGAATGTCGACGTGTAGTTCTGAAAAAAGTATACTGAATAAACGTACCACAAAAACTATATATTACACAAAAACTAGTTATCCATTAGGATGTCAGTTATTTTTTAGTTTTTCGTAAATGTTTGCTCCGAAATTCCATTCTATTCTCCAAATAAAGAAAAAAAAATCAACCAACTAATTTGTAACCCATACCACTATTCGTTTATAATTAATACTATACAGTTGTCTAATGTATATAATTATAATTGTTTAATATCAATTATAATGTATAAAAATAAAATATATTTATTTTACTTTGTCGGTTATCTAAAAATATACACTAGCCTTACAACATAACAAAAATAAAAGTTTACGGTTTTCTTCGGATGATTTTGTAAAAGTATATATTAGTTATAAACAATAGCGTTCGCTTCTGTTTTGCATTAGACTGCACCAGGGTTTTATGCAAATCGTGTGTAAAAAAACGTGCATTAAAAGCATTAACGACGAATTACATGATGATATACGAACCTTAGTCCATACCAGTTATACTAATAATATGTATTGCTTTAGATTAAGTAAAGTTTGTAATATTAATAGTTGTGATAATATGTTGACACAAATTCTTGGAAAATGTATAATTTATAGGCTTATGTAAGTATTTATGCATGTCTTATTATAGTAACGGTATTGTATTTCCATAGATAAATGATAATTATTTAACGATAATAATGAACAATAGCGAGAAATGGGAAATTACTTACATCATTAATATTGGATAAGATCAAATTTCGTTATAATTAACATTTTTTAAAATTTATTTTAAGTCTAGAGTACTATTTATTTTTAATTGGACAATCTGACATTTTTACTTAGTATATATACTGTAGTAAAATTATGTAAGTTAGTTTTACTATTATCTGTAAAGGACATTTAAGACAATTTTAGTAGGTAGTTATTTTTGTTACAATTATTATTATCGTGTTATTCATATGAGTAACTCGCGCAATTATTCAATTGTAAAAACATTTTTGTAAATAATTTCATGACAAACATCCATGGCTACCCCGTTTTCTTTTGATAACTAGAGGGAAAAAAGGGAAAATTAGCCTATTATGATACTGTATGAACGCCACTAAAATGTTATAAAAATAATAATAATAACGTCATTAACAAATTAATTTCGACCGTGTAAAATAAACGATGGTGTGATACTATGACGGTATAGATAATAAAAATTAATTAAACGTTTTTCTTATTTAGATTCTGATGATGACATAACGGAACAGTACAATTCACACGGGTGACGTACAATTACACCGGTGTAGGAAATGGCGGTTCTGTAGAAAAATGGATAAGAAAAAAAACGTAGATATTTTTTTTTTCTTTCATTTTAATACACACACCGTTACACGTTACGGTAGTACGGCGGAATGCCGAAGGTTATTGCCTCTCCTCGGTCGACGTAGTGTAGACAGACTTTGTTTATGCAACTAGAAATTACCCGGTTCAATGCTACACAGTGCGAAATGCTGACGGGAGAGATCTAAAGCATGTGGGCACAGGGTATCCTTGACGTGTGCAATATGATTAACAGCTATCACAACGAAAATCTAATGTCACATACGCAGAAGCCAAAACCCAACCGTTAACGAGCCAGCATCTCGTAATTCTTTCATATTTTACTGTCATCTCAACCGGAGCTGTCAAAAATAATATAGCGCGTCCTTTTCCACACAAAGTTTTAAAAATCAGCCGTTTTCCGCAAAAACAAACAGTTGTTAATTTTTCTCAAGATTAGACAATTGCTTGCATAGTAAAAACTATTACAATATAGTGACGGTTGACCGTCATCGACTATGTGTTTAAACAATTAACAATAATTTATTGATGAATATGACGCGTAATATCAAATTTTTTTTGTATGTATCGAATACAAATTATATTTTTTCTATTTCGTATATTAATCGTATTTAAAATACGAGTGATTAAGGGAAGCCCCATTGCCCCTCCTCAAATACGCCCTTGAGTTGCATATGGATCTTTAAAATCGGTTGTGATTGTCATTAAGCAGCCAGATGATGTATATTATTATACACAATAATAATGAGTGGAAATTAATTTAATTTTTCATTAAAAATCGATAACGGGTTTTTATTATTACATAGAACGAATCTATTTTCATTTGTTTACCGATCATCTGGGAATCAAATCGTTAACACCACACACCGGTGGGTGGCATATGCGTGTACTTAACGAACCATATGTATACATGTAGTATTCTCTCGTAGAACAAGTGTGCCATATATAGGCAGAAAGTATACATTCTCACACGCGGAATAAAATATAAAATACTTAAACCAATAACGGTTGTGAGTCCGTTATCCTAGGTATAACGATGGCGATTCACTCGATGCGTTTTCGGTTGTACTGCACATTCCGCCAGTCATCCCACGATAGATTATTAAAAAAAAAACTGAGGTAAGTAACACAGACGTAAAAGAAGAAAAAAATCAACGCGAATGATAGGAAAATAGAGATGAGGTCGACGAAAGGTCGATCCTCCCTGCCGTCGTTGACCTCATACGGAACTCTTCGACCGGTAGAAGTATACAGCTATATATTATTCGATATGTTTCGCTTTAGACACTTACATGATGTTGTAAATTATCTTTTATATCATTCCTATACTTCTATGGAAAAATGGCAAAGTGATAAATTGACTTTTGCCATTTTAACATGGGCTTAACAATTTTCTGTTATCAGTAAATTATGTCTATAAACTTAAAGCATAACATGGATAATGTAATGAACATACAGATGTTCGTGTTACAGACGTAGCGAAAAAGGTATAATATAAGAGACACAAAGAGGCCTAACTTAAGCTTAGATTAAATATACTAGAGATGGGCATTAACAATATAAAAACGGTTTTTATATGTTGTCGGTTTTTAAAAAACGACGTAAAAATAGACAATTTAAAAAGCTCAGAAGATCGGGGTAGTTATCACAAAATAGCAGTTTTGTTTGGTATCATCGAATTCTGTACTACACATTCATTCACAATAAAATATGTTAGGTATAAAATAAACAAAAATAGATAAATAGGCAATAGCTTAATTATTTTAAAACTATTACTTACGCGTCGAAGACAATGACTGATGGTATATAACATTAATCGGTATTATTATATACAAATTAAAATATTAACGTTTGATTTATCTGTTTGTTTTTCATCCTATTTTTAAGTACCTAGTTGTAAGGTGATCTAATTGTCGCAATAAATATTATTTTGATGTGCCTCTAATAAAAATAAATTACATTAATGTTGTAAATAATTACAAATTGTAGATCTACACATCTATGACGTTTAGTGTATGCCGCGCCTAAAGTACCATTAATGTTATTAAATAATACAATGCAATGGCTGATACTAAATAGAGGAAATGCAAAAACTATTTGGAAGTTTCAGATTACACAGTTTTTTTTATATATTACAACACTATATTATTCATATAGAGAATATTACACAAACATGTATAATATACTCACTATTCGTTACACACTAATGTAATTGTTGAACGGCGTAGGTATGTATAGTATGAGGTATGAATACAACATATTATATTGCATACTAACTATTTCAAGTATAACTTTATTGAACAAAAATTATAAGAAATATCAAATAAACGTTTTTAAATAAATATTAACACGAGGAAAATTATTAACGACAAATGAAATCTAGGGCTCAGGCATTTAGAAACGTAAAAAATGTTTTTTTAGGAATTTGCGGGGGGGGGGGAGGCACTTTTATAGGCGTGGGT